TTGGAAAAAAATTATGTACACATATTTAGAACTATAATTGTTCCAAATATGTAAATAATTTTTTTACTCATGCTGATTTTTGGTAACCCCTTAAAAAAAATTTATAAACGAATGAGCAATTTAGTTATGACGTAAATTCAGTGTGGTGAAATCTTTTGAAGGATTATACAACAAAATTAATTTGACGTCATAACTGGAAATGGCACGTCTGTTTATAATATAAATATAAGCTAAGGTAAAGCAATATGTTTTTACTTTATGATACAATTATGCATTTTGGGCATATTCTGCCAATACGATCTCTTTTTAAGTATTATACAAGATGGATAACCTCACTTTTAACCTTTTTAAATGTTATTATAGTCGCCTTCTCCCAATTTATATCACAGTGATTGGCCAATTTTAATATTCACTGATGCCTAACAACTTGAATAATGAGTTCATTATTCCCGTTGTTAGGCAGGGAATTTATACTGTTTATCATTATTCACGAAAAAAACAATATTATGCAACAGGAGCAGATAAAATTAAATAATTCGACTATAAACTTCTAAAGCAATTAAGTTTGGGTAAGACTGCGGAAAAATGTCATTACTGGAACCTTACAATCTGGTTTAAGTTAAATAATGGACCATAATATGACATAATATTATTTTATTACATACGATTGAAAATTTAAACGTAAAAATCATTTGTTTTTTCGGTATTTATTATTATATTTTTATGTTAAAATCGATGACAAAATTATACTGCTACATAAGATTAATTTTTCTATTTTATGTAAAAAAAAAAAAATAGTTCAAAAATATTAAAAACTATTTTTTATAAAATCATCATTTAGCAACCGCAACAGGTAGTAGCAGGATATTTTTGATTAAAAAAAATATTAAAAAAAAACTTATAATAACTTATAAGTTATCGGAATATTCTCAAACTTTTTTCCAAAATGACCAAAATAAACGACTAATGGGGTTACAAAGACGAACAAAAATAAATTTGACATTTCTTCTTGATAAAAGATTTAGCTTGATTTCAAACCCCAAGAATATGTCGCATATGCAATGTAAAAAATCTCATTGAGTAACTTTGTTTTTGGTTATGAGTTAATTTAATGAGTTAAATATTTGAGTACAATTTGAATTAAAAATGGGTCTTTTTACAAAGATTTCCAATTGTGACAATATTTTTAACAAATCTGATTAACTTTACTCGCATAAAGGATTAATTAAGCGAAAAAACTCTTTTTAGGTGACTTTTACTCAATTTGTTAATTTGTTTGCAAAAAAAAAACTCATTCCTGAGCGCTTTTGAATTTTTCCCATCATCCCTTTCGCGTCAATTCAAACGCCTTTGAGTCGCCAATCAGCAGCATCACGTTTCGTACCGTATGAGACTCAAGACAATTCATATTTACCTGAATCTAAACAGCAAAATCACTGAGTTTTGATGATATATTTTTACTCATAAAATTTAGATTTCACTCACTTAAATTGGGTAAAAAATTAACTCAATCTGGTGTGGACCTTTTCTGATACATAATTGAGTGATTTTTGAGTGAAATTTCACTCATTTTTTTTTACAGTGTGATTATAATATGCGACACAACATTTTTATTTCCTATGGTTAAATTGCAATTTTGATTTTTTTGAAATTTTTTTGATAAAAATCATGTTAGGTATACCATAATATATATAATATATATTCAAAAATTCCCCAAGGATGTCTTTAATTTTTAATTATAAAAAGGGATAAAACGACTAGGAAAAATATTGTTGGATATAAATTAAAAAGTAAAAGCTTTGACCATGTCAACGATTACTTTTGATTTAAAATTGTTAATAAATTATTTGTGCACTCTTGCAGTTCAATTCAAACACTTGTTAAAAGGCAACGTCGCTGTTAAATTGCTTAAACGTGATCGTACACTTCGTTAGCCTTATAGCATTCTTGTTGGTTTGCTAAAGCAAAAGCCAATCCAGCGTAGTACTACGCCGCTCTCCATTTCGAATTTATTTTATACCACGTCATATGGTCTTCAAACCTCTTCTTAACACTTGATTGTTTTTACAACAATAGACTGTTGGTAAATAATTGAATGCTACGTAAAAATATTTTAGAGAAATATTGTTGACACATTTTTCTTTATAATTGATAAATACTTAAAATTATAATAATAATAAATTGTTTTTTTTTTCTTCAAGCGGTCTATAAATTAAACTATATATACTATATAATTATAAACATATGTCGTCAAAACTCGACACTGAAGTTATTGATTATATTTATAGGCATATATAGACACATACAACTCAGCAAACAGATAAAAAAATGTTCTTTCTACACTATAATAAGGTTAAATTTACCGTCTGCAATGCAGACTCTGCATAGGGGCGAGAAAGTTGGCCTTTCTACAGCTAGGCTTGCTAAACACTCAAATGGCTAGGCAGTAGACTTTTTTATTACTTTTTACAATAGAGAGCGCTGCATTAACATGTTAAATTAAGGTTAAATACATTTTTTTACGATTTTAATTTTAGGTTTTAAATTCGCCCCTCGTATCCAATTCGACATCTGTCAGACGGTTCTAACCTTACTTTCTACTTTTAATAATTGGACGTTTTATGTTTTTTTAGCAAATCTAATAAAAGATAACATTTCATGAACAATTTCAAGTTTATGTATTTTAATAGAGACCAATCCGTGGTACGCATTATCTCAAAAGTTGCGTCGTTTCTCAGGATCTATGCTATGATTGTGCATAACACTTAAGGTGCATAAAATACAGACAAACTTAAGCCATTTCTGTAACTCTTACTTCAATTATATTTAAACAGTGGCGTTTTGAAAACCGTCAATAAAATTGCTCCACTCTGTATTAAAAAATTACGTTACTTTTCGAATATTTCTAAAATTATAAAAATCTTCCTCAATAACAAATAATAAATATTAATTAATATTTATACGTTTAGGTATTATAATGCCTATACAATCCTTTATCGATAAATTATTTACCTCATACTTTCGTGTAAACGTAATTTAAAGTTTTATTTATATTTTTCGAATTAGAGGTTCTAATATTAGCTTTTAGCTTTGTTTATGTTATGGTTTGACTTGTGCAATCTACATTTACAAATACCCAAGCTCCAAAGCACTTTCTAATTTTACGCTGGCCTAACTTTTTCATAAACACGTCAGTTAAATGGATAAATTATATATATATTATTTATAAAAATTAAAAGGACGGACGGTAACAATGCCGTTTAACAGGGCTGCAAAAAGCGTTCGTTTGGGGCAATAAGGGTATGCCACGCAATACAAAAAAATGGTCCAAGAAGTAGTTTTTAAGTTATCAAGCTTTTAAGATTAAAAAAACTCGACAATATATATAGAACAATATAATATATTATAGAAAAAGTACCCCTAAGAAAAAATGCATATTTGTACTTAAATATAAAACCCCTACAGCCTGGCATACCCTTAGTATGCAATTGTTGGAACAGTTGGAACAATTTAAAAATAGTCAAAAAAAAAGATAAGAAAACGAAATGTTAGCTATTGTTTTATTTAGCAGTGCCTTTTTAATGCTTATTCTGCCGTATTGGATCTTGGCATACTCAATTACTGTTTTTGTTACCTTCATTTACCTGTGTAGGCTGTGGAAAAACTAGTATTTACAAAAGGTTAAATTATAGAAAAATGGAAAGATATACAAAGAAGAGGGCAGTTTAATATAAAAAAAAAATGTTTTTTCAGTAGAGTACCATATTTTTTTTTATAAAACACTATGACAAGATATACAAAGAAGAGGGCAGTTTAATATAAAAAAAATGTTTTTTCAGTAAAGTACCATATTTTTCTTTATAAAACACTATGACAATCTTAAAATTTCCTGCGTTTCTCAAACAATTTTTAAAAACGCTACAGCGATTTTAAACCCTTCAATGACCTTGAAAAGTGGACGTGACGTCACAATGTTATAACAGATATGTCAAGAATTGCGAATGAATCAAACATCTGTTTTTCACCCGCCCCCCGCCGCTTCCCCCCCAAGTACCTACTATAAACATTTCCTGAAAACAAACGTTGGTCGACACGATCGTGACAGATCACTTTTAGAAATCCTACTACGTAGTAAGTACTACCTAGGTGGCTATATTTTTTTTCTTTCAATTTTTCCCTCAACTTTCCTAGACTATAATGTCAAACAACTTCGGGCCAATGTTGGGTTTCAATATTGGACCATGCTAGAAAAAATCTGACGAAAGATATATTGGCCCAATATTATTACGAATATTGGGCCAATATCTTTGCGCTACTGGGGAACTGTCAAAGAATGTTCGGAATTTTTATTTTTGTATATATTTATTCGAAAATCTTGACGTGCCCATTAAACCTAACAATATACCATTACATTTTATAAATATGACGTCACGGTACTTACCTAAAGAATTTATCAATTTTAAAAGTCTTTTGTAGGAAAAAATGAATAGCAAAAACGGTATTTTAGTCACGGGTAGTAAGCGAAAAACTGAGTTTAAATTTGGCAAATGTCAAATATTTTTGAATTAAAATTGTCTTTAAATTCTTATTTCTGTTCGTCGTAGATAAAGTATACTATGCAACTCGTTTTATAAACTTTTCTAGACACTCGTTTTTATTAAAACTCGCTCGCAAGCTTCGTTCGAGCCTAATAAAACTCGAAACTAAAATGGCGTTTATACTATTTTATTGAATAATCTGCATAATAGTGGTTTCAAACATCATGTCCCAACCCATTGCTAATAATTCGTTTCCTTATTTTTTAGTGTTCAAAAGTTATTAAACATTTTCTTTTTGAATTTGTGGACCCTGTATAAAACCATAATATTTTTACAAAATCTTGTAAAACTTTTTCGTTAATTTTTGAGATAATTATTATTTATGATTTTTGCCAACCCTGTATAATTAAATTTTAAAAACTGTCTCAAATATTTAGCAAGTAAACTTGACCATAAACTTACTTAGCTCACAATAGACTTCCGCTGTGGCTCCGGTTTTAATGCACGGATTAAATGTTTTTATTGGCGTCCCTTCTACGAATACGTTTATTGATTTGTTGTAGTGTTGCGTTGTATTCTGGGTAAGATGAGCTCAATAAAAGTGTTCCCTAATCTACGGCAAACCTTTCTTCCCCTGCTCCATAGGGCGTTTAACATTTGGTTATGAATCACTGATGATGATATGGCGTCAGTGCACTCCACTACTGTGTGAATACATTATATTAATATATTGGGTCGGTGAGTAATTTTGATGACAGAGGCATGAGGAAATCACTTCTAAAAATGATATCAGGTACCCGTTTTTAATGACTCACTGATGATAAGAGGCTATTTTAAGTAAAATAAATATTGGTCAAGAATTTAAGAATTTTAATAAATTCTATTAATCCATTAAAAAATTTTAAGTCATACAAATCACTCGGTAGGTAGGTACAACAGAAAAACAAATTTGGGAGAATAATATAACAAATTCAAATAAATTTGTAAATTATTCAAAAATAGTACGAAATTTACCCTATTAAACTCATAGTCATTATGGGGGTTTTCTACTTGCTAGGATGAAAAAGTTTTTAGTGAATAAACCATTGCTTAAGGTTCCTTTGGAAGCGCAAATATTCACTCCAAAATTTCTCCATGATACAGCATTTTCCTTTTTGTGGGGTTAAAGTAGGGGAGTGAGAATTACACGGGTGATTGCATTGAATTTTAAGTCAAAATTTTTGACCATTTCATTTTAAGAGAGTAGGCATGTGCTTTTCATTCAATGGAATATCGTGGAACCACGTGTTAAAAAAATTAATAGGAATTTTTATTTGTTAGGATATTTAATATGCGTCTACATCCAGGTTTAATCTTTATTGGATATTACTCTTCTTCCAATTCCTACACAGTTTCTATGGTACTCAATCTTTGAGGCATACTTAAAGCTATAGCTTTTGGTCTTTCAACAATGCGCTTATCATTGTAAATCGAACTAATATATGCAAACCAATAAAACGAAAATTCTTGTTACTTTTTTAACACACCTCGTACTTACACATACAAAATTGCAAAAACTAAATGATTAAAAATTAAAATTCAATTGAAATTCTAAATAGATTAGTTCATGCATTTCAATGCATAATACCTAAAATTGACTCATCAATTGCAGCGTAATTATTTCATTGTAATAAAATTGTTTCAAGAAATCCAAGGGTGTCATTAATTATTTCCAAGAATTATAATATTATATTGTTAACTAACAACCCAATTTTTTTTTTTAATAAAACAAAATTTTTAATGGATTGTTGATGGTAATAAGTGCAAAAAAGTAAAAAGTAATGCTGTGGTTCTTTAAATCGTTTACAGAATTAAATAAGCGTTTGACTGCCAAAGATTCAACCAAATCGATAGACACGGATATTTTTCTATGCGAATAGGCAAACGTGAAGAGAAGAAAAAGAACAAGATAAAAGAAGCAAGAAGCCAGCAAGTTTATTGGAATTTCGCATAAACAGTTTAGTCCAATTATAAAGCAAAGAAGAAAAGAAAATCACGAATAACAAGTGCAACAAAGAAGAGAAACAACGCTCTTTTAGTTTGCAGTGTTTCCAAATTTAAGGCGAATAATTCAATTTAAAATGCCTTTTTGCAATAATTATAAAGAAATACACCTTATACCAATTTATTTATTTGTATTAAACTTAATACTTATACAAATTGATACTGCTACTGGTGGGTATTACTAAAGAATTCCCGCTCTTAAAAAAAATACGGGGAACATGTCATTAAGACACCTGTCATTTAGACACCTGTCATTTTAACAGCAGTTATTTAGGGACCTATCATTTTCGCAACCTTTATAACGTTACCCAGATAGCACAAGTACGTTCGTAGGACTTCCACCCAGGACAACCCGAACGTCCTCAGGATGTCCGGGGTCTGCAAAAGTACGTTCGTAGTACGTCCACAGACTTCCGAAATAGACTGTTTCAGATGTCCTCAGGACGTCCACAGACTTCCGAAATAGGATGTCCTCAGGACGTCCGTATTTGACCCCAAGCTGTCCAATTCGGGACATATGAGGACCGAATTAGGACATAGTTTTATTATAATAGGGAAATGTAATACAGTGTTAACAAGTGTTTTGTTAATATATATATATATATATATATATATATATATATATATATATATACAGGGTGTCCGGGAAAAGGAGGTCAATCCGTTAACCATATATTCCTTAAGTTAAAACAATAAACCTTTCATAATACTATTTTTATTTATTTCTCCATTGAATTTCACATACCTTCATATCTCTAAATTATTTAAAAATATCAAGTGAAAACTTAAATTTTGTAGGGGTTTTTCCATATAATAAAAGTTGTTTTTCACTTATATCATATATTTAAATACACAGAAATTTAACTAAACATGGCGGATTTCAGACTGCCAACTTAAAGTCACTAAACTGGTTACTTCCAATACCAACTGTTTATTTGGCGGTAAATTTGAAATAAACTCTTACAATTTATTGCATTAAAAATATTATAGGACAAATTAAATAATTTAAATGTTAAAGTGGAGAAATTTCTCCAATGGTATTTTTAATTCGTATTATACATTTCTCATATAATATTATTAATTCAAATTATTAATTTGTGATATTTTTTATTCAACAAATTAAAAATATAATATACCTAATATATATAATATAATTAAAAATAATTTTTTAAAATTTGTAATGATATTTTTAATGCAATGAATTAATTAATTTTACTAGATATTTTTAAATAAGTTAGAGATATGGAAAATTGCAATTGCTAAAAATACTTGACAACTAAAGACACAATTCCACTTAAGTGGATAAAGGGTCTATCTATAGACATATAAGTGAAAAAAAATTGACAACTTTTTTTAAAATCTTTTATCGTGCTTGATTAAGGAGTATTTTTAATAAAAAACAAGGTGTAATTTTTTTTCACTTAGACCCGGGTCGCGACCAGAAAACCGATGGACGTCCTGAGGCCTAGGCCTATGGACGTCCTAAGGCCTAGGCCGATGGACATCCTGAGTACGTCCATCGGTTTTTTGCCTGCGACAATAGTTGAAGATACAAATTGATATATCACCTTTTATAAAGGCCTTTATAAAGGGTGATATATCAACTTGTATCTTCAACTATTGTCGCAGGCAAAAAACCGATGGACGTACTCAGGATGTCCATCGGCCTAGGCCTTAGGACGTCCATAGGCCTAGGCCTCAGGACGTCCATCGGTTTTCTGGTCGCGACCGTCTGTAAAGGATTTAAACCGGATGTCCTCAGGACGAAATTAAGTAAATATTTGTCAGAACTGTCAATGTCAAATTTAATTTAATTCAAATGGTTGAAAATGTTGTGTTGTAAATAAAGTAGAGTACCTACATTCCCTAAGTGGTTAAGCAATTACGCAGTCGCGAGTTTTAACATGGTAAAGGAAATACAGGGTGTTTCAAAGAAAACTTCTACCCCCAAACGCTTTAGGATTAAGGTGGACAAAATGTCCGAGGAGACGTCAATTTTTATTTCTAGGGGGCGGAATTTTAATGTACGCTTCACGCCCCCACCCGCACCCTTACGCGCTCCACCCCGCCTGCCTCTAAAATCTTAAATTGCAACAAATCGTTTTAAAAGTCTCTTAATTCTTAATAAAATTCTGTAATTTTTTTTAAACTTCTACCCCGCCAAACGTTTTAGGATTAATGTGGACAAAATGTTTCGTATCCTTGGACATTAATGTCCAAGGATACGAAAAATTTTCCCCTAGAAGGGGGACGAATTTTAATGTACTCGCTCCACCCCGCCCACCAGCGGTGGTTAACATCGTTTTAAAGGTCTTTTAATTTTTAATAAGATTCTGTAATTTTTTTAAGAATCTGTCAGTTTTCTAGAAATTGCTATTTGAATTTTCAAATTAGGTAATTTAAGTGAAAAAAAAAGCAATTGTAAATCAATGAATGTATTGCTCAAAGTGATTTCCTCTTTCATTTAATAGGATGAACGTTGATCAAATGGAAAGTGTCAAAATGACATCTGTCAAATTAACAGTTGCAAAAAAACATTGTGCGTTATTTTTCCTCTTATTTACCTAATTTAAAAGTTTAAATAGCAATTTTTTGAAAACTGACCAACAGATTTTTGAGACGGTTCACAACCCTGCTCTTAAATAGCAATTCTCATCTAATATCAATTCACGTACGGTACACCCGCAGACTGTCTGTGGGTACACCATAGATGAAAGGCTAGATTTTGGTTACCTATAGGTTACTATAGTTACTGTTCTCTGCTCTGTGATGCGTGTTTTGCAGACCAGCGCATTCTTTAATTTTCTGCGTTGTGAGATACAAAAGCGTTTTGGCAAACGGATCTTTAAATTCGAGGTTAGATCATCTGTCAAATTAATCTTTTCTTTGATAAGATTTCCCCATTTTTTTTAGAATTATATGGAAAGCTTAGTGAATGTTGCGTTCAAAATACTAGGCCGCTTAAATTTAGGTTCCATTTTCGGAATCGCAATCGAAAAATATTCTGACAGTTGTTAAATGGTATAGAGGTTATTAATCTATGGGTATACCAACTTTGTGAAAAAAACAAACGCGGTAATTGTCATTGCAGCCAAGCTAATAAAAAAACTCCCAGTTAGTTTTGGCTACCGTACGTGAATTGATTAAATGATGTTTACTAAATAAGATTTACGAATGCGAATATTCTCATCTCTCAGCTTTTGTCGTATATGCTGAACGTTCGTAATACGTTTGGTTCGGGTTCGGGAAGGTAGTAGGTGCATGTCGGTGAGACTGTATGCTGTAGCGCCCTCGGGGCAAACAGGTCATTGACCACAATGGCCCGATCGCTGAACCGGGATCACTTTGCCATTGCTACTGTCATTTCTTTGCGCGATTCCAGATTCTGATCTATGATTAAGCCATCCAACAATAATAAAGTCTTTCTAATACTTATTAATATCCGGATTGGGCAACTCTGTTTTTTATCTGTAAGTATACCTAATAAAAACGTATTTTTATGATTTTCAAAACGTAAAATATAACGAAGTAATAATAAAAAGTACTACCTATTTAAAATAGCGATTAAATTCAATTAAAACGTATTAGTTTGTGATAAATTAAGTTTTCTCCTACGACTGATGACCTTGCAAGAGTAGTTTCTAAAACCAAGCATGAAGAGTTAAAATAAACATACCTAAGTGCCATGAGAGCACATAATTTCTCACGTTGTAAAGGGCGTTTTATAACCAGCTTGTTTGGATTAGGTAATTTTCAGTGTTGACAAAACACCGCTTGGTTATTTTTTTTCTTGTTGATGGGTGTATAGAGTAAAAAACAGGTGATATATTAAAAATTTTATTTGAAATATATATAATATAGTATAATTATGAAGTCATTATGTACAAGAATAAAATTAAAAACTCTTAAAACAGAGTTTTAAAACAACATATTTGTGCTATGTATAATAATTGCGTCCCTGAATGGTTAAGAGTGTGACGCGTCCATTGTGCATTTGAATGGTGACAGAGACAAAAAGAAAAAACGTAAAATCGTTCAACAATGGGCAGGTAAATCTGTAGCTGTTGGGTTTAGGTAGTTGGTAAATGGAATGTATTCAAATAAGTTAAAATGTTTGGAACGGTCTCGACTCTCAACTCGTTCAGAGATTCAATTCACCCCTTCGACACTCATACAATATACAAAAATACAATTAGTTAACATCTCACTATCACATGATCTGGTATTTTCAATACCCTCGCGATTAAACTCTCTTTGCAAATCGAAATAATAGTAGTAATGAATCATATATCACATAAAAAATAGCACACATTAATTTTGGATCAATAAAAATAATGTAAAAAAATTTAAATTGTGATTTGCAAAGAAAATCGGTATTGTTCGATGCCTATACGAGATCTAAGACGATGCAATAAGATGCAGTGGAACACACGGCTTCTGTCTGGACATGAGGAGGTCGGAACCAACCGACAACCAACATCATTACCATCAGGCTTACGGTAGTGTATGTAGTAGGTATTTCCTATAGGAGACATTTCAATCCATCAATTATCATCCAAGCTACTAAAATTACACCGTCATGGCGAGAAATGGCCGTTGTTGTATGCTGTCCGGTGCGTCTTTCGCCTGTGCCGAGCACAAATCTGGCGTGGACACGGACCTGTTGAGTTTGCTGTCACCCATGCTAAAGCTGAATATGGACACCAGTGACGTAATGCGATCGATTTCCATCGCCGAACCGCTGCCGCCACTAACATTCGATGATTCTTGTTGCTGCTGCTGCTGGCATTTGTCGGTCGACTCGGTTGCCGCCGCGGCGGCCGCCTGCTCGGCCGCCGCCGCCGTCGCGGCGTCCACCTCTTTGCTCACGACGTCAGACAACAAAGCGGCGTCGTCTAGAAACACGGAGTCGTCGCTCGCTTCGCTCTCCTCTTCTTGTTTACTTCTCTTAGGCAGGATGGATTGCACGGCTTCTTCGGTTTCCCATTCGGCGACCGCACGTCTCCTTTTTAACGATGGAGAATTGCAACGTTCGCGCAACACGTTCGAACTTTTGTCGAGGTCCAGGTAAGTCAATTCGGACGACGAATGATAGGAAGGAGGGTGGTTTTCTTTGTCTTGGTTGCCCGAACACTTTAAACAAGCAGGCTGAAGAAACTCCTGCAGGTTGTCGCTGCTCGACGAAGACTCTTGCAGATCGTCTGGCAGCCCGGTGGAGGTTTCCAAGCCCGCCTCCTCGACGGTCAAGCCGACGAGGTCGTCTTCGGGAACAGGCCTGGCTTGAATGGGCGCAGGTGGTTGGCAGTGCACCATGTTGTAGGCCTCTTCCATAAAGATGTAGCGCGCTTTTTGAAGCACTGTCGCCACAAGTAAATTCTTGTGCAAACTGACACCACCACGATGAGATCTGGACTGTGCGATTTTTGTTAGGGAAATTCCAATTAATCTTTGAGCTTCACTAGCCATTTTCACTGAATTAACAATAACAACAACAATCTGTTTATTAGTTACGTTAACGCGTCTCGTCTACACCACACTAGCAACTCTCTCGACTCGACTTTCGACTAAAATGCAGAGGAGGACGCGCTCACATATACTTATAGCTTTTCCAGCTGACGTCACAACCTACTTTCAACGTGTCGTTCACCAATCAGCGTTCGTCCTTGCCGAATACAACCGTGGTATATTCGGGTTCAAACGAGAGTCTGTGGGCGATAGCAACAGGAGCCCGTTCGGTTCATTATCTGTATGTATTTGCCTTATTATAACCTTTATACACATCTACTGTAATGCTTATTAAAAGCGGAAGTTGATGTTTGAAAAAATACATCTTGCGTACGCAAGCATCCAGAGATTTCTTTGTCTGATACACACAGACCATTCTGGATTTGTTTTATAATTTTTAACACATTTATGATTCATAATTTTGGTATGGTTTTTCTATTTTGAAAGGAAATTCCTTTACCAAAGTAGGTATATACATATTATGTACTCTGTAAAAGCAAATCTCAGCTTAAATAATATGGATTAACGCAACCATTGTCTGCGATTATTGAAATTTATTATCCAGACGGTCATTAACACTCAAATTTGCATTAAAATGTTTAATTTACCTGAATACGTCCCAAATGCCTCTATTATTAATCTGTTTTACTCTAAATAAAAACAAATGGCGTAAACAAGAAACTAATGACCAACAAGTGAAGATATTTAATATACAATTAAAAATGTGTTATTTTTTAGGTACCAAAGTACCCCAAATACATTATATATAAAACAACTTCTTATACAATTATTTGTAGATTGTCAATGCCGGCGAGCATAACTACCCCCTTCGCAAAGAACTCGTAAAATGGCGTTAATCCTCATGTATTAACATGATAAGATAATCAGCTTAAACATTCTTACCTATTAGATTACAGCAATCAGCTATTATTTCTGTTATCTCCTGTTAATTATAAAATACGGAATTATTCTCTATAAAATCCTTCCAAGATAAAATCGACAACATAAAAATTGCCATCATTGCCAACTTAAATTTTAACCGCTAAAAAATTACATTGTCACCAACAAAGTGTAACAAAAGTTACCAAAATTTTATGTCATTCAGTCTGGTTGTCTAAAAATTTCATAACAATGTCTAAATTGCAGACCCTTACGAAAATATCTAGGGAAGCCCTATTAAAGTATAAAGTAAAATACAATACAACGTAAAAAATGCCATCATTGCCAACTTAAATTTTAACCAGTAAAAAATTACATTGTCACCAACAAAGTGTAACAAAAGTTACCAAAATTTTATGTCATTCAGTCTGGTTGTCTAAAAATTTCATAACAATGTCTAAATTGCAGACCCTTACAAAAATATGTAGGGAAGCCCTATTTAAGTATAATACTGGTTCAATTTCTTCTGCAAGATGTGCTTCCGATTGGGTTCCAAAGGAAAAAGAAACTCACACTGGACAGGTTAGTTCTAACTTTAACCAAAGGTTATATAGTTTAATGATTGTTGATCGTTTTAAGAAATGGGAAGCAAACGACTACAGGTTGGCTAGATTTATAGACAGGCCCAAACATGTAAATGAAAACTTTGCTATTAACCTTATCGCAGAAGTTCCACCAAAAGCATGTAAAGAACGTGTTGTATCATGTGATGGTGGTAGTGGCCCCACAGGTCACCCCAAAGTCTATATTAACTTGGTTTGTACTTTCAGCACATTTACTTTGCTGCTACTGAGTAGTTTGACAATTAAACTAAATTTTAATGTTTCTAGGATAAGCCAGGTGAGCATGCTTGTGGATATTGCGGATTAAGGTTTTACAGGGATGAACAGCACCATTAAATATTGTTATTGTAGTTGTAAATAAATAAATAAATGTTTATGAATTTATATTGATTTTTATTTAAAAATTGTAGGTTAAGTTTTCAGTTACATAAGATATCTTGGTAGCAAGAAAATTAATTAAATAATAAATATTCTTGTAATCAATATTCTTAAAATTAACTCCAATAATTAATTTTTCTATAAAAAATTGAAGTATATTACATAATTAATTTTAGAACAATGGCAACACTGAAATAACCAAACATGTTCTTATTTAGGGTATTTGTATATTAAAAGTAACAGTTGGTAACACCAACTTGGTATTCTGATATGCGCAAAATCGATGTTGACAAGACCGTCTTTTTCTATTTCTCATTTTTCGTTTGTTCGTTGGTGTCGTAGGTGTTGTTGGTAAGTAATTTTTATCTGTAAAATTCTTAACCATCCTGCATGAATCATCTATAAAATGATGTTATTTCTGTTACGTTTTATCTAAATATTTTATATATCAATATATTTTCTGTCAAAAATCAATACATGCTCGTAAATCGGCTTGCCAACTTTTTAACCACATCCGCCATTTCACTGACGCCGCTACATGACAGTTTAACCGTTTTTCTTTGAATTTAGTGTTAAAATACGTTAAAATGGCTGATGCTGATGATCTTTTGGATTACGAAGATGAGGAACAAACCGAACAGACCACGACCGAAACGGCGGGAGCAGGGGACGCCAAAAAAGCCGTTAAGGGTACTTACGTATCCATCCACAGCTCCGGTTTTAGAGATTTTCTTCTTAAACCTGAAATTTTAAGGGCTATTGTCGATTGCGGTTTTGAACATCCATCGGAAGGTAAATATGATTTTTTAAATTTGCGTTATTTTTTATATTTTTAATTAATTATGACGTCATGTATGAAATATATAAATTAACCCTTCGTTAGTGTGGTGGGGTATGACATACCCCAGTGCTATTGTTTTCAACTGTAAAATTAAAATTAAGAAAACTAACGACCCCTGCGGCCCAATAGCTACAGATTACACATAAACAAAGATAATACCTACATTACCGACTATTTATGTACTTTCAGTTTAATGTAAGATTTCGATAAAGTTGGTTGGGACATGGTATACCCCACCACACTAATCGTGTAACTTTTTGTGTAAATACGTTTTAAAGGTAATTCGCGTATATGTTTTTAGTTTACAAGACATACTTATTATTTTATTTAGCGATATAAATAACAAAATGTCATACGAACAAGAGCAAGAGAGGCTGCAAAAATTATGGCAAGAATTCGGAGGAATTTCGGATAAAGAACCAATTATAGATTCTGAATCTGACGAAGAAGAACTGCCTCCAGATTTTGAACAATCAACAGAAAATGTTCAATCGGAAAATGACGATTTGTCTCAAGATAACTCAGATAATTCAGAAAGTGCTATCGATGCATCGGAAAATGACGATTTGTCTCAAGATAATTCAGAAAGTGCTTGGATCACTCAATTTTTTTGTGCCCAAAATGCGCTCACTTTAATGATTAATAACTTTTTTATTTTCCAAAAAAAAATATTGAGATTTTTTTTATTCGTTTTGTTTGTTCTTTTTCTAGAGGTATATTTTTAGTTGAAAATTAAATATAAGATATATATTTTTTAAATTACATGAATATCACACTATGTTTTTTTTAAGTATAAATGCAGTTATTTTTAATAATGTTAATATTTTTAAAAATAAATATTGGTGTTTGACCTTTTTTGGTTTTATTTGATAAATATGTAAACAATAAATATATTTTTATAACAAATATAACAAAATTTACAAATTTCAAAAATTTAGGGACAAAACCGTTTGGGGTATGACATACCCCACCACACTAACGATGTAACTTTTTTCCACCACATTAACGAAGGGTTAATATTGCACAATATAAATTTTGAGGATTTTGTTGATGTAATAAATTTAAACAAACATGTTTTTGTACTTTAAAAATCACAAAGTTTTGGTTGTTAAAACTGGGTGTAATAGTTTATTTCATACTCTTTGGAAATTGAGTCGTTTTGTTTTGAGACTGGTAAATGCCTAATAGTATCAAGGCCAGAAAGTGTTGCTTTATAAGGGACTGGAGAAAATTTGAGGTGAAGAAAATACCTACAGAAGGAAAGTAATAAATAGGTTTGGGTTATAGAAATATTCAAGTTCTAGAAATTTGAATTAAGAGACTCATCACCACATTGCAGCCCTTTTACTATTATATATCTTCTTTTTATATTTTATATTGAAATAAATTTGATTTGCTTTGGAATGTAAAAGCAGTGTCCAAGAAAAACAATTGATTTGGAAAATAATTCAAGTTATAGAAGTTCAAGTCAGGAAAGTTTCACTATTCCCAAACAGAAAAACCAAAATTTGAAATACCTATTATATTATATTTCATATTTGTGTTTTTCATTATTAAAATGTTATGTTTATGTTTATAAACATATAAATGCAATAAAATAAAATATTTAATGTTCTTCTGACATTGTGTGAAATACTTAATATTGAATTTCTTTATATTTATGATAATGATAATAATAAATCAAATTTAAAATGTTTGTAATTTTGCAAAATAAATAAAAAAAATCAAAATTACAGTAAAAAAAATATTATAAGCTATTTGTTGGGTACTTATTGAACCTTTAATTACATTTTTAAATAAGATATTTTCTCTATTTTTTGTACAATTGTTTAGTCCTTTTATGACATTGTATTCCTCAACATGTTTAAAACAATACATGTCATTGAACAAAAATTAATTATTGGTCGGTGTATACAGGGTGTCCCATAACTAATGGTACACAGTAAAACTGCAGATTCCTTGGGTATTACAATTTGACCAAACTTAGTTCAAAAGTTTATAGAAACCAACATACAGGGTATTCCAGTAAAAATTTAATTTTCGATTTTCCAAATTAAATTGCATCCAATTTTGTGATTAAGAGAGTTTTAGGGTGCAGAAATTTGAATTTGTTAATAATTTTGATGTAGATTGTAGAGGGCACTCTCTGCCTACTGCAATAATAAAAAAATCAAAGAAAATTTGTATAGAGCCTGTGGAAGTTACATATAAATTTCTGTTAACATTTGCTTCACAGTTCTGCAATAATAAATAATCGTCGTCATAATGTTAAAAATTATTAATTTGTCATTTTTGTCTTTTGACTGCTGCTTTCATAGTTTTTTATTGGTTTTCTTGCTCATTTGCTTTATTTTCGCGTTTAAAACCTTTTTTTATGTTTTATAAAATTATAAAACTTACGCGACAACAATGCAAGTGACACTTGTTGTTTAGTTTCCATCAAATGGCTACAAAAGGAAAAAATATTTAAAAAATGTCTACAAACGAAATACGTAAATACGTTTTGTGTCCAAAAAAAGGGGTTTTAATTGAAATTACATAATTAAAATGATACAATAGATTATTAAATAAATTTGATAACATGTTTAGTATTGATTAAATATCTATGATGAATAAATAATTCTTTCGCGGTTTCCACCAGAACTTAACAGTTATGATGGCCTAGAATTTCTGACTTTTAAATTTTTGAATATTTTATATATTATTTTGACATGAAATAAAAATGAATTCTTTCTAAATTACAGTACAGCATGAATGTATTCCACAAGCCGTTCTCGGCATGGACATCTTGTGCCAAGCAAAATCCGGTATGGGTAAAACCGCCGTGTTCGTGTTGGCAACGTTGCAACAACTCGAGCCTACCGAAAACGTGGTCTACGTACTGGTAATGTGCCACACGAGAGAGTTGGCCTTCCAAATCAGCAAAGAATATGAACGATTCAGCAAGTACATGTCCAACATCAAAGTTGGCGTGTTCTTTGGTGGGTTACCTATTCAAAAGGATGAAGAGCTGTTAAAAAACAATTGCCCACACATTGTGGTTGGTACTCCTGGCAGAATATTGGCGTTGGTCCGTTCGAAGAAGTTGAATCTCAAACACCTCAAGCATTTTATTCTTGACGAGTGCGACAAAATGCTGGAACTATTAGGTAAGCTTTAAAATATTTGTTATTTTCATTTTTTGTTATGTTTCTATAGCAACTACTTAGTGTTTGTAACAGCTTAATGGGTTTCAACAAATTTTTTATCTATTTTGGGTTCATAATGACCGCTTTCAGTGCTGTAATGAGATACTTTACCTCACCCAAAATTTTGATTTTATAGGTTGGCTATACATTAAACAGCATACTAGTTAATAATATTTTGCATATTATAATATTTTTATGATTTTTCTAGTACTTATGAGACTTTTCTGGCAATAAAGAAGATTCTTTTTTTCTTCTTTAACAATAACAGCCACTTATTGTAAATAAGTAAATTAAGGACGGCATGGCGAATTGATTTTGACATTAACTGTCAAACCAATGACTGTGATACCAACTATCTAAGTAAAATTCGATATAAGGTATAAAATAGAATTTTTGCAAAATAGGTAAAATAGCATACAAAACTAATGTCAATTTATTCTTCTTTAATATACTATTTTTTTTATCTAATAGGTTTCCAGTAAATCTCATGTTATTATATTTTATTTAAAAATCTCATGCATTTTTATAATAATAATATTATTATTAATGTATTTAATGATCCATATTATAATACAATACAAGATCAAGCTAGTGACTGAGGTCCTTCAGCCAATTGTATATATTTACAATTGATTTGATTTTAAATAAAATATGAATATGAAATTAAGTGTCATTGGCCATTTGGATAATAAAGTTTATTATTATTATTATGAAACATGCATATAAAAAATATCAGTTATTCTTGGACAATTATGATTGGACAATTTCAAATAGTCTTTTCAGGGTATTTAAATTTCTGATCTTCTGGATTCCTTGTAATGTTGTAGTGTTCATCTAATGTTGACCTGTTACATGATTTTGCACAAAACTGAGGTTTTTGAGTTTTCATAAATTCTAGCAAATTTGTGCTTTGTCATGAGAAAGTATTTTATCATAATGAATGTACATTTTGAATGTGCCTCTGCTTTAAAAAATTATAAAATTTATGATGATAGTAATAATTTTACAAGATATATTCGTCAGGATTTTAAATTTTTCAAATAATAAAAATCTTTAATAAATTTTAATACAATAATAAATTAAATAATTTTACCTCTGCTTCTGCTTTACAGTACTTAGTACGTAGTACGTACCTAATTTTCTCACCTTAGCAAGAAAACCATTTTTTATAAATTTAGCAACCTTAAATCCGATCCCCAGTGAAAAAAATTATATTTAATATAAACTATTAAAAAAACATATTATTGAGTTTGTTTTTTATACTTAATTATAAAAAGAGGGTTTGAAAATATCATGATATTTTTATAAATATCATATCACATGATATATATTGGATATATATCCAATGGCAAGTTTTTTTATTCAATAAAAAACAACATTATTTTATGCATAAACTATCTTTTGACACAAACACATTAATGAAAATCTTAGGTTCTACTTCTACTAAATAACAAAACATTTTATTTTAACAGAAAACAAAAAAAAAAACTTTTCTTTATTATTTTAAAAAATGTAGGTATAAAATAATGATAAATATTCCCCAAAACCTGATTATAAATTGTCTAAAAGTTTTAAATTTGGTTAAGCAATTTTCGGGTGAAAAAAAAACTTTAATATGATGACACCAATAGGTAGGGACATCTGAAAAAATTGATGTAAAATGGGCCTATCCTGACAAAATATTGATCATGTAAATTTGTTGTATTCTCCTTAACAATGTAACTATGTAATTGTTTGTTTTGTTGCAGATATGAGAAGGGACGTTCAAGAAATATACAGAAACACACCTCACGGAAAGCAAGTAATGATGTTCAGCGCCACTCTCAGCAAAGAAATTCGTCCCGTCTGCAAGAAGTTTATGCAAGATGTAATTCAACTTAGTACTTTATCTACACCACCGTCGTCCGCACCCAGTCGCAATGCTGTCTGTTCGTGGGGTTAAAAATCGTTTATCAATAAAAATATTGCGGGCAAATTAATAAAGTTAACAAACCTGGGTTTATCGTTACTTAGCGCACTGTAGCCCAACGAGTAGGCGAACGGGGTTGGGCCGTGGGCGAAGAAGATGGATTCGAAGAAGATGATGAAGATTAATGTGGGGAATTGCGTTAAAATAATATATTTTTGGCCGTGCTACAGTGCATGAAAAATTATTAGGAAACCCAAATTCATTCAAACCGTCAAAATATGCTAGCGTTTTTGGAAGCAGAGATGTCCCCTTACTTTCAACAAATTCGTAAAAATACACAATTAATAAAAATCAATTGCTGGGGGTAAATCGTGTGTTAGCGCACTGTAGCCCAACGAGTAGGCACAAGGGGTTGGGCTGTGGGCTAAGAAGACGGATTTTGGTTGGAAGAAAAAGATGCATGAAGATTTTTGTTATTTGGGGTGGGGGAGGAGGTAATGTTACACTAGAAGTATTTTGGCCGAGCTACAGTGCACGAAAAATTGTTAGGAATATCCAAAAAATTGCAACACCATTACTTTCTACCTACATTTTATGGATTTTCGAAAAAACGAGTAGTTGACACTTTATGGACATGGAAGCGGCGATGGGATGCGACATTTTCGATGTATGATTAACCCACCTTATCCCTCGAAATTTCCGAAAATTTAAAATCAATTTAATTTTACATTAAAAGTCGGGTTTCCTTAAACCTTTTTTGAACGTTTCCCAAAAAAAGTTCAAAAAAGGCAACAATTCTAATGATGCACTTTTTGTTTAGCCAATGGAAGTTTACGTTGACGACGAAGCCAAACTTACCCTCCACGGTCTCCAACAACATTACGTTAAACTAAAAGAGAACGAAAAAAACAAAAAATTATTTGAATTGCTCGATGTTCTTGAATTTAATCAAGTAAGTACACGCCAACACTAAATTGGTTTTTTTTTCATTCTTTTATGATGAAAACGTACAATCTGATTTATGATTATAAATTGAACTCTCTCACTGACTTGCTATTAATAAATTTAAAACACTTAACCTCGTTAATTTTCGAATTGCTGCAGTATGAAAATTTTAGGTCGTCATTTTCGTTAAATCAGTACAAAGATGCGTTGCACTGGCCCAATTATTGACTGAACAAAATTTCCCAGCCATTGGAATTCACAGAGGAATGGACCAGAAAGAACGTTTATCAAGATATGAACAATTTAAAGATTTCCAAAAGGTTGGTAACAAACTAAAGCCCAGGCCAATTTATTAGACCAACTCGCAAAAATGCATTTTTGAAATACAAAAATGATTTTTTGAATATAATCGCTTTAAAAACTTTTAGAACGAAAAATATTATGTATCCAGTTTGATAAACGCCATTTTAGTCGCGAATTTAATTTAGGCATTTAGAAAAGTTTATAAACGAGTTGCATGCTATACTTTTTCTGCGAAAAATACTTAATATTTTCTAAAAAATTATTTAAATTAAATTTTTCTATAAATCGACATCTATACGAAAATAATGTAACCATTAAAATAAACATTTTTGACGTAATTTTCACCATTAACATTGCCCATTATTATTTCAATTTAACATAACAATTATTGATACTTTAAAATTTTAAAATAACTTCAAAATATGATTATGTTGAGAAAATATTTTATCCTTTGATTTTTTGTATTACTATAATTGCAAAATATTATCAAAGTACTTATTAAAAATTCTTACACAGTACTTATTAAAAATTCTTACACGGGAAATGTTAAAGGTACCATTTTTACATGAAAAATGAAATTAAAAACGACTTTTTGATCTTTAAAACTTATCTATGCAATTAAACTTTGACTACAACTACACTTGTTATTTCCCACAGAGTTATTTCCCACAGATTTCCATATTTAAAATTCGTTTTGAAACTTGAGAACCAAAATAGGATCATGTTGATAGTTAAAAATTGATTAGTATTGTTTATTTTTTATGGAAATTTCATGAGCAAGATCGTAAAATGCAAAATAAAAATGAAAACAAAAGTTTTTAAAATTATTTTCTTGGAATCTCTGCTGTCAAAAAATCTGAAACTATTTGTAAATGTGTCTGATGAAATTCTATGAAAACTCTTAAAAAAATTGTCGCGGGACACCCTGGATAACCTTTTTTTATTTCAAAATGTATTTTATGATAAATTGTCTTAAAAATAATTAACGAATTTTTGTGAGAAGATATCGACTATTTAACAAATTCCCAATAAAGTCCAATAAATTGGCCAGGGACTGTATTATTATTACATAATTTAACATGATGATATTGGATGTAGGGACATATGAATAATATGATTATTTACATATTTGGGAAAATATTCTGACTTAACCAAAAACTTGTATTAAAGATTAATAAACTTAATGAACAGTCTTATAATAATTTTCTTGTTGTAGAGAATATTAGTAGCCACAAATCTCTTTGGTAGAGGGATGGATATTGAACGTGTAAACATTGTGTTCAACTATGACATGCCAGAAGATTCTGACACCTACCTTCACAGGGTTGCCAGAGCAGGGCGTTTTGGTACCAAAGGGTTGGCCATTACGTTTGTGAGTGAAGAAAGTGATGCCAAAATTCTAAATGAAGTGCAGGATAGGTTCGATGTTAATATTACAGAGTTACCTGATGAAATTGATCTCAGCTCTTATAGTAAGTTAAACTTGTGTAAAAAATTGAGTTTTGTATTAATGTATGCATAATTTTGTTACAGTTGAAGGAAGATAAGTGAATGAAAGCAGAATAGATTTTATGTGTTTAATTTTAGTTTTTTGTTTGTTAAGTAAAGTATTATCTACTTTAATGATTTTATAAATAAACTTTTCTTTGTATAAAATGTTTTTTATTTATTTATATTATGTATAAAAGTACAATTTACATAATATAATCCAAAAATCAACCACGATTGAAACTTCCTAATTTATAACCAAATAATTATTTGTTATGTTTCTACTGAATATTTTCACATCGGGATCGTGCGCATTTTCCATTTTTTTAAATCGCATTGGCCGTACTAAAATTCTTTTATAATTTGTGCTAAAATTTTAAAACTTCGAATCACAATATGATACGTTCGTAGCCAGGGAATTTCCACAGAAGTTTTTGTTGTCCCACCTCTAATCATTTTGCCCACAATTTTGAGCACGCCTATAATTGGCTACTTTATTTTATTAATGGCACCTCTGATCAAAAAACGGCAAAGACTAATCGACTTGGAATCCCATCCTCTACCCCTTTTCTGCTGTCCTTGACTTTTGAGACACCCTGTATATATATTTTTATAAAAGTCCTTAAATTCGAGTAAAACTTGAAAATCTGGCAACAAGCAGCAGTGTTCCCAACAGTCTAAAATAAGTTTTTGCGCGTTAGATTTGTTTGACAGATCTAACCTATACGAAGATCTTGTCCACAAAGAAAAAATGCATAAATAAAATGTTTTCCGTATGTTTTAATAACCAATCGCAATTAGAATGCAGTGCCCTGAGGTGTGGAATTTTAAGGAACCTGAATCAACGTTCAAATCGCAAATTGTAGACGCAAATGGTCTCAGTAACCTAAACAAAATCAAGAATTTTTACTATAACCATTTAGTAAGTGGAATTATATTTAGAAATTATTGTATATTATATAATGTGTTTTTAATAGGCTTCAATAATTCTTCCTGACACACTAAGAGTACCTAAAACCCTAACAGAAACTCTCAACACTGACTGTGATTATTACTCTATTAAAAATATTAATTTACAAGATCTACTGGATTGCAATTTTCTGGTTTGCTTTGTTAGAAGTGGTACATTAACATTACTAAGCGTAAACACAAGAATCGACTGCGACACTTGTGTCTGTATAACACCAACAGGTCATCTTATACTCAATGTGGACAAAGAGACTTTTCAGACATTAGGGCTTGAAGGAAAAGTGTCGCATTTCCATTCTAAAGTTAAAAGCAGATACTGTAAGTATAATTGTCCCCCATACTTTTTTTAAATGTTAGCTTAAGGTCTCATCATAAATTTTACTATTTATTATTAATTTAATTTAGTCAAATTTAGCAGAACAGGTATTTCATATCTACATATGTCAGAAAAGAACAATTTTAATCAGGGACCCGGACCGAAACCGAAAAAAACCGAAAACCGGAACGGAACCGGTTTTTTTTTCCGAACCGAAACCCGAACCGGAACCGTTTTCGCTTTTGATAAAATCTGTTGGACCGGAACCGAAACCTTTATTTGCTTTCATTCTAATAACATTATATAACATATATATATTATATGTGAGGTTATAGATTAAAATTACGTAAAACAAATAACCTCACTGGAACCGCTTAAAACCGAAAAGAACCGAACCGTTATAAAATCTGTTGGACCGGAACCGAAACCTTTATTTGCTTTCATTCTAATAACATTATATAACATATATATTAGGGTGGTCCTTAGCTATAGAGGTAAAAGATATACTTTTAATATTGAATTGTCCCACCCCCCCCATTTTGTTATAGAGAAAGAGAAAAAAAATTACACAAAAATTTGAATGGCCAAATCAACCCCTTCACGTGCCTGTGAGGGGTTGAATTTTGACAAAATCTCCAATTTTTAAGGTTTTTGCCATTTACTCCGCAAAAATCGCATATCTCAAAAAATTTTACTCATTAAAATCTTTTCGTCTATTAAAGGTCTATAAAAATTGTCTCTTGAGATTTTATCCTAGAAAGCACCATTTCGTGGAAAATTGCATTTGTGCATAATTACCACAAATTTAAGGTTTGTGTAGGAAATGGTGCTTTCTAGGATAAAATCTCAAGAGACAATTTTTATAGACCTTTAATAGACGAAAAGATTTTAATGAGTAAAATTTTTTGAGATATGCGATTTTTACGGAGTAAATGGCAAAAACCTTAAAAATTGGGGATTTTGTCAAAATTCAACCCCTCACAGGCACGTGAAGGGGTTGAGTTGGCCATTCAAATTTTTGTGTAATTTTTTTTCTCTTGTGTTATAACAAAATGGGGGGGTGGGACAATTCAATATTAAAAGTATATCTTTTACCTCTATAGCTAAGGACCACCCTAATATATATATATATGTGAGGTTATAGATTAAAATTACGTAAAACAAATAACCTCACTGGAACCGCTTAAAACCGAAAAGAACCGAACCGTTATAACTCCACGAAACCGAAACCGGAATCGGAACCATTAAAACGAAAATAGGGTAAACCAAAACCGTACCGGAACCGATATTTCATTTCGGTCCGGGTCCCTGATTTTAATGTTAAATTGACATCTTTTATTTAATAACAATCATAGACAAGGGATTGGTTGGGTGGGCGGGGGGTTAGATAACAATATTTGGTTTAATTTTGAGAGGGTTTATAATTTGAAGGGTGTAAGGTAGTATCTCCATTTGAAGACTTTCCATAGAATGTCTTTAAAATTTAATATATGATTTTGTGAGCAGGGCTGTCTTAAGATATTCAGCTTCTGTGGGCTACTAAAAATAATGCACCCTTCTTCATAAGAGGAGTTAGTTATATAAGTTATACAAAAGTGTCAGAACTAGAAAAAGTTCATTTATTATCATTACACTAAATAAAAACATAAAATTCTTCATAAGAGGAGTTAGTTATACAAGTTATACAAAAGTGTCAGAACTAGAAAAAGTTCATTTATTATCATTACACTAAATAAAAACATAAAATTCATAAAAACATATAAAATCAAAACATGATTTAAATGTTATCATTTATTTCAAAATAAATGACATTCTGATTGTTGTCATTGTGGAAAACTTTTGACAATTTTAGTTAAATCCGGATACATGCTATTCTAACACATCAAGTTGGAAATCAGTAGCCGACATCTGTACGCATTTTTTGCATGTGACGCGATTCGAGAAAAGAGACCTAGCATCCAAAAATCAAATTTTACATGAGAGGCGATTGAAGTTTGCGCGGCATAGGCGTTTGTGTAGTGACGCTAGCCATGTCAATTCCATTTGGACCTTTCGAAAGATCGTTTACCCCTCTACTTATAAAAATGATAATCTCAAAAATCATGGACGATAGGTCCCTTTTCTTGGATCGCGTCCAATATTTACCTACTAATTTTCAAAATTCGTCAAGGAATATTTGTTTCAGCAGGGGATAATTCTCCTTAATGTGGGATGAATGGTAACTTTAAGTAAAGATAGTATAAACTAGATTAATACGCTGTGCGTCAAAATTAACGCATAACAAGTAAAAAAAATCCAAGTCTAAAACGCCTTTACCAATCTTTATAAAATTTTGGATAAAAATACTTTAACTCATATCTCAGCTTACCTGTTCAAGGGTTTTTCGAGAAAATATCCTTAAAGACCTTTTATTTAATAAAAATAAACGCCCAAAAAAAAACTTTTATAGGGAAATTTTTTTTAAGTAAATAAAAAATATCCCGTGAAAGACTGTATTTTTGTTAGTAAACCCTGAAAATGCTGTACAAATCAAACGAACAGTAACGAAAATCAAAAATTACCATTTTTCAGCAAAATAATTAAAAAGGGGTAATTTTTACCGACTTTGAAGCGCTGTACCTTTGTTACTGTTCGTTTGATTTGTACAAAATGTTTAGGGTTTACTAACAAAAATGCGGTCTTTAACACCATATTTTTAATTTACTTAAAAAAAATCTCTAAAAGTTATTTTTGAACGTTTCTTTTATTATTTAATTAAAGGGCTTTAAAAATATTTTTTTGAAAAACCCTCGAAAACATAAACTGAGATATAAGTTGAAGTATTTTTATACAAAATTTCATAAAGATTGGTAAAGGCGTTTTAGAGTTCAGTGTATCATTAACGCCAAAAGGTCGTCTTTTAATGACATTAATTTGATGTACTTATGCTCCACATCCAAAATTTTCACAAATTTTAATACAAATAAAAAAGGTTAAGGTCTTATTTTCTGAAAATAATACATTATATGTATTTTTTTTGGTTCTAAATAAGGACCTTCATACACAAAAAATAGAAAATAGGACAAAAATATAAGTAAGTAGGTTTATTAGCAAAACATCTGCTACAGAGGTATAACAATAATAAATTATATCACATAACAATAATAAATTATATCACATATCACAATTTGACTAGAAAGTTCTTTTTATGTAATCACAAACTTGTCTTCTAAACGTTTTTTCCCTTGTTATTTCTTTTATTTGCATTGGTAGAGAATTATACAGTCCTAAACCATTGTAAAATAGGGATTTATAAGTACTAGTTTTTTTTGCAGTTTTAACACATATCACAGTTTGATCTAGTACTATAAGAGTGTACATACACAATTTTGTTTGTCAAATAATTAGGCAATAGTTTATGTACGATTTTAAAAACAAATATAATAATATTTAGTACAAGTCTTTGGTTCACACTCAAAAAATTTAAACAATTTAGCATAATATATTAGCATTGAGTAAAGTGTGAACACTTTACTCAATGATACTAGCATTATATATATATATATATTATATATATATATATTATATATATTATATATATTATATATATTATATATTAGCATTTTATATTATCCTCAATTCTGGTATATCTATTAACTTGCAAAATTCTCCTCATACCACGATTTTGCATTTTTTGAAGAGTTATTTTATCTACCTCATTTTTATAATATAATAAAGTTAAACTTATACACACAGAAACTTTTGGGTGTGGAAAACAGTACATGTTCTGCTTTGGTGACAAATTTAACGGTCACAAATTATGTTGTATAAGAAACCCTCTTTAAGCTTAAAAAATAAAACAACCGATTTTTCCAATTTTAATTGTAATAGTATACTATCTATAGGTTCTACGCAATGCGCATGCCTTAAGCCAAATTTGTATAATATTCGCATATTATCTCTCAAGGGATTCTTGAGATTTCAAATCTTGCGAATCCGCCAAATCTAATGCAACATGTTGCATGAGGTCATTATTTGAAATTCGTAATTCGCATCTATTTTGCATTGAAGGATCAAATCAAAATCGTTTGGAGAACGTTCTAATAGTTATAACATACACCGAAAATAAATAACAAAATGTACGACCATTGTCAGAATTTAAATTAAATTCGTCAGTTATAATTAAGTATAAAATTAAATTAACTTTATCACCAGTAAAAAGTTTTTCGGCATCTGAATTTGTGGTGGTGCATAATTAATATTCGCCATCATTTTTTTCAGACGATGCCCAGATATCGAGCTGTGCCGTCACTGCAGAGCCTCTCCTTGAAAGGAATTGGCTCCTTAGTTGAATCCTTGCAGCCCATACTTGTTTACAATACCCTATTAACGTCAGACTCTCAAAGTATCGTCAGCAACTTGCAACAGCAGCTTGACTGCCTCACCAACTTATTGACGTCGCATGTTCCTTTTTATTTGTACGATTCTATGGCTGTGGAAGTTTTGAATTCTGTCACGAAACTGGTGGAAATCACTAAGAAAAAGTACCGTCCTTTTGCTCAGATCTCCGAGTTCTTAATGGAAATGAATATCGTTTTGAGTTTAACAGAGGTTGTGCTTACAAGTCACATGAAACGTTTGGATTTTTCTTTGTGGCCGAAAATGATGCGCTATATTTTGTTTAAAAAGCTCGATCAAACGAACGGCTTGGAGTATTTAAACCTAGGCTCGTGCACTGGCGTCTGGCGCACTAGCGACAACGACAGATTTATGATTAACACCATGTCGCAAATGAGAAATCTCAAATTTCTTTGCCTATGTTTTGATTGCACGGACATGATAATACAGGCCATAAGCGAAAACTGTCCGTACATTCAGTCGCTCGATGTTACTTCCTCTAAATCCGTGAGTGACAGGAGCGTGACAGCGCTAGCGAATTGCAAACAATTGACGGAGCTCTTTTTGCATCAAACTTCGGTGACTACACAAGGCCTAGCCGATGTGATAATGGGCCTGCCCAGATTGCAAAACATCGGCAGATGCGATGAGTTCGGGTACATATTGACGCATCTGCGGCAAATCCCAAACTATAACGAGGAGTTACCCCTAAAAAAGGTCCACACGCGCGATATGACGAACGTGAATATGCATGTTTTAGTCAACACCTTTCCGCATCTCGAGTCCTTTTCCTTATTTCTAAACGATAACGAAATTATCGACTTGAGAATTTTAATATCGCTTAATAATTTGAAAGAACTGAAAATTCTTTCGGGTGCTTTTCACGCGCATTTTTTGGGCGAATTGCTCGAAGCCAGAGGTTGCCTATTAGAAACTCTCTATCTGGAACAAATGGATGAGATGGATTTAAACGTTGTGATACTTATTAGTCAGTGTTGTCCTAGATTGAAACAACTGGTAATTTATAACTGTGATTTTAGAGATTCCCTAACAAATCCTGTTTATTTGCGGAGTTTCAAGGTAGAGCCTTTTTTCAATCTCGAAAAGCTAACGTGGATAGTTGACGGCGCTTTAAGCATACTAGAATTTATACTCATGAACGCTTTTAATTTGAAGTCGACTTATCTTGGCTCGTCCACGGCCATTAATCACGCCTCCATTGTCAAAATTTTGGGGAAAAATCCGTTGAGGCAACTTGAGGAGCTTAAAATTTTGTACAGTCACGATATGAACATGAGGACTGTGCAGCTAATTTTGGCGAGTTGCCCAAAACTCACAGCTCTCTCGGAACTGGAAGGCTGGCAAGGCATTCAGCAGGCTGAACTAAAGACCTTCAGACGCCACATTACGTCCTCAAACTTTGATTTGGACTTACGACCTACTCTATCTTTATGATAATCAAACAGTGAATACTCCAAAAATGAGATTAGTTTTGTGTACTAGTGTTAGTCTAAATATAATCTATATTTATTTTATACTTTTGCAATGCAAAAATAAATAATTTTACGTGATATAGATGGTTATTTTTTATGTTTAGTTATAGATATTGATTTAACCAAAGAAAACTTCCTTCCCGGAAATCCTTTCTATGAACGCGTCAAGTTTTCTCTAAGCAAACTACCTGATATCTCCATTGTGCTAACTTGGAAACCTCCAAAAGACGAAATATGCCCTTCATCAATAGCAAATCATCTTTCAAAAAAGTACACAGTCAAACAATGTAGTCTCAAACATGACACTCAGATAGTTTATTCTGTAAAAGTCCCAGATATCAATTTGGAAAACTGCAATGAGGAGGATATTGTGGATTTTGTTGAGTGGTTAGGTATGGTTGCATTAGACGTAAATTTTGATGATTTTGTGGATGATCATCACAAAGAATACCTAAACTCTTATCAAACACCCACACCAAATATACACACTGGGCAAGTTAGAGTGCTCCAGTGGAGAGGAATGTTTACTTTCAATGCAGTCGAGCAATTAATAGAAGAAGCTAGGTTTGTATCAATAATTTTGTTTGGTACTTTTTTTTATGAATATTATTCCAGAAAATATATAAAATCTGAAGGTAAACCTTGGGCAGCCATATATGTACAGGGTTTCTCAGACTCGCCTGTTGCATGGTCTAACAATGAACATCATTACTTTATGAGTGGAGACAATGGCTATATTATAATAATTAAAGATGATAAATTTGCAGTTTGCACAAATGAATGCTCAAAAAAGAAATACAAATAAACTTTTATTTACTTATTATAATTATTTTATTTCTTCTTCCTTCTCACTTCATTTGGATTTTTCCTCATCCAGTGCTTTACTTCTTGGCCAGGTCTTATACACAATTGTGCCGATTTTGAGTTTATATCTCTCATAACAAAAGGAGAAAAACCTAAAAAAAAAATTAACAAATGCAAATTTTAGCTCAGTAACCAACATACCAGCTATATAGTCATCTTCCATGGGATTATTTTTCATTGAGGCCAACCTAGTAAGTCTATTATCAGGCATGGGTTGATCAGCCACCAGAATGGGATTGTTTGGATGTTTTCCACCCCTTATTCTTGGCAATGAATATTTCTTTCCCCTTGCTGTCAGTGGTTTTTTTGTGTTAATATGTATCTGCATTTTTCCTTCTTCATCCAAAGAAACAGCAACTTTTTTCAATGTATTATTACCACATTTTGGACAGAATTGTTTGGTCATTATGCTGGTAGTTTTAAAGCATGTATAGCATCTTAATATGAATGTTCTAAGTTGTTTAATTATTCTACCATCAAGTGCCGAAACATTAAGGTTAATTTGTCGTAAAACATTTTGCATTGCAAAATCTGTGGTCATACAGGCAACTGCTACATGCTTTTCTTCCATTAATTCTGAGTTTACTTGTTTTTTGGCTACTTTGACATTTGATGGTGTAATCCAACCTCCATCATCATCATCTTCCTCTTCAGAATCACTTGATGTCTCATTCTCAAATTCATTATCTTCCACAGATACTAAAACATCATCTACTAGCTCTTCTGTTCCCTCTGCTGCCTCAGGCATTTTCATGGTTTTAAATTTTTCTGCTAATTCTTTATCTGTAACATTTTCTGCTACTTCAACAACTTCAATTTCTTCCTTAACTGAAACATTCTTAGAATCACTTTCTGAAACCTTTTTTGTATGACCAGGCGCAAAAAACCCAGAAATATCAGGATTCATGTCTGGTACAGCATTTGTAGTTATAACACTTTTCTGAATAACTGGTTCTTTTCTTAAATGTTCTATGCCAACTTTTTCCTTCTCCAACTGATAAGTTAATGCCATAACCTTAATATCTGTGGCTGATAAGCTGGGATAGTCACCAGTTTTCTTGGCAAATTCAGTTATAACATGTACACTTTCTGGAAATACTTCTTTAACTACTAAATCATATGGCAATACAACTAATCTTCTAAGTTGTCTCTTGTTTGTAATTTCGCTCACCACTTCAGGGCAAGTTATTATATTTTCAGCCACATTCTAAAACATTTTAAGGTTATCATAGAAAAAATACAAAATTAAAGCAAACAAACCTGAAGAGAAGCGTTCTGTATAAATGCGGAAGTGTCCACAACCAAGTAATCAACCTGTTTTTCCGATGTTATCCCCATTTTCACTCGTATATTACCAACACGTGCCAAAAATTGTTTTGACAGATGTCAAAAAGGTTGACAGCAAGAAAAAATGCTACCAACTGTAGAAAGTTTAAACACAATGTTTCCAAACATACATAAATAAAAACCCAACTTGTTTAAAATATATATTTAAATTAAAACAATATTTAAATAAAACTAACAATTACACATATATTTACATATTGTTTTAAATAGAATTTAATTTAACCGTGAGTTTCGTAAAAAATTAATACCACTTGTCAAATAATCAGTTTCGCCAACATAACTTCATTTATTATTGGTTATAAACAAAATTGTACGTGTGACAAAATTTTACGTTTATCTTTCAAAGAAAAAATAAGTTTATTTATAAATTATTTATTTTAACAATTTCTGAATATTTTTTTAAATGGAACATTTAGAAGATAATCTTTTTATGTTTGTCATACTGGCCAGTGATTAATGGAGGCGACAATTTGGTCAGTACATAAATAAAGAATTTTTTGTATTTGTGTCGCGAATCGGTGAATAATGTAATATTTTCCTTTATAAATTCAACAAAGTTATTCCAGATTTTAGTTTTTAAAACTTGTGCAATATTAGTTAGTTTGTGTATTGTGATTGTGATGAAATTATACGTCAGCGCTTGGTAAGGAAACTCTTTTTACACCTAAATATTGCAATAAATTCATTTAAATTATGAGTTTCGCTGTTATTGTTTATAATTTTAGCTCGATATACTGTACAAATAAATCTCAATGTTTTTGTTTTAAAATTGAGAAGTGCAAGTGAATATTCAGTCAGGTGTAAAATAGAAAACAGGTGTTTTCATTGTAAATATGCAATAAATATTGTTTTGTACTTTTTCAGAATTCATTAATTTTTCATAATGGATACCAATTCAGAAGAATCTCCAGGTTTTTATCAATTAAGTATTACAGGTAAGATTTTATATAAAGTCTTTGTTTTTACACCTAGATAATAATAACAACACAAATAAGTTGGTTTAATAATTAAGCCAATGTAGGAATTAAACAATATTTTAAAGTAAAATTATCAATTGCTGAAACTAGATTAGGGTATTTTTGTTGTAATTATGTCCACATAACGCTGGTCTCGCTGATTTACCCCTTGAGTAAATAGGTATAATTACTAATTATTAATTAGACCAGGCTTAGGTTGACATTATGCACTTCTAGCTTAAGTTGACATTTTTAATACAGTTATATTAAATTTTAACCAGTTGACATTGTCAATACAAATTTAAAGAGATATACATATATGTAGATTAAGTTAACATTTTAAGACATTTCTAGCAGACTTCTATCTACCTATTTAAGACATTTATGAGTGTTAATTCTATTTAGCTTAGGTTTGCATGTTTAAAATTTTGTTATATTATAGTTTATGTTGAAATTGAGGTGCTTCTTACACCCATCAGGGTGTTTCATTTAAAAGTACTATTTTTTTTTCACTGACACTCCAGAATATTGTTTAAAATCGAAAAAAAAAATTCTCTCAAAGTTTTAGCCCTTAAGTTTGATTTTAAATACTTCCTTTTTCATTTTGAATTTTTCCCATTTAAAAAGCATGTATTTTTAATCACTTTTTTTTAAATTTCTATATCTTTCTATGCCAGATTTTAAGCTATTATATTGTGTTTCATTGTTACTTACAGAATATTTAACGCTTTTTAAAGAGACTTTAACAATTTTTCTCTAACTTGATTCACCTTGATGGTATTAGCTCTGAAAGTCATATTTTTTTTTTACTTTTTTCACATCATTTAAAAATTTATAAGAGAATGGCTTGTCTTACCAAAAAATTTTAAAGAAAAAAGTTGTAGAAAATTTAATTTCCTACAAAAAAGTCCTTTCCTTTATATCGCTAAAGTGCACAGTTTACAAAATGTGAGCAGTTTAATATTAAAAATTTAAAAAAAATTGTGTTTTCTTGACATTAATTTGCCTTAAATTCGATTCCATGACTATTAAATATCATGTTAACTGTGCATAGCAATATAAACATAGGAACTTTTTTTGTAGAGTTAAAATTTCTACAATTTTTTTCTTTAAAATTTGGTTAGACAAGCCATTCTTTTAATATGTTCAAAATGATGTGAAAAAAGTAAAAAAATGACTTAGAGCTGATACCAGAATCAAGTTCTTAAAGTACTTAAAATCAAATTTAAGGGCTAAAATTTTAAGAGAATTTTTTTTTCGATGTTTTGAACAATAATTTGGAGTGTCGGTGAAAAACAAAAAATAGTCGTTTTAAATGAAACACCCATAGGTAGTACAAATTGATATTTACGTAAACTTACATTTTAAATTAATATTTGCGTTATTTAGCAGTAATTGTTAATTTAGCAAGATAATGTATATGACATTGAAAATAGATATTTATGACAAATAATTCAAACAGTACAAGTCTATATTTATAGGTTTTTAGGATATGATTGTTTTAAATTAAAAATAATCAACAAGACATTTTTGGATTATAGTATATAAAGTGTTGGCCATAATTTTTGCAACCACTGTAAAAAAAATCTAACTAAACCGCATTAATTATTCTTTATGAAATTTTGGATAAAAATACTTCAACTTATATCTCAGTTTACGTGTTCGAGGGTTTTTCGAGAAAATATTTTTAAAGCCCTTTTGTTTAATAATGAAAAAACGTTCGAAAAATAACTTTTAGGGTGATTTTTTTTAAGTAAATAAAAAATATGCTGTTAAAGTCTTAACTTAAAGACCGTATTAGTATACCCTAAAAATTTTCTACAAATCAAATGAACAGAAACGAAGATACAGCGATTCAAAGTCGTCAAAAATGTCCACTTTTCAGCAAAATAATCAAAAAGGGGCCATTTTTACCGACTTTGAAGCGCTGCATCTTCGTTACTGTTCGTTTAATTTGTACAACATTTTCAGGGTATACTAACAAAAATACGGTCTTTAACAGCATATTTTTTATTTACTTTAAAAAAAATTACCCTAAAAGTTATTTTTCGAACGTTTTTTCATTATTAAATAAAAGGGCTTTAAAAATATTTTCTCGAAAAACCCTCGAACACGTAAACTAAGATATAAGTTGAAGTATTTTTATCCAAAATTTCATAAAGAATAATAAAGGCGTTTTAGAGTTAGATTTTTTTACAGTGGTTCCAAAAATTATGGCCAACACTGTATATGTCTGTTTTTGTAAGAAGTGCCTTAATTGTTTACACAGATAGCTTATTAATTTTTTCATCTTATATATTTAGAAATAAGCAAATTTGCAATAATTTTAATTATGGTGTCTAATTGTTGTTAATTTCTTTTAGTTGAATGCGCTCATTTAAGACTTAATAGTTTTTTAAAGCCAAACCCCTATGTAGAAATTACAGTAGACGAGCAAACCCCAAGAAAAACAGACATAGTAAAAAATACCACTCAGCCAAAATGGAATGAAACTTTCACTCTGCTTGTGACCCCACACTCAAAAATCAATTTGAGTGTACTAGATAAGAAAAACTTCAGAAAGGACAGTGTTTGCGGGGAGAAGAAAGTCGATCTCTTTCAGTTACTTACATACTTTAACGGAAAATGTGATAATTTGGAATTAACACTAGATTTAATCAACGAGAATAAACCCAGTGAATCACCTACAAAAGTTGGCGAATTGATGTGTTTTCTTAAAGGCTTAAATGTGGATGTATCAAACTATACTAGACCAGGGGGTTCCACTCCACTTACTCAGAGTAACTCTGATTCATCCAACAATAGTAGAAGTGTTTTTAATGGAATTAAGGCAAAGGTTCGAAGTACAGGCACAGAGAATGTAGTGCCTTCTTCGTCAAGGCGGTCAAATCAACTAACGACCTCTCAGAGTACCAATAGCATACCAAATGGTGAGTGATTTTTATGTTTTATTTTGTTTAAATAAAAGTGTGTTTTTATTAGTTAATGGTAGGCCACCAAGGCCTGCACCAGAGGTACCAAATCAACCAAGGAGGTCTATTGACAGTAGTAATTCATTAACAAATAATAACACTGAAAATAGTAAGTGAAATTGTGCAACATCAACATTGTTGTTGTATTGAGTAATTGCTTTATTACTATTGCTAAATTGTGTTGGTTTTTTGTGAACACCTTGTGTTCAATTAGTTTTTCAAGGTTGAGGGTCTGTTTAAATTTTGCTGTTTGTTTTTACTAACATTTATTTATTTCCATTATAGAAATTTAATATTATTTTTCTACTCCCACCTATAACACTAAGTAATCTTTTAAATACACATTGATAAGTTGTGGCTTTATGGCGTTTTAATCACGGCTGAAGTTAATTTTGAGTTAGTTGACATTTGTCAAATGTCATACAATCGTTAAAATAAAGTGCCCTTGTAAAACAATAATGTGGAAATTATTTTTTTATCTAAACACAAAAATAAATGGTATTACATAGTTTCTCAACGCCAATATCTATTTGTAAAGTTTATATTCAAGTTTGTACTGACTTTTTGATTTCGCCGGCAGTAAACTAGATTTAACTGAAAGCATAAAACATTTCGGGTGGAGACTCCACCGTGAAGTGCCCATAAAACATTCTCTTCACTTTCACTGAAAAACTGCTTCTATATCAGATTTAAACGTTCAAATTTGACATTCTGACTGATAATAGAGATTCCCAAGCTTGAAATTCTTTCGCGAGTTACTCTATTTTTTCTATTTTTTTAATTTAAATCATTTTCAGATAATAATAAGCATTTGTCGTAGAAAAAGTATACAACTGGTTAATAAACTTTTCTAGACACTTATTTAATTAAACACCCTCTCGCAAGCTCGTTCGTGCCTGATTAAAATTCGTGATTAAAATGTCGTTTATCAAACTTGATACATAATATACTATTATTCAATTAATAACCTCTGAATAATTAATTTTTCCACTGTGCAGCAAAATTTGTATTTTATTTTAACTTAAGTTATACTTAACTATAACACAAGTTATAACATTATACCTACTGCTTAAGTTTTAGTTGGGTCTGTCCAATTACAATTGTATTTTAGAAATTTGTTAATTAATTATGATTAAATTTGGTTAAAACTAGAAAATTTGTAATGATAAGAATAACAAAACTGCTCTACATAATTAAGCGTATGAATAATTTATTTTTTAATACATTTTATAAACAAACAACATTTGGTTTTCCCTATATAATAATTAACTCACTATTCACGTTGTTAGGCATCAGTGATTGGCTGATTTCAATATTCACTGTGGTTTGAACCAAATGAAAAAAAGTGAGATTGGAACAGATGTCAGATTTTTTTTATACAAAAATATATCAAAAACTCTTGCCGACTATAATGATCATTAAAATTGAGAGAAAGTGAGGTTATAATAAATTTTGTTACTAATGAAAACTACTTTACTGTAGTAGAAAAAGTATTATATTGGAGATAATGCGCATTATCTGTTGTACAAAATAATATTTAATATTATACTAATTAATGACAACTAATTTTTTTTTGGTGTCACGGCCTTTTTGAAGCCCGTAAATATACGGGGTGTTTCGAAAATATTGCACTAACGGTATGCCACACTGTAGTAGTAGTAGTTTCTTCTAAACAATATTTTGTAATTTTTTCTATAAAAATATCCTGATATATGGCAGTAGTGCGCAATTTTCGGTACACCCTGTATAAAAATTTTTTTGCTGCACAGTGTAATCTATAGCAGCGGTTCCTAAACTAAGGCCACGGAAATCCTTTTATTTTATAGAACCCCACACCAACTGATAATAAATGAAAGATACTGTAATTAGAATTGGGGTTATAATAAAAACATGCTCACGCACTGCGTGACACGCAGTTCATTTGGACGCACCTATTAACATTAGTTAGGAAAATTCGCTGAATTTTTCACGGTTCGCGTACTAAGGTTTAAATATGGGTGTCATGGGTGGTAATTTAATGTAATTTTTATACCCATATTTAAATTTTAAAATATTTTTATACAGGGTGTCCCAAAAATGGTCCACTAACTGAAGTTAGGTGTTATTAATTTTTTTAAATTTTATTTTTGTTCTTAAATCTTAAAGAAAATAAAATATAATAATAACAGTTATTTTCATAACAACCATTTTTGGACTCGGTTTATCAGGCACAGTGTTGCCTATTATTAATCCGAAATCTACTTGTGGTGTTGTTGTTAAGTAGTGCACCATTTTCGGAATGTATTTTAATTTTGTTATAATTTTTTGATTATAATTATGTTCTTCTGATGTCAATCTTGTTTTCTTGATTTTTTTCAAAAAAATATAAAAGGACTATCTTTTTCTGTAGTTTATTTCTACTATTCTATTCTATTCTATTTATAGTTTATTTAAATAAATGTCTTATGTTTCATGTAATTACATTAGCAAAGAACGGAACGTATAATTATTAATTTACATTATACATAAAATTTTATTTATTTATTTAAAAATATTAAAGGGTGACTGACAAATAATAGTAATAATTGCTCCAATTCAAAATAATTTTTATTTTATTTTCCCTTTATCCACTAGTATACAAGTTTAGTTAATTCATGTATTAACATTTGATTAAATTATTTGTCAACATTTCAACAAATCTCGGCTTGTCAACGTCCAAATTAAAAATTAAAAAATGATGTACTTTAACAAAAAACAATTATAGGTAGCATTGGTCCACCTGCAACTGTGCCCAATGGCAACACGGTTCAATCCGACGCTGAAGAGAACCGAAATGAAGATCCTTTACCGCCCGGTTGGGACCTCAGATTTGATACTTACGGAAGGAGATATTATGTGGATCACAACACCAGGTTAGTTCATATATCCTTAATTGTGCCCCACTTTTGTTATCTTTAGAAAATTGTTAATTTATCTATCTGATTTTATCATCTGCTGGATTCTATTTATAAATAGTGTAACCTTGATGACTGACTATTATTATTAAGGAATATGAAGTTATTTTAACAAAAATTACATACAATACCTACTACTTTCAATAAATTCCGTTTATTAAATATTAAATGTACTTAATATACAGGATGGTCCTCAAAGGGATTAAAATTAACCAATCCCAGTGGTAGTTCAAAAATTCAAAAATGATGTGAACAAGCCTTAAGGGGTTACATACATTTGAGCTTGGTCAAAAAATCGATTTTTTTATTCTTACAACAATATTCTTACAACAATCCTTTTAAGAATATGTACTCAAAATTTCATCAAGATCAGAGCACTAGAATGTTATAGCAATTTATAGCGCGCTACCTCACGAACATTTAAAGGCAAATTGAATGAACTTAAAACTTTAAACGCGTTTATCTCGGAATTGTATTTTTTGAAAAGTGCTGTTGACGTGAGCAAAACAAAAATCAATTTACCGATCGATCTGAAATTTGGAAGTGTTGTACCTAATTACAACAGCTCCTTCGTGAACGAAGGGATTTTCATTTAGACGAAAATTTCTATTTTTTTCTGCCTGAAAACTCAATTTTTGTACTCTCGAAATTTTTTTGGGAAAATCACCGCCGTACACATTTTTTTTGCAAAACCCTTTGTTCACGAAGGGGGTGATACTATGTACTAATATGGTTTTTTTTCATCAAGATCTGTTGGGCGGTTTTTGATATTTTATGCTTACCGCAAACACTTGTAAAAAAGGCGTTTCGGGGCAAGGGACGTATTTTCCACAATTTTGCATATTTTCGCATACAATTTTTAGCAGCTCGTGGTCTTAAAAATTAATACCACTTGCGAAATTTCCAAGAAAAAAACATTCGTATAAAAATCAAAAATTTTATCGGTAAAATTTTACCACTAGTGGTATATAATATTATTTACGATTAATCATCAAGCTATAGAAGCAAAAAACATAGACATGACTATAGTCATATAGTTATAAAAATTTTTATTGAAAAAATTTACATTATTTTAAAAATGACTTCTCAAAAAACACAAAACACATGGAACTCGCAAATCTTGCGAGATCGCGCATGATTTTAGTGCAAGACTAATCTTGCAGAATTAGTGCGAGATCTTGCTATTTCGAGATCTTGGTATACCAAGATTGCATTCCCTAGTAGTCATGCGCTAAGAGAAATTTCTTATTGATAAGGATTTTTCCTTATTGATAATGACTGATAAGGAAAAATCAGAACACAACGTCCATATAACGTTGAACTTTATAAAGTCACGCTGATTTTAAAGTGGTTTACCCCTCGTGTTATTTCCCACAGATTTTCCATAGATTATTTAAAAAATTCGTTTTCAAACCCAAAAAACAAAATGGGATCATGGTGATAGCTTAAAAATTAATAAAATTGGTGAGATTTAGAATGGTACAAGTCCAAAAACTTTATTTTGACAAAATTAATTTAAAAGTTTAAAATGCATTTTTGAGAGAAGATATAAATTATTTGACCATATTTAATTATTAGATTTTATAAAATAGTTTAAATATTCTCACAAAAATGCATTTTGAACTATAAAACTGATTTTATGAAATAATTTCTCGAAATTTTAACTTTTGGACTTGTACTGTTCTTAATCTCACCGATTTAATTATTATATTTTATTTTTTATAGAAATCTCATGAGCGAGCTCGTGAGATAAAAAATACACTGTGGAGTATGAAAACAAATGTAAATAATCTGAAATTATTTGTGAATGTTAAAATGTGGAAACTACCTTAATGGCTAGTTTAAAATCCCAAAATGACCCATTCTACCGGTTCTAAAAATATTATTATTTATTTATTTATTATTCTTATTAATTAATAAATTTATTCATTAAATCAAATAATTTTATCAGTTAAAATATTTTTTGGTTTGAAGTTTGCCACAATGTATGTATATAAAATATTTTTGTAATCTGTCATTTTAAAATATGCACAGTGATTAATATTTTTCCTATCAAGCTGTTCTATTTACATTTTCTTATATTTTTGATTATTATTTATATTAAGTGGAAGAACATAGGTTAAGTGGAAGAACAACAGCCCTTTGGCAATGTGTTGAACTTCGCCTTTTGTTAAACAAATTTAACAATAGAGCTATTTATTATTATTATTATTATTAAATGTAATACATATTATGTATTTTTAAACAAAATAATAGAGTTTTTATTGTTAAGAAAAACTTTAAATTTTATCCCTTTAATATTTCGATTAATATTTTAAGGAAAATACAAATATTTCAGTTATTTTATTTTTATTGTCATAGTTATAAATACTTGCCATGAAAGACTTTAAGTGCCCATTATAGTTTTTACAAACAAGCAATTTAAGTAATATTGAACACAATCGATATTTTATACACATTAAAATGCATATTAACCACAAACATATATAATTATTTAATTTTTAAAATCAAAGAATCAAAATTTTAAATGAACTTTATCTTTAAAGAAAGGTTGAACTAAATACCCATTTAATGTTTTTCAATTTCTTTTGCAAATGTATTTTTTAAAGCTACAGGATTTTGCATTCATTGGGTAAACTAGCATCATTATATTTTCTGGTCATTTAGCATTTTTTATTTTTTTTTAGGTCTACTTCTTGGGAGCGGCCCCAGCCGTTGCCGGCCGGCTGGGAGATGCGCAAAGACAACCGGGGACGGGTCTACTATGTCGATCACAACACCAGAACGACCACGTGGCAAAGACCAAACACCGAAAGACTTCAGCACTATCAGCAATGGCAGGGACAACGACAACATATCGTTCAGCAAGGTAAAAAAATAAAGTTTTTTTCAGAATGCGACGAGTATTTTTTAAATTTTATTTTAGGAAACCAAAGATTTTTGTATGGCCAGGCACAGAATGGATCAGTTGCTGGTCCATCAACTGTTGCAGATGAAGATGATGGTTCGGGACCCCTGCCATCAGGATGGGAGAGGAGAGTACAACCTGAGGGTAAGTCAAATTAAAAAGTGACGTAAACACGATTTGTCCGAGTCCGAGCCGAGATTTCCATATTAATTCACGAATCATATTTTGATCTGAAAATACGTCGCACACTGGCCAAGACCGTGTTTTACTGTCCATAAATCAAATTTTTTTAAATAAACCTTCATAATACAAATTCGGGATTTCACTTTAGCATGCCATGTCAAAATCTTATCAAATTTTCGTAGATTCAAAAATATTTTAAGAAACTATTTAATAAACAATATGTAACGTTTATTTCCACTAAAAAGTGATTAACTTTTTAACTACTCATAATTGGCAAACTTATTGTCTGGGAATACCCATTTAGAAAATTTTAACTTCATTTTAAGTAAATATAAACAGTTTTAATACTGTTAATGAGTTAATTAACTACTTTTAACATTTTAAGTTGAATATTAATAAAACTGAAATGTCTAAAGTTTATAATATTACAATTAGTCCAAATTTAATAAATAGCAATTGCCTTAGTTAAGTGTTAGTTAAAGTTAATTGGTAATTAACCTAAAAACGTTGAATATTTGCAATTGCAGCTACCTTCTATGTTTTTTTATTTACTCAAAAATTAATTATAACTTTTTCATAAGGAAAAGCTATGATTATTCTACAATTATTAATATAATTTTTACTTTTTTACACTGACAAACAAAAATTAAAATATCAAAACGACTTACTCTAAAGGTCTTATTAACAACGTTTGAGGTTCAAAAATAATTAACTGAATTTAAAAATAAATGTTATTGCCTAAAACACACTTATTTTAGGGACACTCTGTATATTTACACCTAAAATTTAATATAATTTATTTATATATATTTAATATAACTACTGTATGAAAATAATTAATTTCCACTTTGTTGTTTTCTTGGCGCGTCTATTCCAAATACCAGATGGAAAGCGCCCAATTTTTTTTAAGTTGGAGCAAAAAAGTTTATAAAATTAGTATAATTATACATTTCATTAAGTGTGTGAAATTCTTTTTTTGTTCACAACAAGATAAGATATACCATTTAACACATATTTAACAAAAAAATCACTAGAAAGGACACAAAAACGTTGAAAAAAATAAGATGAAACCTTTTGAAGGTTGGCAGTCCCTTGAAATTCCTTGGTTTATAACAAAATAAAATATATCATTTTACACAATTTAATTCACTTCAAAAATGCCAAATTAATGTTTGCAAATTTTGCTGCTGTACGTTTTTAAGAATAAGGCCGGAAAATAAAAAATATCGAAAGAAAAAAACGATTTCTTGTGTTAGGTGTTTTTCGAGAGAAAATCCTGGGTTGCGTTTTTACCGGGTTTGCTTATTAACAGTGGAAATCCGAATAAAGAAAAAAATTGCATAAAGCACTTAAAGAAATCTTTTTTCTCAGTAACATCTTTCATAAACATTGGCCCAATATTGGGTTAAGATCAATTTCAAATAAAAGCGAAGATGGTAATGCCAATAAATTACCAATATTGGCTAAAGATTGCCAATATTTTACCAATGTAGTTAATACATTGGGCCAATATTTTGTGCTACTAATAATATTATGTTGCGATGAATTCGTGGAAATATTTTGTCGTTTACTATTTTAAAATGCAGATATCGGCGTTTTTTAAGGGAATCAAATATAAAAATTTTTGATTTTAATAGTATGTTTGTAGAACTATTATTTTTTGTTAGATTTCTTAAAAATGTCCAAAATTAAATTTATTATATTAAGTAAACTTATCATTGGTTAATTCTGTACCAACAAATATACGTACCGAATTGGATCCGTTGTCAAAACCTGACAATGCAACGATTTAGTTCCTGAATTACATTTACAATTGAGGCGTTTCTCGGAAAAACATCATTAGTCCAATATCGTCGAAATTTAGATATAAGCACCAACTGTTTCCTAACCTCCATATATACATATACAAATAAGTGTTTCTAGTAAAAATTCCATAGGTTCCATAATAATTAAATATGAAATTTAGCTTGTTCTTCTAAAAACATCACAAGTCCACTCCGTTTTGTCTAAGAAAGTCACATGTGCATAACATGTGACGTTTTTGGACACTCTAGAAAAGCTTCTACCTCTTTTACATGACCACAGCAATAGAAATTTTTATGATAACTTGATAAAAGACCATAGCACCTGACAGTCCTGATAACACGGTCGACAACGATGATAACAGCAGTGGATGCGAAGGCTGAGTGTGGCAGTAATACAGTTTTTAGTTTTTTCATTTATTTTGTTGCTAATAATAAAGTTAATATTTAGTTTGTAGTGTTTGTATTAAGGAGAATTGTTCGATTTTTTCTTCTAAAAACCTCACATGTTCATGTATTTTTTGTGTTTTTTTCATATTCGTTTGAAAAAAAAAAACATGAGGAATTCTGGACATACATTACATTACATTACATTTTTTTACTTGTAGTAAATAGGTCAATAAAGTACTTTGGTCAAAAATGGGAATGTCGGAGAGTTTTTTTCATTTTCCCAAATATGTTAATTTTGGACTAATGATGTTTTTCCGAGAAACGCGTCAATTAAAAACACAATAATTCACTTAAATAAAATACACACACTAACGTAACTATGTAAGCATATAAGCGTTGAGTTTCTTAATCAATGATGTAAGGAAAAATAAATCGAAATCGAGTACTAAACCAAAGATTTTTATTTTTTATTTGCAACGCAAAACACAAATAACGTGCGCGATTTAGCTGTGCAATTGGAACATTGCGCACAAAATTTGTCTTTTGTGAAAAAATTACTTATTTATTTAGAACTGATGTTCATTACAGTTCGCATGCTTTAAATGTATTGTTGACAATTCTTGAATTCCCACAATGCTATCGAGCGCCACCAGATGGCGCGCGCGTTACAAAAACCCGAGCGAATTGGGTTTTAAAATTTCCGGAAAAATTAAGCCGGCGAAAAGGAAACAGAAAAGTTGGTAAATTTTTACAAAAATTGAATTTTGCCGTTGTACGGATAATACGAAAATAAATGCAAAAGTCAATTTTTATGGAAATACGGAAAATTTTAAAATTGTTCCAATTAGTAAGTACTACTAGGTAGTACTACGGATAATACAGAAAAATAAAAAAAAAATTATTTTAACTATATTTCTATTTTCTTTTCCAAAATACAAACCGGTATTTTTCGCCTGCTCAATTTTTCCGGAAATTTTAAAACCCTATTAACAAGTTTCCAAAATATGTATTAGTACAATAGTGCAATAGTTGATTATAATAAAATAAGGTTTTATTAAGAAGATTACATTATTTTTAAGATTTGGATATAAAATTCGGGTTATGGACAGTAAAACACGACATTGCCGTCAGCAACTTATTTGGGCCAATAACATAACAAAAACTGTTATTTTTAAGGTCGCGTATATTTCGTGAATCACAAGAACCGCACCACGCAATGGGAGGACCCGCGTACGCAGGGCCAGGAAATAAGCAACGACCTGGACGAGCTGCCTCTGCCGGCCGGCTGGGAGATCCGGTTCACCGACGACAACAAGCGCTATTTCGTCGACCACAACACCAAGACGACCACGTTCGACGACCCGCGTCCCGGCGCCCCCAAAGGACCCAAGGGAATGTACGGCGTGCCGAGGGCGTACGAGAGAAGTTTCAAATGGAAAATCAGCCAGTTCAGGTTCGTACGATCTTTTGTTTATGGCGTAAGAAATAAGTGGCTGTGCATAAAGCTTAATTTTCATGTATCCGTTTGTCCGTTCATCCGGGAGCGCTCTTATTGGTCCAATTATAATTCGAAAATTATGACATTTTATCGGTCCGTCAAGTTTCAACTTTGTACGTCTGACAGAGAAAGGTTAAATAATTTTAACTCATCCGTCACTAAGCATCTGTTTTTGACGCCTAACGTTATTTTAAGATAATTTTTTTCAAATATTTTTATATTTTTTCAATAAGATTGTAAAACGAAAATATTACGTTCGTTATGTGAATAATGTTCTACTGTTAAGTTTTTATTTAATATGAATAACGGAAAAAAAGAAATGACAAACCAAAAAAAATTAAAACTAGAACCAAAAGGACCTGCTTTTTTAAAACTATACATTTTAATGTATATTAGGGCTAGTATATTCTTTTTATAAGGTATATTTACCTACCTTTAAATTTATTAGACAGCTAACTGTTAAAGTTACAATTGTTGACATAATTGTAACTATGACAATTAAGCATTAGATAAATTTAGTAAGTAAATATACTGACACTTAATTTCTATTTGTCGCAAAATCAATCCGTTAAACGTCATTAAAAAACGTATGCATGAAAATTAGAACATTTCTTATCGGACGATTTTATTGAAAAACTGACATACGGATGACGGACAAACGGATACATGAAAATTAAGCTTAAGATATTTCATAAATTCAATGGTACAAGAAAACAAGGTATGTTCTTCATTAGGACGAATTTTGGTTCACTTTGCGCACCTACCAGTTACCGCCATCTTAGTTCATTCCCGCCTTTTAATTTAAATGATATTTTAAGTTTAAATATTATTCTCTTATGAAATTCATCCAAATTTCTAAAAAATTATTCGATTTTTAGATTAAATTGTCGAATAATTTAAAGATCACACGTAAAAACGATTCAAATCACAATATTAAAATTTCAAGAAAATATTATTAATAAAAAAAATGTTTATATGTTTTTTCAATCAAATAAAATGTATTGTTTTAAAATTAATATTTACTAAATTACTACTAGTTTTTAGGTTAAATGTTTTAAATAATGGGTTTTCTTGTTTTAAAGCAATTTATAAGTAAAATGTTTTCAATAAAATAAAATATCCTGTTTTAAAGCAAATATAAAGAATGAAATGAAAAGTGTTAAAAAATGTAAAGAACATATTTTTTCTAAATTTATTTATTACAAAATTGTATTTACAAATAATTGCAATTTAGGTTTAGTTGCAAAATAAAAACCCTAAATTGGCCACCATGAAGCCAAGATTGAACAAAAAAACTAAACTTTTGAAAAATATTATATTATGGCCTACCATAGTATAGCTGGTTTTCTAATGCTTGGCCATTTCATTATCAGCACCATGCTGCAGTTTGAGTTTCTGTTATGGACTGTCCTTGAAGATCATAAGCTTTCTTGTCTTGGCACATTTCCTGCACAATGCAAAACACAGGGGTCCAGAACGGGTCAAAAGTTGGAAAAAAATGACAAAACCAACAGTAGAGTATTGTTAGAGACACCTTTTACGGAATCTGTTTCTGACTTTTTCATGTTTTTGTGATATTTTTTATTATTTTTAATAATTCTCGTTTTTTTGCCTGATATAAATTAAAATTTCAGCATCACTTCGCTACTTTGTTGTTTTTAATGCGTTACTATAATATAGTAATATATTATGCAATTTTTTTACTATTTTTAATATTAGTTTTCATTTTCTTTTTTTTTACATAAAAAATGACACAACAAAAATAATTTATGAATATATTTATTAAACCAACTGTATTAATTAAAATATTTTTCGAGGAAAAGTCAACAACAGCTTTTTGTAAATATTTCATCCAATTCAATAATTGCTACTGACTTTATATTTATTCCAATACTTCATAAATTCACAATGAACAGACTCCCCTGCTAGTTCAGACCAGGTTCCTAAGGAGTGTACGTAATAAAGGCATTCTTCTAAATGGCTAATTAACACGTGAATTTTTGGAAAACTTCTGTAGCTAAAAACATTTTTTTAAATTCTTCAATTTCAGTTTTTAAAGTATTAAGGTCAGGTGTTTTTGTTGATTGCTTGGATAAATTTGTTCAATGATTTGAAAAATGAAATAAAACGAATCACTGTCAGGGAGCTTTTTTCTTTAAGGTTACTGCTTTGAAATTAAATTTAACTTTTTGGGCCATGCCAACGCTTGCTCTCTTCCCAAAACAGATAATAAACCATTCCAGAAGGCGTGATTTACTATGCCTTGCATTATATGCAATTCTGGAAGAAAATATTTCTGCAAGACGCACAAGTTATCATCTTCTTCAAAAAAAGGCATGTTAATAATGTTGTTGCAAAATTTGGCTTGTGTTTGTCTTTATTTAAAGACACAAGTTTTTAAGGTCTCAGTAAGTTTTTGTTTCATGTTGTATCTCTAAGTTAAAATTCCTGTGTTCTTAAAATGTAATAAAGCCATATGAGCAAGACTTGCTCAGCAAGTTCAGTAACCTTTAAAATTATAAAATATGCTATTTTTTAATAATAAGACCTGTGTCATATAAAATACGATATTTTTTTAATAATAAAAACAAAAAAGGATCTACTGGGATTTAACTTGAAACTCCCGCCATGGTTAGTTTTTGACTCGTTCCAGACCCCTGTGAAGAAGAAAGATTTAATTTTGATTAATTTTGTTTTAAAAATTTTATTTTAATATCTTACACTGCAGTTTCTTTCAAAGATCATATTATGCTTCCTGGTTTTGTCCTATTTCTTGTACACTGTAGAAAGAACTATGATTTATATTGTTTTTTCCAATTTTATTGTAATTTCTTACAAAGTACTTGATTTCTCTTTTGATAGATCAGCTGTTAAGTGTAAAGTTGGAACCTATCCACTTTTAAAGAATTTTTTATGGAAATGTAGTTGGTATATTTTTTGATCCATTTTTTTTTATAGCAACACTCTTTAAACTTTATAATTTAGGTTAATATTTTGTTTGTTTTGTAGCTTCTATTTGTTCCTTTTACTTAAAGTTTAAAGTAAATGGAACAAATACAAGCTAAAAAACAAACAAATATTAACATAAATTATTTTTTTATTTATATATCTGTCACAACAGATAATCTGTGAATACAAAAGGAAAGTACCTCTAAAAAAGTACAGATATTTTATTGTTTTTAAAATAAATCTACTTACTATCATTAAGATACATTTTCTCAAGTCCAAACTAAGGAATGTTTTGGATTTACAGGTTTTTTTCTGTTGGCATTGTTTTTACATATTTTTACTGGGCAGGTAGACATTTTTTACACTTACAAAACTTTAAAATAGCTTAAAAAACAACTCAAATAAAATTTTAAATAGAAAATATGGCGGCGACTGGGTGCTCCCACCTCTTCGCAAATCTAATGGTGGAAACAAAAGCACAAGAACTTACCTTGTTTTCTTGTACCATGATAAATACTATTTGTTAGCATTTTTCGAGAGCTTAGTTCAAGAACTGTTACAAATAAAAAAAACATTCTCTTTTGTAGATTCTTGTGCCAAAGCAACGCGGTACCCAGTCACATGAAGATCCAAGTATCGAGACAAACTCTGTTCGAGGATTCTTTTCACACCATAATGAGATTACCGGCGTACGAACTTAGGAGGCGCGTTTACATCATATTCAAAGGCGAAGAAGGTCTGGATTACGGCGGCGTCAGCAGGGAGTGGTTCTTTTTGGTGTCGCACGAGGCGCTCAATCCGATGTACTGTCTTTTCGAGTACGCCAACAAGAACAATTACAGCTTGCAGATAAACCCCGCGTCCTACGTCAATCCGGAACATTTGACCTACTTCAAGTTTATCGGCAGATTCATCGCCATGGCTCTCTATCACGGAAGATTTATATACTCAGGTAAGATTTGAAAAAACAAAAAATTATCTTTAATAATTAATAAGACACCAACACATTTACATCACTTTTTTTAAGAAATTGTTTATAGTTTGTCTTTTAAAGAAATGGTTACAGTTTCTCTGTAATATTTCTGCAAAAAACAATATTATTTATTTACAATACTTAAAACCATACAAACTATAATTACCATTAAGTCAACTTTTTGCTAGAAATACAATTTTATAAAAAAAATTAGTGTATGGCGGCGCAATAACGGTATGACACGTTGTATGGAAGTTATTTTAGTACAAAAAACGTTGGTTTTTAAGCTTAAATGTTTTTTTATTTGAGAGAAAAATTGGTATGTACAAGTCTTTTAACATGAAATTTATTAACTGGAAAAAAGTCAGCGGTTCTCAAAATATTAAAAAAAAAACTAAAATCGTTTCAAAACAAAAAATCGTTATAACTTTGTAATTGCTGGGAATTTTGAAATAAAGTAAGTTTTACATGTAAACATACACATTAATCTACATTTTCATCCAATTTCTTTGCTACTATATTTTTATAATGGCCTATATTATAATCCTTAATCTAATCATGGGTACTGAAGTCAAATAGTTTAATTGCGACGTAATTTATAACATTAAAATATTCGCACATTGTGATGCTAAGAAGCTAACATTAACAATAAACACGGAAGAGTTTCAATACTCGATAAAAAATTTAAATGTCGCACCCGTTACATATTGAGACAATTTTATAAAACAAAGTATACAAATTATTACTATATGCTTTCATCCAAAATTTTATAGTATCAACTTTAGAAGCCAACTTGATCGCATTTGCCGATTTTCTAAGGTCGCGCCCGTTACGCGATTTTTCTATACAAGTTTTTATTGACATTTTGTTTGAGTTATACCTAATTTTTTATACTCTTGTATATTCACGTATCCTGATATATATGAACAAACACTTTATTATCATGAAAAAACGCAGTGTCAATGTCGCACCCGTTACAATGGAAATACCCTCATGTAAAATTTCAACATGGCGGTAGGAAAAACAAAACGTGGTGGAGGTATCAAAATACAGTAAGCGAAAAAAAATCATAAATTGGATGAAAATGTAGATAAATCTGTGTTTAAATGTAAAACTTCCTTTTTTTAAAATTCCAAGGAATAACGAAGTTATAACGATTTTTGGTTTGACAGGTTTTTAGTTTTTTTCAAATTATTTGAGAACCTTTAATTTTTATTTACGCAACTTTTTAACTGACCTTGTAGCTCTCCAAATAAAAAAGATACCAATGCATAGAAGAATACTTGGTGCTCCCTGTATAATGCTTTCAACTCAAAAAAAATTTGTACCTAAAATATCCTCCCCCACAGGTAGTATATACAGGGTGTCCTAAAATTGCATACTAAAGGTATTATAATTTAATTTTCATTTCTTAATTAAAAATATGATAATAAATAAATAATTTTATCTATTTTGGTTTCATAATGACTTCATTATAACACCGCTTTTGGTTCTTTAATGAGGTACTTTATTCCACCCAAAATTTTGATTTCATAGGTTGGCTACTGGTAAAATACAATTTTGAATACCTATAGGTTATAATATTTTTATGATTTGTTTTCTAGTACTTACGAGACTTTTCGTGCAATAAATTTTGTTTAACACCAAAGAAAATCCTTTTTTCTTCTTTAACATCCGCTTATTGTAAATACTTATTGTAAATTAACGACGCCATAGCGAAAGAATGTGATAATGTTTGAAAGGTTAATGACCTTTCAAACTTCAAACTGAGATACCAACTATGTAAAGTCAAATTCCACCAAATTAAATATAAGGTATAAAATTAATTTGTTTTATGAAATGTTTGCAAAATAGATAAAATAGTATAAAGAACTCATGTCATAAGACCTTTTGTCGCACTTGTCCATTATAAAACCGCTCCTTCGTCGCTCGTTTTATAAATTGTCCGCGTGCGACAAAATGACGTCTTATGACATTAGTTCTTTAATATACTATTAAATTTTTTTTCAGAATGTATCTTACTCATTTGCTAGTGTGAATTTCGAGCGTTTTAACATAAATTTATTTCTTTTATTTAAAATTTTAAGTTATAATGTCCTGCACATTGCAAGAGAAAATTGACTTTAGTGGGCAATTTTCTACGTCAAAATGAGTAGTTAAATATCGGGATCATTCTATTCCGTCAATTAATTTATTTTAATATATTTTAAGAAGTTTGATTTTTAGTTTTGTTTTAAGAGAATTGATTTATTTATTTTAATTTGCATTATTGTATTTTTTTACTTTAGTTCTTAAAAAGAATTTTTAGGTTTAACGTTTTTTTAGAAAAAAAGACTTGGTTAAATGCAAGACAAATAATGAAAGTGAAAAAGTGATTACGTTACATTTTAAGTATCTGAATAATCTAGAGCAAACTTCGACTATCACCGAACGCCGGTAATGGGTCTACTGCAAAATTACGAACCCATCTTTCGGCGCCTCCCACTCTTAAACATCATTTTCTCACTCTTTAAAACCGAATGCGACCTGTCTACATGTAAAATGAAAGTACGGCATAAACGTTTTTAAATGTTTCTTCAGGTTTTACTATGCCCTTCTACAAACGCATGCTGGGCAAAAAGCTCGTAATGAAGGACATCGAAAGCATCGACCCGGAATTCTACAACTCCCTGGTGTGGCTGAAGGAGAACAACATCGACGACTGCGGCCTCGAGCTCTACTACAGCGTGGACTTCGAAGTGCTGGGCCAAGTGGTGCATCACGAGTTGAAGAAGAACGGCGACAAGGAGCGCGTCGACGAGGAAAACAAGGAGGAGTACTTGACGCTGATGACGGAATGGAGGATGACGCGCGGCATCGAGCAGCAAACGCAAGCGTTCCTGGACGGCTTCAACGAAGTGGTGCCGATCGAGTGGCTCAAGTATTTCGACGAGCGCGAGCTGGAGCTGCTGCTCTGCGGCATGCAGGAGATCGACGTCGAAGATTGGCAGAAGCACACCATTTACAGGCATTACCAGAGGAGCAGCAAGCCAGTGATCTGGTTCTGGCAGGTAAGACTTTGGCTTAAATAGTACATTCTGTAACAAGTTTGGAATACAGCATATTCCGCTCGAGGAAAAATTTGACACACGAGCCGAAGGCGAGTGTGACGGTTTTACGAGAGTGGAATATGCTATTCCAAACGTGTTTCAGACATTATTTTCTCTACGACTACGTAAGAATAGTAACGCTTTTTAAACAGAGAAAAGAAACCAAGCAGTTTTTGACATTTAAGTTTTTTGTATTGTCAAACCATTTTGTGCCGTCACAATTTTATAATGTAAATTATAATAAATTTAAACAAATGGTATGCCTAAATCTTTATTATAATTAAAAATAGTTATTTACACTAACTAATAAAAAAAATAACATTGTAACAAATACAAAACTAATTTTACAAGTAATCTATGTCAACATCTATTCTTTTTCTACATTTTAAAGGTCTTTTTTTAAACTTTTTGAATCTGTCAAAACTTCAAAGCCGGTATAGTAGGTAACTGGTTTATCATTTTAATATCAAATTTATTATAATTTTGATTTGTATATTTGAAAAACAATAAATATAACTAATTTTTTGTGCCTAAACCTTAATTATACAACTGCTATTATTTTTTAATTAATAAATAATACAGTAATATTTAAATATTTTTAAATTTTTTACGTTTAGTAAACAGCCAGGAGATGTCGTTACTTGTGACCATTCTTAAACAAGAGTAGGAATATTCCTGCACAGTATTGCAGAAAAACATCCTTTCTATGATCAAAAATTACACTAGAATGTTACTATTCTTAAATAGTCGTAGAGAAAATATTTTTTATACCTCTGGCAACACTTTTCAAAACCTTTTAACTTGTTCTACAAACAGCGCAGGAAAAAATGTTTTATAACTTTTTAATAAATGTAACTTTTTAAAACGACTAAAATATCTTTGTACTATTTATAATTTTTTTTGAACAAATAACAAGAAAAAATTCTAAAATTTGTGAAAATTCTTAAAATTTTGGAAATTTTGAAAAATTTCACCAATCTTATTGCTTTTTACCCCTTAAACCCTGTCAACACCTCACTTTCTCCCAATTAAATTATTTCTCCTTCCTTTTGATGAATAATATTTAATGGGAGGGTAATTATTTCTCAAATTGGACAAATATTGAATACCACCTTTCTGATTTAACTGAAATTTTGCATATGTCTATTTTTAAGAAATTATTTAGGGGAGTTTTTGTTGGCCTATGCAAAGCTTTATAAAAATTAAATTAACAAAACTTTTACAAAAGCAGAAGTTAAATTTTTTTCTTCTTTGTAAAAAGCAATAAATACAGACCCAGAAAAAATATATTATTCTATTATGGAATAGGGCCGTTCTATCATCACTTTTTAATGTGGAATTACCTCGGGAATTACATATATTCCTTAAACTGTTACAGAATAAATTATTTTCTACTCCCATTAGAGAATGTGACCGTTCTTATATCTCTTTTTAATATCCGCTTTTTTCGAAATTAATTTGGTAACAGCAAAAACATAAATATTTAAGGCAAAAAAATTATGTATGAAGGGAATTTTTTTTGGTTGAAACCTAAGACATAATAATAATATTGTTAGTAAATTTTGTTGCCCAAAAACAAAAAGTCCTTTTCAATTATTGCATAAATATTATAGTTTCGAAATTTTCTAAATTATCTCTGAAACCATAACATTAAGGCAATAATTAATAAGGACATTTTTTGTGAAGAATTTAATTTAGTAACAAAATTTTAAAAAAAATAATACGTTTAGGCAAAAATTAATAATGACCTTTTTTGCAAAGATTTTAATTTAGTAACAAAATTTAAAAAAAATACTTTAAAAAATATTTTGTTTTAAGTGCAATTCGCGAGCCTAAGATGTTGACCGACTTTTTTCTTTCTTTTCTATATAATTTTTTTACAATATTTTTGCTATTCAAAATTTTGAAAAAAGCTTTAATTTGACACACTCTAATGTACATACATGTGTGTTTCAAATACCTACATACCTACATTTTTTTAACAAACTTTTTATAATTTATTCCATTATTAAAAAACTTGGTCAAAAATGTTTGCCCCCTTTGAAGAAATTCTAATATGGTCACTTTTTTTAAGTGACAGGGGTTTTCTTGGATTACCCACTAGGCAGCCAACCCTGCCTAAAGATAGCTGGATAATCATTAATTCCATGTTGTTCTAAATGAAGCGTTACAGTACTGTGACAGATTTTATTTATATAAGCTACGGTACCAGAAAATAAGTTGTAGCACATATAATTTTCTCATAAATGGATGTGCATTGAAGATAAGGATTATATAAGCATTGTTTAATTAATATTGTGAATAACAAATTTAAGAAACAAAATAACTTCTATTTAATTTTTTTTAATGCATAGGTAATTTATTACTTTGAAATACACCCTCTGCATGGATGTGTTTAATTTCTCTTTTAGTCGCGTTTTATGATTTTTATTAGTAAGGTTGCAAGGTTCTAAGCACATTTGTAGTGTTTGCCAATTATTCCTACAATATTGGAATTTTCACTTTTTTATGTTAGAAATAGATTATTTTACACTGCTACACTCAAAAACCGTTGCAATACACTTGGATCATACTAATATTTGCCTTAATGCAAACCATTAAAATTGCTCTACTGTAAATTTTACGTGTTGTACGTATTATTTTGGTAGGACTTCTTGACCGGTTTTTTAATGTTGGATATGACAACCATAAGCAGTATTACTTGCAAGTTTTTGTTTAATAAATTTATTTCTGTGGCAAAGGAGCTAAGCTCAGCCAAAAATACATCATGATTCCATTGTGGTATCATGGTAGGCACACACACACACACACAAGTTTTTGTTGCGATATTGTGTAGGTTTAAAATGAATAAATAAATAAAAAAAAATTTTTTCAGTTTGTAAAACAATCCGACAATGAAAAGCGCGCAAGGCTGCTTCAGTTTGTGACTGGAACTTGCAGGGTGCCCGTTGGAGGTTTTGCAGAATTGATGGGTTCAAATGGTCCCCAGAGATTCTGCATTGAGAAAGTTGGTAAGGACTCATGGTTGCCGCGTTCCCACACTTGTTTTAATCGCTTAGATTTGCCCCCTTATAAAAGTTATGAACAGTTAGTAGAAAAATTGACATATGCAATAGAAGAAACCGACACATTTGGACAAGAATAATTAAATTTTTCAACTTGTATGTACCTGAAAATAATATACAAAGTCTGGTTAATTTTTATTTTGGCAAATGGTACCCTAATTGTTTTTATTATTAATTTTATTCACAGAATATTGTACTTGTGCAATTTAATTTAAATTGTATTTCAATGTGATAATTAGATGTATATTGGCCTATAATTTTTTAGCATCATCTAAAATAATAACAATACTTGATGTATATATTTTTAAAAGATTTGTATTTGTATATTTTTTAAATATTGTAGAATTATACTTACTTTTTATTGTAATATTATTATTATTATTATTATATATTATTTTACTCACATTCCAAATTATTTTCTTTAAATATTTTGTCTTATACCTGAAGCTAAATTGATATGGATTGAAGGAGTTTAAATTTGTATTAATTTTAGTAAATAGAAAAGTGTAAATGAAAACAGATATGTATATAGTTGAAAGCATGTAAATATAGCATATTAAATTATTTAAAATATCTATAATTTTTTAATCTCAAACCCAAGCATAATAAATAAATAAATCAAAATATATTATTAACTTTTAAATCTACATATATTTATCTATTTAAAGAAATTGTCAAATGGAAATCCATTGTAAGGTCCACTACCTAATTGAGGAGGTTTATTATCAACCAGTGGTTTATTAAATAATGAATCTTTCTCAGATTCTTTCATATTTACAAAATTTTCTATTATCTCTTCCTTGCCACTAGAATCTTTCTTTTTAATTAATGTATATTCTTTATCACCAAGTTTCTTAGTAATTGTAGTTTCTTCATTTCCTTGGTTGTCACGAACTGTCTTATGTATCTCAACTGACTAAAAGAATAAATTAACATTATTTACAATGGTTCCAATTTAAAAACAAATTCTTTGATAAGTAGTTTTTAAGTTATTGTTTTAGGTATGTTTAGTTTTGGTCCTTACCCCATCTCCATTCATAACACTTCTAGTACTAGAACTTGAACCAAAAAAGAAGCTGGTTGGTTTGTTTTCTTTGTATGGTACAACTTCTTTTTCTGGCTTTCTCAAAACAGTGTCCAATTCACCCAAGTTAATTCTAAAATATTTTTTTGTAAAATTTATTTTTGATATCATTAAAAGGTTCTTACTTTCCATCAACATCTTTGTCAAGATTTTCTTTGGCTGATTTTGGAATTTCATACCCTTTCTTTAAAAATTGATCTCTAAGATCTTCAGGAGATTCAGGTCCTTCAATTCTGCCACTGTCAATGCCAGGTGGTAAATTAAAAAAGCCTAAAACATGATATTTAGCGCAGCTCCTTTTGAATTAAATAAATTTTACTAAATATATTATCGTCTGTATTTCTGCCATCATGAAATCCAAAGGATTTTAACATTTCACCCATCTGTTGCTCAAAAAATTGAGCCATTTGTAAGGGATCGGTGAAAACATCGAAACTTCTTGGGGGTATGTCTGGTACAGAGGGTGGGACATTTTCTTCAAAGAACCTTCTAGAAATTGGCACGATTTTAACAACAAATTGATTTAAATATACAATTAATTATTATTACCTACTATCGAATTGTGTAGAATCATTATGAGTGGGCAACCCGAGAAAACTTCTTAACTTGTTCATAAAATCCATTTTGTACGCTTTTAAATTTTGACGTTTAAAATAACAGCTGATTTAAATGTCACCTTTTATTTTAAGTTGGCAAGCCGTAATAAAAATGCTGCCAACGTGATTTTTCAATTTTACCCTACAGCAGTTTACCCATTAGTAGAGAAATATTTTCCCTATCAATATAAGCATTGTTACCAACGATATATTTTTAAACTCCACTATTAAAATTACTTAAAAAAATTCACGAAATAGTAAAAATCTTTATTAAAATAACCTAATTAAAAATACATTAAATCTATTCATCAGAATCTGAATCTGGAAAGCTCTGTTTTCTACGTTTGGATCTATTGGTTTTTTTCTTTAATGGTGTTTTTTTACTTCTTGCTTTTCTGGTCGATTTTGGGACTGGTGGTGGCCTCATTTGACCATCTTCATTTAATTCAAACACTGAGTTTATGCTTTGTTCTATTTCAGCTATAATTGGCTAAAACATAATAAATTAAAATAAATATGTCGTTTATTGTTTTAAAATAGTTACTTTGAGATCTGTTTTTCCAACTTGTTGCTTGCCAGCATTTTGCATTATACTTTTAAAGTAGGCATAAATTTCTTGATCGTGGACTAAATGTTTGTATGTGTGGAAATTTTCCTGCAATTTCTTTAACGCCTTTTCGTTGTAATTAATAAGGGTAAGACAATATGTAATATTTTGATGGTGCCTCATGTCTTCAGTGAGTCTATATTTAGTACAGAATCTCTCCACCAAATTTTCCATATGCTTTGTTTTATCCATAAGATTAAACAAAAATCTAAAAAACAAAACACAATTTTGCATAGGTAAAGATTTAAATACTAAAAATTATAAAAATAATCTCCATAAAAAAATATAATAAAATTTAAATTAGCTTACTTCATGGTTCCTTTAATGTCTTCCTCTGACATGTCGGAAATTTCCATTAAATGTGAGAAAATATCGGGTAAAACGTTGTATAGATTGTTTTCTTTATGCGACAAATTAATAAAGAATGTTTTACACATCCCGCTTAATTCTTTATCTTCATCGACAAAACAGCAAACCATTTCCGATATATGACTATGAGCTCTGATCATATCTCTTAGGATTAAGTTTGATAATGTAAAAAAAGTGGCTTTTCTAATCGAGTAATCAGGATCCTTAAGCCTAAAAAATAGAACATTGGTAAGCAATTTTATTTGTCACTGGAAAAATTGCTTTTTTACCTTTTGTAAATTCTTGGAGTCCATGGTTCTATGATATTGGGGAATCGTGTCAACAAATCTGATAAATGAACTAAAATAGTACACTTAACTTCTGGATATGCGGTTTTCTCAAAAATTGTGAATAATAGCTGTATATTGTCTTCACAAAACCTACCAGATACTAACATAAACCTATAATTAATAAAATAGAAAAAATATTTAATTTTTTGTACAATTGTTTACCTTATTAGGGCTATAACTGCAGCACCCTGTATCATAACGTCATCATAAACATCTGGTCTTTGGCAAATATTTTTTACAATGTATGCTAATTTACCCAAACCTCCTGAACCACACACTGTATCATTTTCCAAAACGTTTAATATAAATTCTGCGTCTGTATCTTCCGCTTGCGCACCTTCTAGAGTGCTCTCATCCTAAATTAAATATAATATTATTAAACATATTATTCCCACATGTTTTAAAAATTTTGTCTGTTTGTTGTTTGGAGATCAATATTTATAAATGAAAGGTTTATGAAATTTTGTAAGAACATTCAGGGGAAAATATATTTTAAATTACGCGTAAATATTTCTCAAACATTTATAAATATCATCTAAATATTTTTCAACATTTATTTCGCAATTTTATATAGGTAAATATTATTTCCTAAATATTATTAAGTTATTTAACAATGTTCATAAAGTTGTTGAAAAGTTCATTAAAAGTTTTCTGATGTAAGCCCCCTCTTGATAAAAAGTATCTGTTGTCTAAGTCATCCACAATTTGGCCATTTTTACTTTGTTAAGTGTGTTTCACGTGCGACGCTAAGTTAAAATAATAAATTATCCAGATTATTTTTTTTGACAGTTCTCTGTATTGTTGGGACATTGTTGAGGCATTGTTGTTGAGGGAACCTACAGCGAATTACAGCGATAATTTTTTGAAAATTTTCTCTGGTAGTTGCTATATATAAAAAACAAATTAAATCTTAATTAAATGTTGTTTTATTCATTATGAAATTCTTATTTGTTAACTGTACATGGTGCAATTCTATTGGCCGACATTTGGGACGGAAAAATAATCCCCCGAATACCACACGAGCTTCAAAATTATCTGGCATTTCCCTCAAGGTTCCCTGCAAACAAATAAAGTCGTCAAGTTTTTCAGGAAAAATCACTCGCGCTTCGCGCTCGTGATTTTTTAACCTGAAAAACTTGACTCCTTCATTTGTTTGCAACGAACCTATCGGGAAAAATACCCGATAATTTTGAAGCTCTTGTGGTATTATAAGTGAAAATTCCAAACCTGTAATTTTTAACCAATCAAAACGTGTATTTTTGATAGATCACCATGGCAACGGTTGAATTTTAGTTGAAATTTTTTCCTCGTGGGTACCCAACAGCGAATTATACTGGAAATTTTTTTGACGTTTATAATGACAGAATTTTTTTAGACAATCTGGTTTTTATTTGTTTACATGATAATTTTGATACATTTCCATTACAAAGTTTAGATGTTTTCTATATTCGTTGGACACCTCCTTTCTTCTTAATGGCGAAAATGCAGGACTTGAAATAAATTAAATGTCTATGTCTAATGATATATATAAAATATTTAGACACTATTCTATTCACCTTTTTTTCCATTTAGCACTTTGAGTTTTGAATAGTTAAGATGCAAATATTCGTGAACAATTCAAAACTAATTTTCTTTCTTCAAGTAGGAGCCACAATCCTCTAATAATGCGGGTAAATAAGTTATTGCACGATGATTGATCATTACAGCAGACAATTTCACATTTTTTTACGTCGTGCCGCTTGACAGCTTCAAAACTGAAATAACTTTTAGGTTGGGGTTGACTTAGTTGCCATGGTAACTAAATAATCAAGTCGAGGTCAAGTTAAATCAAAAAATAAATTTTAATTATTTAAACACAATTTGGTGTGGAATTTTCTTACCGAATACCACACGAGGTCAAATTAAATCCGGAAATTTTTTCTCCCTCATGAATATTTTTAGAAAATTATCCCTCGTCTTCGACTCGGGATAATTTTCAAAATATTCATGAGCTCGAAAAAATTTCCGGAAATAATTTGACCTCTAGTGGTATTACTAGTGAGAATCCTTCCTGCTAAAGGTATGTATTATATTTATTTTGATAGTTTATATTATTATTGCTATTTATGAATGGGAGTGAACTGAACCGCGTCGGTACCTTAAAATTGTATTGCCATCCTATTGAAGACGATTATTCTATCGGTATATTTTGTAACAACTTTAAATGCCAAACTATTATGGCAAATAAGTTGCGGACGACCACAGACACCTTAATAAATTATAGATTTAATAATCCCTTTTAAATGGTTCACTAGGCCAGCGTAGCTCTGTTGCGGAGAAGGGCTGGGTTGTATATATATATATATTCGTCTGTGGGCGCCACCAAGTTAAAATAAAATAGCTAGTGACCAAGGGCTGCTGTCTATAACGTGGAATAGGAAGTTATTAGAAAAAAAATTAAAACATTGTAATATAAATACTATACCAATTTATTAAGTAGGAAAACCAAAATTTGTTATAAGTTTGCTGTTGTTACCACATCAACCATTAAATGTACGTATTAAAAGTACGAAAACAATCAGTACATTGTTACAATAATATATATATAATAATAAAAAAAAATATATAATAATATTCAATAATATGAAAATATAAAATCCAAGGATCAATGACACAAATAAGTTTAAATATTTCTTTCGAAAGAATTATTCTTACAATTTAAATTATAACAAGATGAGCATTGGGTTAGCAACCAGAAGGTTGCAACCTGGTCTGGATAAACCTGGTTATACGAGCAGGTTTATCGACACCAGTTCGCAAAACATCTAGCAAAACTAGTCAATACTAAGAATTGAAATTAATATAAATATAAAGGGCTGTTGGCCCGTATCGAAACCCTCCAGCAACTGGTTATACGGCAGAAGCTGGATAGCTTCGGCACAGAACAACACAACCCAATATTAAAAACATATATGTATAAAAATTGTATATAAAAAGTTGTTGAAACGTTGAAGACGATGGTGCAAAATGTTGAAACGTTGAAGACGAAAAGAATTATGTATAAAAACCTGATGGTACAAAATGTTGAAACGTTGAAGACGGGTGTGATCCAAAATGAAAGGTGTAATCCAGAAGGTCGACAAGGTGATGGAAACCTGGTTGGCACGGCGAGAAGGCCTCGTGGATGAAACAATGCGGCTGACAAGCCTGCTCTACGGTGCTCAGCTCTGAGGTGCTCAGCTCTGACGTGGTCAGCTCTGATGTGCTCAGCTCTGCTCTCCCTCTAATTTCTCTGCTCTAAAAAGCAGGACGATTTAGGAAAAATCCCCACAAATACGAGGAAACAAAAAAAAAGAAAAAGAATATATACCTGTGTGTACTTCGGTGGTGGCTAAGATTGGCTCCAGCGTACAGCTGTAGTGTAAAACAAATACACCTTTGATTCTTCTAAATAAGCTTTACTCCAATATAAAATTGATGGCTTTCACTACTAAATATTACTTAAAATCAAACTGTGAAAAATTATAAGCCACGTGCTTTTACGAAGAATATAACACTTTGCCGTTCCGCCGACGTTCACGGTAATAGGGAAATTAGAAGAAGAGGTCGATAAAGGGTGTCTACAGGTATTTATAGATTTACACCGGAAATACTATAAAAAATGATATGATAAAATAATATAATAAAAACCACCGACGTAAAGCACCAAACGTCAAAAGTTTGGTGGACATGGTTGCCAACCAGGGAAAACTAAATACACCAATAACGAATCAATATAATCGACCAGAAAGTTAAATTAAAGATAAAATAACGAAAGATATTATTTGCCAACGTATCCACTAATAAGTACATTTTCATTGTAACAATAAAGATTAAAATTAAAGAAAGGAAATAAACGAAACCCATACCAACCCAGGATAATAAAAGTAACTAGTAAACCCCTGAAAAGTCAACGAACCGCAATTTAAACGAAATCAGCTGATTAATACAAAACTATAAAAATAATGATAATGTAAAACCAATTGGGTACGTTAAAGTTCAAATGCTATAAACAGTAATATTTAAAATATTAAAACATATTATATTTTCAGGTTCTAAAATGACAAAAAGAATATAGGTTAAACGTTATTACTGGATTAAAAATAATAAAAGTTAATAATGTTTTAAAGTAAGAAAAAAACCGTTACAATTTCTTATTAACAAAAAACAAACATAAACCTAATGAAATCGCTTAGAAAACCAAAAATATATTTAATTTAAAAAACTTTAATTCGAATTAAATTCTTTTTAGCCTCCATCCGGAAAATCCGAAAAACAAAACTGTGACGGAAAATGACATTTTACCGGAGTTACAACAGGGCTCCCACAGCTAAATTACAAATTTTATTTACGAATTTAGGAGTTTTTTTTTTAATTTTAGGAGAAATAAAGAATGCAAATGAATTTCTGTAATTAAATAAAAACAACTCTACACTGTACTTTAAAAATAAAAAATATTTTTTTTAACAAACAAATAAATATCACTTCTTATTTGTAAATAAGTTACACTGACTAGTTTTTTAACCAAATTGCTCGAGTTTTTTTTAATAAAATTAAATTGTGGTAAAATTACTACTTGTATTTATCTGAGGTACATACAAAATTAGAAATTTCACCACACTTTAAAAAAACGCGTCGATAGATTTTGCTAAAAAACTACGCCCAAGTCAAATGATCTTATATTTATTTATAAGAGTTTTAGTTTTAGGAAACCTTTTTGAGTTTTCAAGATTCAAGCCTAATTTTAGTAATGTTATGAGTTTTAGGAGTTGTGGGAGCCCTGTTACAACCATGGTTGGCTCAAGTTAAATTTAGAAAAAGGAACTAAAAAAAGAAACTTAAAAAGAAAAACCAAGACTGTAGAAAGAAAAATATTCTTTTATTTCTGTGATTTTTTTTCAAAGAATTTTTGTTTTAGTTATTTTACTTTTATTTATATCGATTATTTATAAAATAAACTTTTTTTTAAATATTTTTTATAAAGAAATGTACTAAATTTTCTTCTATTTTGCAAAAAATAGATTTCCAGCTATGGTATTAGATCAAAACAGTGGAATAGCAAATTCCACTGTTTTTGTATATCTGATATGAGAATACCATACCACATTTTATCAACATTTCCAACAACATTGTTAAAATAAATATGCAATGAACTTTTAATATTTTAAAAATATTTCCGGATATTTTTGTGATGTTGAGAAAACATTATAAAAACATAAGGTGATCTAAAAAATTTACAAAAATTTTGTGAAAAAATATTGTAAGTGGAACATCTAAATGTTGTAAAAACATTTAAGAAGCATTTAAATGATAATGACTAAAAATATTTAGTTTATTTAGCAAAAATATTCATTCAATATTCTAAATATATTTTTGTGTTATGTGTTTTTTTCCATAAAAATTGTTCTTATTAATTAAAATTAAACAAAAAAATCTTACCAATACCGAAGCTGAGGTGGAATTTAGAACACTCTCATTGGCAGTGCTGCTAAGAGCTTTCTTTTTTTTATCTTTAGCCTTACTGCCTTTGGTTGTTCTTTTGTTTTCTTTCCTTTCATCCCTAATGTTGTTTCTCCTCTTTAACTCCTTATAGACGGTGTCGTCGAGAAATTCTAAATGTTTGATCGCCACAAAACCAAGCAGCTGGCAAATTCTAACTATTATGTGAGACTCAAGATCAACTTCTTCGGTGGCATTCAAATTTTTAACCAATCTTTCCATAACGCGAGATATTATTATTTCGCAGATTCTTTCCGGCTTAGAACATAACTGAAAGAAATATTACAATTAAATGATTGAAATCAATGAAAATAAAAATGTATGATCTTACCTTATATATAAAATCCATGGCCCCAGAAAGGGCTTTATAATAATACTCCACAGGTTCAAAGAACTTTTCCACCAGAATTTCCGTTAAATCGTTAAAGACCTCGTCGGTGTACTTGATTTTGAAGGGCGGATTTTTACTGGTGACGTCCAACTTTTCCCTTCCGGCCACGGCCAGCAAATCGCAGCAGCTGCCCAGGAACAGCATGTTGCTGGCGCCGCGCTCCTTGAAACCCACCGTGGCCACCAACTTGATGTTCTTCGATACTATGGTGCGCCGGCCCAATGCGGCCATTCGCAGCAGTTCGACGGCGGCTCGCGAATCGTCGTCCGACACCGGCAGCTTTTTCGTCAGGTATTGCCAGAGCACGTCGATCACGCTGTTGTCGAGCGTGCCTTTCACCGTCCAGTCCGATATGATTTGCTGCAAGTCGTCTTCGTTGTTCACCGGTACCGATTTTAGGAGCCCTATGAGGCGGTTGACTACTGTAGTGGTGTGTTCGCTTCAAAATTAGAAATGTTATATTATTTTTTGAGAGAATCAGTTTTGTTGATATAAAACATTGTTAATTAATATCTCAGGGCAGTGCACATGTGATTGGCCCTGTCATGTTTGTAATATATTTAAATGATTTGAATTGTACAAATTTACTTGTATGGTCAAAAAATGGAGATGTACTAATATCCGAAATAGGACTCTTCACTGGGGTTGTAGAGAGTTGTTTCGCCAAGAATGGACATCAAATCAAGATTTGAAAATATAAATACAGTTTTAGTTAGGGTTGGGACAGTTGAAATTTTCAAATGAAAATTTCAACTTTGAAAGTTTCAAACTTGAAATATTTCATTTGGTTGGAAAAGTGAAATTTTTAAAAATTTGAAATGAAATTTTCAATCCGGAAATTTCAACATTGCCTGTGAAAGTTTCAGAAATTTCATTGAAAGTTTCGCAATTTACTGAAAATTTCGCATAAATTTCACATGCGGCCTCCCCTGGGACCTTTAATAATAATTTACAACAGATTCTGAATCGACCAATAAGAACGAGTTATCAAGCGTCTGGGCGTTTTTGTTTAGTTCGGCTTGGATTTGAATACACTATAAGTAATTATTGTTACTTACATGCATAAATTAATTTAAATAATTTAATTCAGTTACCAATTTAATTTGTAAATTAAATCAGACTTTAATATTTTTTTAAAAGTCATGATTAATTTAAACTTTTACTTTTGCTATAATTGCATCGGAAAACGGATAAAAAATGCCTTTGGCTCATAAAATTTTGATGAAGTTTCTTCAATTTTTGTAAAATTTCAGTAAAATATATAAAAATAATAAATATATAACAATGAAAGTGGCACAATCTCATTAGCTTACCAAAAAGTGCTATATCTCTCTTATAACTATAGTTTTAGTAATTTTAAAAATATTTTAAAAAGAAATCTCAAGAAATTTTTGGTAAACATAGGTATTTACTATTTATATTATTGGTGCAGGGGCCTACAGAGGGGTAGGAGGTAAGAGAGGCAATTTGCCATGGTCACCGAGTGGGCTTATTTCAATATTAATATATTACACTTAAAGTGATTGAAATTTATTGAAAGTTTCAATAAATTTAATAAATTTCAAGAAATTTCAGACATTTGGGAATTTTTAATAAATTTCATAAATGTCGTGAAAATTTCAAGTGAAATTTCAAGTACAAGCAAAAAGTGAAATTTTCCCAACCCTAATTGCAGTACTGCAGTAAAGTAATGAAAAATAGTATTTTTTTATTATTTCTTCCTGCAACCTACATTATGTAAACCTTTTTTCTCATATAAATGACTTATGATCCTCTATAATAACAGCATTAAATTATCTACAAAAAAATCTAATCACAAGTTTCTATAGCATTTTTGTATAGATTAGTAATTTAAATCACTGTTTATGTAATTTTTTAATTATTAGAAATTAGAAAGTCAAAAAGAAATGTTTTCTATATTTTTTATAAATTTATAAATATTTTACAAGAGGGGAAAAGGTTTTTAAATTATTATAAAATTAAGGAAAGTGTAAAAAACAAATTGTAGAAAACATATAGGAAAAACTGTAAAAGCTATTAAATTTCAAAATACATAATAAAAAAACACTTACGTCATATTCTTGGAGTCTGTGTTCAAATAAATTGTCTTAAAAGCATCTACAATGGTATCCTTTCTCTCTTGCTCATTCCTCTGCATTATCCTTAACATGGCAAGAACACCCGTCTGTGCGCTATCGATATTAAACTGATACGCAGTGATAAAAAAATCGACGGCCTCCTGCATATCACCTATGGTCGTAGTTTCCAACAGTTCGATCATAACGGGTATGGAACCGTCGATTAGTTTCAAAAATTTAACCGAATCGTTTAGATATTCGGCGTTGGCTTCTAACGTTTCCAGTTTTTTAAAATCCTCTTTAGTCATTTTAACGCCCCCTTGGATAATCTCGTTTTTAAGGTTTTCCACGAGTTTTCCGACGTTTATGAAAATGGTACGAAGGATTAAGAGGTACATATCTACTTCGCTGTTTTCTTCATTTTCTCTGAAAGAAAATAGTACCTATATATCAATTTAAGAATAAAAATGATTTGTTAAACATTATGGCACTTCAACACTAAACAAAAGATAATCACTGCAAGATTTCTAAAATCAACATAAGTAACTTACTTAAGCTGTTGCCATTCTTCATTATTTTTTCCGGCATATTTGCAAAGTTTGAAGGCGTCCTTAAATTTATTTTCATTTAAATAAAGCCTGATCAAATCAGGTATTTCCTCTTTTGGAATTCCTGATTGATCATCATTTTCTTTATCTTCATCATCATCATCATTGTCCTCTTTGAGCTCATCATCAATGGCTTTCTTCAGACCATCTTTTTTGCTGTTCCATTCTTCTTCGATTTTTTCCAAGGTCGCCAATTTTACGCCTTCGAATCTTTGCTTTAGTTCATCCAGTTCTTTTTGATTTTTTTCCAGTTCTACTTCCATTTTTGATAAGGATAACTAAAAGACAAAATGTAAACAATAAACTGATGGGAAAATTGTTTTGCTTACATTTGCACTAAAAGCATTGTGTGACAGAAAGGTGGTGACACAATTGATTGCACTTCTTCTGACCAAGGCTCCTTTATCCCCCAAATGAAAAATTACTTTTTCTATTATATCATACTGTTTGCCTATAGGGATGGCATTTTCTTTTTGTAATCTTGCAAAATGTTGTATTACTTTTGAACGAACTTGCGCTGTTATATCATTTATGTGATCCAATAAAATATTGAAAAATTCATCTCTGGATTCCCTTTGTTCATCAGTCAATTCATGGTTTGTTAAAACGTTCAAAATTACTTCTGTTATTACATTTAACACGGAATTTCTTAAGGTAGCAGACTAAAACAATCAAAATTAATTTAGTTATTAATTACACCCATAAAAATGTTTTTTTTTAAGTCAAACAAATTCATATATTTAAATGTGCATGCTAAATGGAAAGGTATTATATTTAAAACAAATCTATAACTATTGATATAAATTTAGTAATTTATTTTAACTGAATCTTTGATTTATTTAAAAGATATTTTATATTTTACTTTATAAGTGTATCTTAAAGCTATTGCCAATAATTATGTTGAACATATGAAAACATTCATTTTAAATAAAGTAATGTATTCATTAACTTATGATATATTAAATTAGAATATATAATATGTTTATTTACTTTAACATTAAATATTTCAAAGTCTTGTTTTAAAATGATCATTATTTTGAATGGGGAATATACAAAATATTTATTACAAACATTTCATTCAATCGCGCATATAGGAACTAACGGTATATTTAAAATAAATAACATATATTCACAGCAAACAACACGTTTTTTGTGTGTAGAAATACTTGTACTTACATCATATCCTAAATATCTATTTAAATACATCAATTCTGGAATAAGAAGGTCAGGCATTAATATTGCCATTTCTGACAAAACTTTAGCACAAAATTTGGCTCCTTGAGAATCTTGAAACCTTTCTTCAGTTTGCCATTCAGTAACTTCTCTAACTAGATCATGAACCAATCCCTTACAATTAAAATTTAAAACTAACTTTTGTACTCCTTCAGGTAAAATTTGTACTAAATGCTCATGCATTTTTATCAATTGCACCATTCTGATTATAAATGTCGTTCCATGGTTATAATTTTTTATTAGTGTCCCAATAAGATGAAATATTTCCGATTTGAGCTCTTTATTGGCTTTTACAGAAGGGCTTTGCAAGAACCTGTAGCAAATTTCGGACACCATGGCAATAAAATTTTCCTCAACAATAGGAGGGTCCCAGAATAAACATATTTCCCATTGCAAAATTTTGTTTAGAACCAACAAGATACTGTTTTTTTCCAAACAATAATCATCATCATTATCTTTTGCTTTTTTCCTTCCTTTCCCGCCAATTGTTGGGTTTTTACTCTCAGTCTTTTGTTCTATTAATAGAATAACTTGTGTGTATGCATACAACAACATTTTCATTATATTGCAGTATTTCAATTTAATCTCATCATTTAAACTTTCCTTGTCCTCCAATAAGAACCCCAGTGATTTGTTAAGTTCAGTTGCACCTAAATTTTTAATTTTAAATAAGGTTGCAACAAAAATTTACAAAGATACATCATGGCATAAAAAACTACAATATTTTTTATAGCAAATTAAATCAAAATGTAAATACCCACCAAGCACAACTGTAAAGGTTATAAAATGGCCCTTTATAAACGTCCCTTTAATGAACTACTAAAGGCCCTATAAAGGCTCTAATGGAACTGTACATATTATGTCGCGTTAAAGGTACTAATGTGGCAAGCTAAAGTTGCTGTTAAAGATTCTATAGTGGTTATTTAAATAATTTTTAAGGGATAAGTGAAGTATCTATTATAGTGGATTAAATGTGGTAGGTATATATTTATAATAAATAATTTATTAGATAAGGATATTCCACGATAATCAGAAATTGTTATCCCTACCGTCAAAATACAATTTCTGACGGTCGGGATAAAATTTTCCGATTATCGTGGAATATTCGACCCAATAAATATAAACAAATCACATTTAATCCACCATAATAAATACTTTACTTACCCATTACAATGATTATTATATTATTGTGAAATGTAATACTAAACATTAATAAATTTACAAGAAAAAAAACAAAGCAATGTGTTGTATTAAAGACCTGTATAAGTAAAACATACAAAAAATATTTTAAAAACTGTTAATTAGGTAATAAATGGAATTCTTAATATTTAAATAGATAAACAATCCTTAAACTTAATAGAAAATATTTAAAATTAATAAGTATATTTACAAATAAGTTCACTTGATTTTTTAGGTACATTGTCCTTCATAACAAAGAAAACTAGGTTATTATTTTTTTTATTTGCAATTGCCCCAATTTTGGACTTATAATTAAACCTTTCTAGGTACTAAATTCTTTGGCAGTATTTTCTCTGTAGGTAATAAGAATTATACTGGGGGTCATTTTCATGTAAGTTTTATATACAGAAAACATTTGGTACTTGTCCCTTTAACTTGATACTGAAAATTTACATACATCGGTCTTTTATGGTAAAATATACAAATATTAGGCTGAAAAGGGTCATTGCAAGACCTTATCATGACTGCCTCTTATCAAAATTATTATTTTTATTAAAATATTTCTGTAAATAGCCACTGCGTACAAGAAATGCCTTAGCTAAACATGCCATTATTAAGCCATAAAACTATGAAATGGGCCATTACATAATCAGACTTATGTGCTTGCTGGGTAAATAAATTAACTAAAGCATGTTAACTTCAATCAGTTCATTAAGTGAGTTTATAAATCTTTCCTAAATACTTTTAAAAGATATGATTTTGCTCAATTTGAACCACAATTGTGGTTTGAACAAAGGTACTACTTTAATCAGATACATTTTTCTAAAAATTGCTGTACAATGTACATTATAATACAACAAAACCATGCACAATATTACCTTTATGTAAATCTTCATACGCTTTGTACATAATGTCCATGGACACAGTATCTCCATGATGTAAAACTGAATAGTATGTATCAAAACAATCAAGTATAAACTCGGCACCCTCTTCTCTAAGCTGAGTTTTGGCAGCTACAAGCTAAATAAATTACAAAATGCCAAACAAAAAATCCAAACTAACCTTTAAGTTTCAAAACCAGATCCTTCGGTCCCAAAGTGTCCCTAACATAATAGTCGTCATTTACATTTAACAACTCGTTTTTATGCCCAGGAATCACGAAGTTTATATGTGCCATTGCAGAGATTTTATAATTTAAATACACCAAACATACAAACTTTAAAACGCCATAACCTTTTGACAGTTAAAATTGATATATTTAAAATGCGAAATCTCATTGGTTTGTTTTAAAATTATACTTTTCCATTGGTTGAAACATATGAAGTTTTAAAAATCGTAGTAGGTGGCAGCACAAGGTTTCATTGTCACCATTATACGAAAAAAAAATTCCCCCAAAACATTTTTCATCTTCAAAAACAGTTTTGACTCAAAACTCAAAAGATTTGATTGGATTCAAGGCCAGTTCCCTCGGAAGAGAAAACAACCATTAAGAAGAAGAAGACTCAAAACTTGATCGGGTATATTTGTTATATGGGTCAAATATGGAGTTTTACATTTTATCACGGTTCATAGCTTGTTGTTTGTACAATGGCGAACACAGAATTTTAAACGAATATCATCCTGATGACATCAAAACCTAAACTGCCTTATGTGCAACTAACCTTACTTCCAGTTATCATAAGGTGACCTTATTTTTTGTAAGCCAATACAGACCACAGAGCCTACAAAATTCCGTGTGGACCATAGGGTCCATATGATAGGGTCTAATCTAGGAAGTACGCTATTATCTAGACAATGAATATATAAGGGTTTGAACCCCCACAAAGTTGTTTAGATTTTTTTAATAATCCCAATCTTATAATCATCTCATACCTTAATTTTATCCTTGTATGAATTTTAAATTGTGAACTGTAAAATGTTAATTTAACATAAAATAGTCTTTCAATTCTTATTTTGTTAAGGAAAAATTAATAAATAAAACACTTTTTATCAATTAACTTATTGATATATTTTTTATATTTAATTTATGTTACAATGTAAAAACTTATATTCTGGAAGGGTACAACATCTGCAACAAAAAATTTGGTATTAATTTATGAAAAGTGGTTGGTAAATAAAATGGTCAAGATAATCTGTCAAATCAGTAAAAATTTGTCTACACTGTATGTTCAGGTTTCAAATGTCATAAGCATCATGTATAAAATATCAAGTATAAGTAGGTATAATATAAGCAAATGTAATTTGAATAATACAGAGCCTTTTTAAAATCCTTTTTTTAAATAAAACTGTTTTATTTTCAAATGTCTTTTAAAATGTAACATAATGGATTAAAAAAAATATTAATTAAATTGATTTGGACCTGGTTGAATGATATACAAGTGACATTAAAAAAAAATGTAGTTTTGTACAGAAAAAGATAGTAAATGTTACATTTTACTTGGTATCCAAGGGATACAACTAAATTCTAAGCTTAGACATCTTGAAAAACAAAGTCAAATGATTATTTCAAAACTAAACAAAATGTACTTATACCGCTTCTAGGGTCCTCATTTAGATTTAAACAAAGCTTAGTGGATAAACTGCAACTGAACTTGAATTGTACAAATGGTCCTTAATGTAGGGTTTCCAGAAATTATATAAATTATATTATAAATGCCGAAAATAAAAGAATTAACTAGAAAATATAGAAGTATCAAAAAATATATAGAAGATTTAAACAAATCATTAATTGCATTCATTATAATTCTTAATTTATTAAAATTAAATGCAAAGATATTAAACATATTTTGTTAAATAAAAAAAACTAAAATAGTATTGATTTAACAATATATTTTAAACCCAATTCAATTAAGTTGGGTTTAAAATATTTATTTATAAATAGAATAATGTACCTAAACTGAATACCTATTGCAACTATTTTATTTTTATTTTAAAATGCTGAATTATAGAAGATTTTGAATATTTATTTGCAGTCAAAGTTAAATAAATAAATAAATAGCTATTTGCTCTTAGCTTAATGCACTAGCACTAATAAAGATTATTATTATTATTACTAAAATATTCGATGTGGACTAGGTTTTTTTCTCCAGTTATTGGACATTTTAATAACAAATATACCAAAATTAAGTTGATATTGTTAAGACCGTTATATCTAGTTATAATATAACATTCTTAAGGTACTCTTTAAAGTAAATTCTTAAGGGTGTTATACCTACCAAGAGTAAGCATCTCTATGGCAGTTACATTTATATTTAGCCTAAATTGACATTATTGTTATATATAGCTTATTAATTTGATCTACCAAAATGTTAATGGTCAACATTTAAAAAAATAAGGTTTAATTTAATAGTTAAATATTGTTGGATATCTTAACAAAATATAACTAATTCTGGCAGTTGTGGTTTTTACTATAATAATGTTTGCATTTTCTATAAAACAATACATTTTTGGACAATAAAAGGCTCTGATTATAGGTATTAATGATACCATTTTATAACATAATTCTATAAATCAAAAAGTAAATAAATTAACTAATAATTAAAAAAATTTCATTTATGTTTAAAATGTATCAAAATAAGATATTAGTATTTTTAAGGGAGTTTTATTGCATAAAAAACAAAAACATAAGATCTTGCCTGATCTTTAACAACAGAAAAACATAATAAAAGCAGTACTTACAATACGAATACGATGTCCCATAGCTTTAGCAGGTAAGTTTCTCTTGAAGACTGCTCTAACTGAGCCACTGGTGCCGTGTGGTCTTGTCACTTTGCCCCAGATGGCACGTACCTTGGATTTAACTGTTTTTGGTTTTCCAGGCACACAAGTCCTGTTTTTGGCTTTGTATACGTATACACAACGTTTGCCAACATAGAACCAACTTTCTGGTTTGTTTGTGGTGCCTTCTACTTTCAAAAGAGCAGTGTTTTCATTCTGGTTACGGAGTCCACGTTTATAACCTGTAAAGATAGCTTTGGCATATAACCTGCCGTGCCTTTTTACGGGCCTTCTGGAGGCTTTTTTCTCGCCGCCTTCTTTGACGGAAACCTTCTTTTCGGCCTTTTGTTTCTTCGCGGCGTCAGCCATGTCTAAAAAGAAAAATTCACATGTTAGTTAAGAACTTGACAACAACACAATTTTTTTATCCATCAACATCCACTTTACTTTATGTAAAACTACACATTTTTTGTTTGAATTTGATAATCCAATGTCTTGTGCACTCAGGATGCACAATATTTTACCTTAATTATTATTATTTCTCTTAAAAATTAAATCAAATATCACAGGAACATAAATTCACTACCTACCGGACTCTGTTTTAGTTCAAAAGAGTATTGCCAACTGAAAGATGGCACCACATTGCTTTTTAGTGCGCATGACACTGGTCAAAAATTAAATAAAACTATATAAAAGCTTTAATACTATTATTGATTTATACGTTTTATCAACACAATTATTGTTTTTTATAAAAATAAATAATAAATTTTGTTAAAAACGTCTTTATTTCAAAAATAGGATGACCAACACTTAGTAGTAAAATACTCCACGAGATTTAAATTCATGGCGCGAAATAACCTAAATTCAAATTCCTTTCATTTGATTTAGGGTCATTCCACGATACTTGGGGATTTTTGTCCCGCCCGCCACAATTAAAAATTGTGAGTAAAAACTACACGTTATAAAATTTATTTTAAAATGTTGTTTATTATGCTTGTAATAAGCTTATAAGCAGAATAAAAATAATATTATAAAATATTAATTTAATAACTTGTGGTTTTTACTCACCATTTTTAATTGTGACGGGCGGGACAAAAATTACCGAGTAACGTGGAATGCCCCTTTATTAGTTAAAAACTTATACTTTTTAAAAAAAGAAAAAATTATTTAAAAAAGCACCTATTTATTTTTTCTTTCATAATTGGTATTTTTACACATGAGATGTGTTTCTAAAGAATTTTTCTTACTACCTCGACTCAAAATACGTTGTTTCGTCCCCGATTCCACGGCAGAAAGTTTACGTTTCTTGCATTGGTCAAGCTATACGCGCACACTCTAATAGCGGGAGTAAAAAAATTTTAGTCGTGTGCTTAACCATGGAGCCTACACAAGGAGCCCGAACTTCATGTAAACAAGAATCTTCCTAAGATAAGAGGGCGCTGGTGTACTACCGGTCCAAAACAGTAGAGGGGTATAACCAGAGATGGCGCCACTACCTACCACTTATTATTGTGCAAATAATTGAGGTTATGCAACTGTCAGTTTATCACTTTCTGAAAACAATGTACCCATGTACCTGGTTCACTTCACAGATTATAAAGAATCACTTATATTTCACAACCAAAACCTTTTCATTAGCATCTACCTACCAGGTACAGCCATAAATAACAAAACGATTCGTACGTCAAAACATTATTGCAAATCAATTGTCAAAACTTACTTGCTTACTTCACATGTATTTTCGATACTATTTTCACGTCATTCGGACGCATTAACAAGCAGCGCCGCTGGTGGTGAAAAAAAAGACTTAAATTGTGCAATTTAGTGGACAGGTTTTGTCAATTTTCCCTATTAAGTTCGGGCTCCTTGTGTAGGCTCCATGTGCTTAACATTCAAATTTCGTACTGCCAACATGAGAAACACAAAAATATGACAGTTTTAAACCATAATTTTGCAATTATAACAACAAATAAACAATTTATGTTTTTACTTTTTTACTTTTTATGTTGTTTTAAGTGTTTAATGGTACTTTTATTTGTTATAAAGTAGTAATTTGTTAATTAAAATACAACGTTTTATTTTTACTGTATTGGCACCGCTGAATTCACGGCCTACTGTTATTTATTTATCAAGCTCTTCAAATGGAGATAGGTACAGTTGTATTCAATAAAAAAGCGTACAAGAATTAGAATGAGAGAAAACTGTCAAAATAATATTATTGCTTAAAACCGGCTTATCACTGACATAAGTCATTAAAATAATTACTATAGGTTATAAAGAGCATTGACGTCGTAGGTTAATTAAATAATATTACAAAAATTTTACCTTTTAGAAATGAAAAACAACAAACATTAAAAAAATTTAATATTTAGTCATGCATTCCTGTTTTTCTATTACTTGAGCCAATCTATTTGGGATGAACTGAATTAAATTTAATACAATATTTGGATTAATATCTTCCCAGCAGTAGAGCAGGTATAGTATAGTTGTATAGTTTCCCATAAATCCTCAGATATCCCAAAAAAGCAGCATCCTGTTCAGGGGTGGACATTTTGGGACGACCTGAACCAACTTTTTGTTTTAATAAATCTTCCTGTTCCCAGCGTTGCTTAGTTTTTAATATAGATTTTTTATTTCTTTTATACCACAGTACGAATTGACCATTCTTTTTCGATTCTGGATACTATTTGAGCCTTTTTAACTGACGAGGCATTTTTATTTTCTACTGTCAGTTATAGTGACTTAAGTCAGTGGAAAGCCGGTTTTACGCAATAATGTTGACAGTTTTCTCTCATTCTAATTCTTGTACGCTTTTTTAATGAATACAACTGTACATAAATACACATTTAATTTTTTCCCGTATTTTCGGCCGGGTTGTATTTTCGGCCGAGGTAGTAAGAAAAATAGTATACACTACACGGGCAGAAAGTGTGAGAGTCCTGAACTGCGCACCATGATGCCCTCGGCTTCGCCTCGGGCATCATGGCGCGCAGTGCAGGAATCTCACACTTTCTGCCCTTGTAGTGTAATATACTATTGTTTTTATTAATAATTATTGTTTAAGATAAAATGAGTTTTTTTCAACGATTTTTTAAGAAAGTTTGTAAAAGCATGATTGCTATTGGGAAATAAGGTGCACTCTAAAAATAAAAATAACACTTAAAACACTTGTAATATACATATTATTGTAAATACCTAATTATAATGCTCCACAATATTTTTATAAAGGTTAATCTTTTAATTTTAAGAATACTTACCATTTATCATATGATAAATTACATGATCTATGAGAAAAAACTATGAGCTTATTCGTTTTTATCTTTTATTTCTGGTATTTACCTCAGTATTTACTATACTTTAAAGCTTTTTTGGGTAGAAATGTAATATATTTTTTGGGTAGGTAGATATAATAAGTATAAGACATTTTAATATAAATCGTTTTAATTTAAATATTAAAAATATGTACAATAATTTAAATGTAAATGCTAGGCATTTTACAGATGATATTCAGTCCTTTTACACTATCATATCAACAGTGTGGCAATAATAAATAAATAACAAGTCCTGAGTTGCACTTGGTATTCACTCTCACTTATAGCAATATATGCTACAATAACCACTTTTTATAATTAAAAATTGTTCATTTCATTTCTAAATATGTACAAAAAAACAAGACTAATTGAAGTGAAACCTAAATTGGAATGGACTACCATGGAAGTTTTGGAAGTTTTGAAAGTTAGGCATACCACCTCTTCCAGATTCTGGATCCAGTGGATCTTCACCAGCATCAAATTGCCGCCTTTTTTCTTCATCTGTCAAAACCTAAAATAATAAATTAGACCTCTATAAACATTTATAAATTCGCAAAATATTCGTGTCACAATAGTATATTTTGGTTTTATTATTGAAACTTATTGGGTAAGAAATATTTTTTGTAAACTTTAGGCACCATATAGAAACATGCTCATACATACAGGCAAGGGGAGGAACTTGCCCCCGCTGTAAATTTATAAATATATTGGTACATATTTTCATTTGAAGAGTTTACATAGAATGTCTTCAAAATTTAATACATTATTTTTGAGGCATCAGATTTTTTTACAGCAGATTCCAAAAAAAATCATTTTTAAAGTTAAATTTGTTTAAAAACGTCATTTTTTTATTTTGCTTGCTTTCCATAAAAAATAAACCAAATAATCAATTTTTAAGCAATTAACTTGATCCTATTTTGTTTCTCGAGTTTTGGAAACGAATTTTTAAAATATTCTATACCTAGGAAATCTGTGGGAAATAACACTTCTGCACAAGTGTTATTTTCCATAGATTCTTTCAAAAGTTCGTTTTGAAACTTAAACAACCAAAGAGGATTATGTTGATGGCTTAAAAATTAATTATTACAGTAGGTATATTTTTAATAAAAATCTCAAAATTGTTAAGTTGGTAGCACAAAATTTAAATTGACAATTTTACTTTAAAGTATTAATTTGTTTAAATAAGTTTTATTTTTACTACATTGGGACCGCTGAATTTCACGGTAACCACTACAGTACTACTGTAACAGTAGTGGTAACTGCTCTGTCACTATGTATTAATTATAATCCCAGAGCCAAACTGTATCAAGTTCAGTTTTTTTAAAAGAAATTTACATATTGTGTTTTGTAAAAAGCGTGAAAATTGCAATTATTAAAAAAAATGTTTAGTGAATATATTTATATATATATTTAAAATTTTTTTTATATGAAAACATTAAAAAACCCAAAAAACACTTTAACAAAGGATGATTGATAATGTGGCTATGGGTACTAAATAAATTAACAAAAACTAAATTATACACAATCGTAAAGTTTTTCCCTTAAAAAATAATGATTTTTCTGGCGAAGTTTCGGCAATTTTTAAAATTGCAAACAAAGTTGTCCGATTTAAATGAAATGTTCGATTTTTTTTAGGTTTTTGGTGTTTACCTTATTGCGTTAAAGTTTCAAAAATGACCAAAATTGCACTTAAAACAACCGCGCGTCAAAATTTATATTTACAGTTAGTATTAAATAAAATATGTATTTATAAACAAAAAAACAATGACACTTTTAAACAAAATGTTTAAAAAAATATACAAAATGCATTAGTAACTGCTGTAATAAATGTAAAAAAATAGTAGGTAGGTACACTTAATTTTTTTAGAAGAAATATTAGATAATTAAACAATTTATTAATTAATTTTTTCACAGATTTTTTAAAGTAGTACACGCGCCAGGACAAGAAATGAACTTAGTACCAATGTTGAGAGTATATTGAAGAACCCATAAATTTTGTAAATTTCATTAATATCGGACAAAAATTGTTTGCATAACCAAATTTTGGCAAAAAAAAGATTCAATAAAAACTTATCATTGGCAAGTTGTTGTTTATATTTTTACAAAATATTTATCAACAATAAGTTTTTCATTTATAAGCAGTAAAATATGATAATGTTGGTTTATTTTAATAAATGTATGTTATTTTAATCACACAACTAAAACAATACTTACTTCTTTGGCTGCAGCAATATCTATAAACTTCTTCTCAGCAATGGCCTTCATTTTTTCATCAGTTGCATAATTATCTGGGTGCCATTTCTGAGCAGCCTTCCTGTATGCCTTGACGATTTCTTTTTTGTTTGCATTCCTTTTGACCCCCAAAATTTTATAGTAATCCCTACTTTCAGCCTGTTTTCTAACTTTTTCCGCCTTATTTAAACCTTCTTTTGCCCTTTGGAATGCAGAATCAATCTCCAAAGCAGCTTGGTAGTCCCTGACGGCATCATCATACATTTCTGCTTGCAGGTAAGCCTCAGCTCTATCACAGAATAAGTTTGGGTCCTCATTGGCTTTAATAGCATCCGTGCAGAATTTAATAGCCTCCTCTGACTTTTCATCATTTGAGTAGCAAGTGCACAAAAACCGTTTGGCTTCATTAATTATGCTTTGTGTGTCTTTTTCATTGTTCAAAACTTTGTTTGCTGCCTCAACACAGCCTTCATAATTCTTGTTTTCATTAGCCAATTCAGCTTCAACTAAAAACTTCTCTATTTTCTTGATCTTCTTGTAAAATGGAAAACAATCTTTGTGTTCGGGGTCCAATTTCAAACATTCTCTAATGGATTTTAATGCATCTGTTGCTTGTCCAGCTTTGTACAACAATTGCGATAATTTAAGATAGCCTTCAGTATTATCAGCTTGCAGCTTAGTGGCATACCTTAGGTCAGAAATTGCAGCCATTTCTTCCCCAAACTCCATATGCAATTCTGATCTAAACTCATACAAATCGGATGCCCAGGGACTTACTTCTAGTACTTCACTTAAAGATCGAATTGCAGAAGGGTAATCATTATGAGCATAGTAATATTTAGCTGTGTTTAAAGCTTCTTTGGTAGGGTCTATTCTTTGAATATTTAAATTAGCTTCCTCATTGTATGGATCTATTTTTATCTGTGTAATAAAAAGTAATTAGATATATTCTTTGTGATTAAGATTACAACTAAAGTTAACATTCTTAACACTATCTAAAATTTGCATTCTTCAGACAGTTTAAGTTGACAGTTATATCTAGCTTAAGAAAACTATATGAAGTTTCAGTTTCTTCAGACAGTTAACATTTGTAAGGCAGTTATTTTAAGCTTTAAATTTTTTTATCTATACGATGTCTAACAATTCTGACCATAATTATAAAAAACCCCCAAAAAAATACTGTTATGTATATGATTAAATTGTAAATAGGTATATGAAATAATATAGTAAATTTACTTTTAACCAAGTCCTATCTTAAAAATGTGTTTAAAATAAGATTTGTATTTACCTACATAGTTTTAACAGTAACTATTTTAAGTTAAACACACTTACCACATTATAAAAATCTAATTGAGCTAAGTCATAATTAGCTTGTTTTAGATGAATGTTGCCTCTATTTATTCGAGCAGCTGTAAAATCTGGTTTTAACTCTAACACCCTGTCCAAGTCGGAAAGTGCATTTTTAGCTTTTCCCAAGGCTAAATACACTGTTCCTCTCTTAAAATACGTTAAATAATTGCTAGGATCAGCCTCTGTAATAATAATAAAGTTAATATATGCAAAATTAACAGAGATTTTGATGAAACTTGCCAACAGCTGAGTGATAGTGACTAAGGGCATCTGATAATTGTCCTTTAACTAGATATTGTGTACCTAACTCCAAGTGCCTGTCTATTTCAGCCTGTGAGGCACAATCTGATACTAAAATTTAGAAAATATACATTAAAAATAGACGGATTTTTATAGGTTAGAACTTACAGTCAATGAATAATTCCATAATTAATAACGCCAAGTATGGCATAATCAATGAGGATTTTGGAAACAATTCCATGTTATTAATTATTTGAACCATGTTTGTCTCTCACTGTTATGTTACAATATACATAAAATATCAAGTACACATCATTAATGACTTTTAAGATAACTTTGACACATGAACACAACAACTTCTCTTCGTGGTTTGATTTGATTGGTCCAACACATGTGCAAATTTATGCGCAATGCGGTGAAAATACCTCATTTGGAAATAAAGCTTTCCATACACCTCGAAAACCAGTCTCCGAGCCATACACATATTAAACTTTTAAATTACTTTTTAAGTAGTAGAGGAAAATTAATTTGAATTATTTAATTAAATTGGATCGATTACGAAAATCAATTATTTATTTATTTAATTAATAAATAATTGTTAGAATAGCGCTACCGCACGTAAAACCTGATTTATAGATTGGGAATCGGGAATCTTTAAACGGCACTACGGTTTTCGCATTGTTTATCTTTTACGGGAGGAAGGAAGGAAGACAATCTATAAACCAGACTTTAAACTAAATATTGGTCAAATTTTAATTGGTTCATTTAAAAACCTTGATATTTACAAAATTTAAAAAAGGATTTCAGATTCTGTACATACCTACCAGTATTTCTAGGCGACATTTTCCAGCCCTGACTGCAGTAACATTATTTTTAAAAATTTTCTCCCTATTATTAAATTTTATAACTCATTTCTCATAGTCAGGGGCATACTGGTAAGGCCTTAAGGGGAGCGAGTTTCATGTAAGCCCATTTTTTATTTATTTTATATTACAAAATTCTGGTCAAACTGCAATTGCTTGGTAGGCAGTACCTAGGGTTACCACCCTGATCCAGAGGGTACAATTAATTCTAAAAAAAAACGGGCACTTTTGTTTTTTTTTTAATACACACATATTTCAATGTTTAATTTGATATTTTTTATTGTTTTGAAAGTTTGTAAAAGTATAATCATGCAAACCACAAAATAATTCAATGCCACTTTTTTTAATTTAAATCATAGATCACAAGCCACAACTTCAGTGAATGGGCTCCCATATCTTAAAACTTTGGAATAAAAATAAAATATAACAAAAACGAATTATATTAAACAATATTAGATCACAATATTAATAATTATGGGTAATAAAAAATACATAATTATTTATCCAGGATAAGCTTCAATCAAATTTTTGCTTCTATGTGTATATTTGTCTTGTTTTAATTCTTGTCTAAAATAATCAATGGTCTTTTGAAGACCCATTTTAATGTCATATTTTGGTTCCCAGTTTATAAACTTTTTTGCTCTGGTTATATCAGGTTTTCTTCTTTGTGGGTCGTCAATGGCGCCCTCTAGGTGCACTATTTTGCTTCTACCACCTACCAGGTTTCTTATTTTTGTGGCAAACTCTACAATAAAAAAATAATATATCATTTTGGGCTGCATACAATTTTTATAAACAATATTTTCTGTTTGTACTGTTAAAAAATAATTAATCAATAATATTTAAATTAAATTCTTGAATTAATAAATATGTTTTATTGGGGCGGAATTTTTATAAAATGGTTATTAAAAAATAGGAGGGGGGAAATCACAGACCCATATGTTACTACTATATACCATATTATAATATATTACCATTTATTGTATGTTCTATGGGATTCCCCAGATTCACAGGTTGAGTGTAGTTTGCATTCATAAGACTAATTATTCCATCTACCAAGTCAGTAACATATTGGAAGGATCTTGTTTGAGTTCCAGTCCCATAAACCTTAAAAAACATATGTATATTTTATCATGTCAAATTCACGTAATATTATAGGTGCGTTCTTTTTGAATGAGATCTCAGGTCACATTGGTAAAATTTTCAAATATGCGCGTTATTTTTGCTTCAGTCCAAATTATCAGAAAAATACCTCATGGATGTCCCCAAGTTTATCCTTTGGATCCCATATTGACATGTGTTTTTTATACTTTTGTATTAAAAGAAGAATGTCGTCTTTGTTTTCATTAATTTTTATTAACCTATTAAAATAAATACAAAACCTCACACACGTTTTGAGCAAGAGCGCACACTTACACAGCGTAAATATTTATGCGACTGACATTTTGCACATTTTCGGCGCAAAAATTTATTATGAATTCGAAATACAACGCAATTTTTTACTAATCTGGACCCGGCTTTAGACCTCGTTTAAAAATAGTCAAGTCAGAATGCCAATTATTATATCTAGGGATTAAACTCATTGTTGGATACCACAAGGCAAATATGTGACCTCTATATTAATTAGATAGAAGGTCTATTCCACACAGGTGTGCACAAGTGTGCCAAAAATGAATAAAAAATGGCTTCTAGTCCAGTGCATTTAGGAAATTTTATAGGGGTGACCAAAAATGTTGGGTACATTTTTTCTTTTGTTGCTTATTCAAAAGGGTATTGTATGGAGACCTTGGCTCATGAGCAAAAAAAAAATGTAAATTTTTAGGTCAATTTCTAAATACACTGAACTATAGTCACTTTGAAGTGTTACCAAGTTTGTTTTGTGTTTTTGCGTGAAAAGGAATTAAAGAATGGCATTTTTTTTAATTTTTGGCACATTTTCAACGTTTTGATTACGCCACCCCTCTCTTCCTTACTTATAGGTCGGTCATTATAAAAAAATGACATAAGAATAATAATAAAAGGAAATCTAGCTTAAAATATAAAAATAAATTTTATAAACAAAAATGCGTTAAACATTAAAAATTCGACATAAACTTGGTATGCATGAATAGGTATGTAATCATTAGAATGATAAACCTTAAAATTATTAAATTATATTAAAATATTAGTATATAGCCTTAAAATGAATAAATGTTTCAATAAAAATAAAATAAATCGATTTCGAATTATTTAAACTTGTAATAAGCCTAGGCAAGAGTAGGATTGCCACCTGGACTTTCTGAACAAGTTTTTCTTAATAATTTGTTTTCTATATCATAAAGTCGCGTACTTATACTCACAGTAATATCTTCATTCTTTAAGGCCTGCAAAATAAAATTTGACACAACTCTACCATCGTTCATGTGCATTCTGGGCCCAAAAGTATTAAAAATGCGCGCCACTCTGACTGACATTTTTTCTTGTTTTGCATATGCATATGTAAGAGTTTCTGCTACTCTTTTACCCTCATCATAACAAGCTCTTGGGCCTAAAAATAAAAAAATGTATGGATATAAAGAATAATTAGGAAAACATTACCAATGGGATTTACATGGCCCCAGTATGTTTCTGGTTGTGGGTGAATTTCAGGATCTCCATAAACTTCAGAAGTACTTGCAATTAATACTTTTGCGTTACATCTTCTTGCCAAACCTTAAAAAATATTTAATTGGAATACAAAACCACCTTTTATACTTTTTTTACCTAAAACATTGATAGTTCCCATGGTATTAGTCTTAATAGTTTTAACAGGATTGTGCATGTAATGTGGAGGACTAGCAGGGCTGGCAAGATGGTAAATTTCATCCACCTCAATAAATATAGGATTTACTATATCATGGTGTATCAATTCAAAATTCTCATGACCAACCCAATGTTCCACATTTCTTTTGCGACCAGTAAAAAAATTGTCTACCACTATAACTTCATGGCCTTGCAACATCAACTGGTCCACCAAATGAGATCCAACAAAACCAGCACCACCAGTTATCTGAAAATATTTATTTTATACAGGATGTAACATTTCCAACCTTGCTTCGTTTTCAAAATACAAATAGTTTTTAATTTCATGTTTTTTTGAAAGTACCTACCTATTTTTTACCTTTAGTCCTTAAAATAGAGAACGTTAAGTGTATAATTAAATTTTTAGGATTACAAAACATTGCGTACGTGTCCTAAGATAAAATAAACCTCTAATAGCAATTGTTAGGAAAACAAGCCAAATACATACTTATATAACCTTATTTGAAATAAGAGTGTTTTTCAATCTTAGTTTATCTAATTATTTTTATAGATTATTGTCAAAACAATGGTCACCATAAAAATTATTTGCCATTATTGTCATACTTATGAATTTTTAAAAATATAAGTTAATGTCCCACTTTTAACATGGAATCGTTTCAGTGTGCGGCATGCATAGAAAAAGAATATGTATGCCGGAAGTATGTCCATATGTATGTTTTTGACATTTGAAATTGATGACGCAACGGAAAACATTCGCTGCGGCGATTATATCATTTAAATTATTAGTTTTCAGTCTAAAAACAATTTTGATTTTAATGACATAAGAAAAAATTCATAACTTGCTAATAGGTAGAGACATATATTTGTAGGGTATTTTACGCTATACATAAAAAGGTTTTTTATGTATTTTTCGTAAAACCATCCATTTATATGCTATTGGAGATCAAAATTTGAAATGAATCAAAATGAAAAGTATTGTCATTATCTTTTTAGTTCTGAATTTATAACTAGCTTTTTTTACTTGTACATATTGAGAATAAATTAACCAAATCTCCGTATATATCATACACCATGGTCAAAAGAAACCAATGTAAAGTTTTCTAAAGTTGTTAGAAAGTGAGATTGACAAAGTTTCAGCTCAATTGGATAACGTTAATTCTTGCCCCATTGAGGTATTGAAGTTAAAAAAAATCGAATCGCAGTTAACTTTTTCCAACTGAGCTGAATCCCACTTTCTAGTCAATTTGCAAATTTTAGGGAACTGTCCCAGAAGATCTGCAAAAAATCTTACATAAAAATTGGTCGCATTTGGCCTTTAGCCTGAAGATCATTCCCAAAACCCTGAAGTGTTGGTAACCCAACTTGGGAAAAATAATACAAATATCTATATATAAGTAGGTATAAGTTAACTTAAAATAATTATTTTCTGTTTTAAATTAAAACCTTTACACACACAAAATACTTAGTTATTTTATTAATTTAAGAAAATAAGACGAAATTAGCGTTAAATTCCCCTTAATTATTTGTATTAAAATAGAACTTTTGGGTGTGGAGCATAGTACTTTTAATGCTCCTACCATTTATGTTCATATGAAAAAAATTGTACAATACTTATTTAATTACTTACAAGTATTCGTTTCCTTTTTACATAGTTAAGAAATTTAACATCTGGATATGTTTTTGGCACACGACTTTCAAAATTAGAAAGTTTTTCCTCCAGTTCCTGTATTCGTATAGTTGCTTCTTTCAATAAATTATTTGCTTTTTCTACTTCTTGCATATATTTTTCAGCAATCGGGGTTACAAAATTTGGTCTTATGTTTGGTGTATACTCTTCTATGCTTATTAGCTTCAGTATAATTAAAATAACTGAAAATACTTAATTAAGATTTTGGGTGATTATCTTAACATTAAAAGTTTTGCTTACCACTGACCGAAACAATTCCCAAAATTACTATATTTGCTTTCATGTTTACGTAGATACCATTATTCGGCTTCGGTATCTCATTTTTTCATGTGAATTGTTATTTAATCCTGTTTTTTTGAGTCCACTTTTAACAGGTTATAAATAAATATTTATCAATGATGTTATTTAGGTTAGGAACTATGTTTATTAACTATTCTTTATCAAACGAAGGTTTGGCGACAACTAAAAAATATTTTAAATTATTCATAACAACAAAATTAATTTTGCATGTTTATCAGATAACGATAAAATTCGAATTTTAATTTTTAAATGTATATTTGTATATTAACAGTGTTGTTCTTGGTACTGGTTTGTAAAAAATAATTTTATTAAAATCTATAAATTATTAATAGGTACTGAATTTGTTTAAAACCAATTTTTTTAAATTATTTATCCTAGCAAACAATATTTTATTCAGGATAGATACCTTTAGATTTAGGTAAATAACTTATTTAAAATCCTTTATTGTTTGCAGATATTGAGTATATATAATAAGTTTTATTTATTTGGATTCTACATTGTAGATTTTTATTCTATTTCTATTTAAATTTTTATTCATAAAGGCCGTATGGAATATGCGTCCACTCATGAGTGGACTCCACAGTTTTCTTGTCTATAATATGTACAGGAACAACACTTTTAAATGTCAAAACAATAGTGGGGTTATATTTTTGTCAAAATCTAATGACTAATGTCCCACAAGTAGTGTTTATTTTTAATGGAAATAATGATTGTTTAATCCCCTAGCTTAAAAGAACAATTTGAGGAAACGATTAACATCTGTAATGTATTGCTCATATTAAGATTATTTACTTTTTACGACGTAATTGAAGGCTGATGTTTGACAGTTAATAATGGTATATGAATAAATAACATTGATTATAATCGTTTATTCCATTAATGTGATTTTTAAATCCTTTACTTTAAATGTAAATAATTTTGTAGGTTAATACTTCTTTGGTAAAATAACAGATACACCCACCAGTTCTTTGTTTAAATTTATTGTGACATGTGATTGTTGGAAGGAAAACAGAATTAAAATGCTTTCAATAACAATATGCATCTTGCTAGCACTTTCGTTAGATCAAACTACAGCAGAAATATATGCTATACAGTTTGTAAGTACTTGTTATGATACTGTCAAAACCAATACTAAAAATGTGTTCTAGGACTCCCAATTCTATTATGAGGAATTTGAAGATGTTGAAGCAATGTTTGGACCCAAATTATCTGAAGGAAGTGAGTCAATGTTTATTGTATTATTTATAGTACCTACTACATAGTTTTACTTAAAACCAGATCTATTGTCAAAAGTTCCCAGAACTAAATATTTACCCAAAGTTCACATTATTAGGTCAGCTATATCAATCCTAATTTGACATTTTTAAATTTAGTTCACATTTGTTATACCACTATAACTTCTAGATCCACGAAACTAGTTTTGTGGCTAGATCTAGCTTATTAATTTTTAATGGTTAAACTCCACATTTTTATATATTATAGTAACTTAGGGTAATAGGTATACGTAACTGTCTTATAAATGGCAACTTTAAATAGGAAACTTTGTAGACTTTTTAGTAAAAAAAGTACAGTTTTTACTTAACTTTGTTATTTTAGTTGCTCTAAGAGGAATGCTTCATTATGGAGAGCCTCCTGAAGTGTGTTCAAAGATAAAGCCACCTCCAAACAATACTGAAAATGAAACTGCAAAATGGTTTATTCTATTGCCTAGATATACACTTGCTGAAAATTGTACATTTGAAGAAAATGTTCGGTATGCCCAGGCTGCTGGTTATGATGCTGTCATCATACACAACATCCATTCGAACCATCTTATTCCTATGTCAGCAAAGAACAGTACAGGAATTATGATTCCGTCAGTGTTTGTCAGTGAATTATCAGGGTTTACTTTGAAAATGTATGCCAAACCCAGTTACTTTATAGTGATAACTGGAACATCCCCATTTAATATACAGACTCATTTACTGATACCATTTGCAATTGTTGTTGGTATATGTTTTATTGTTATGATTGTATTTATGGTAAGTAAAAATTCTATTTTAATTTCTTATCAAGTGCTTTTGTGGTTTATGTTTTTAAATGCATTTGCATCATAAATTGTATCATAAATACAGATGTGTAAATGATGATCTATGAATGTAGATTTACTATTGATGTAAATAATGATGACCTAACCTTGACTTTAAAATGTTTACAATTTTACATATACATATATATATATATATATCTATATACAGGGTATAAAATAAAAGACCTAAAGCATTCCAGGATGTTTTTTATTTATTTTTATACAAAATTAATTATTTGAATAAAAATTTGGATTATTACCTAGTAGAAATGAAAAAAGTTAACATTGTATTAAATTAAAAACAATTTTGTAATAAATTTTTTTTAACATTTTAGATTGTAAAATTCATAAAAGACCGAAGACGGCAGCGACGACACCGATTGCCGGCTTCAACATTAAAAAAAATTCCCACGTGTAAATTTCAAACGGGAGACCCGTACGAAACTTGCGCCATCTGTCTGGATGATTATGTAGAAGGCGAGAAACTTCGAGTACTTCCATGCAACCACGGTAAAAAATATATAATAATAATATAATAAAGGGAGATATCATGATTTAATTTTAAAATAAAATTTTGATGACCTGGTTTTTAAAATTACATTTATATGGAATGAAAATTTGTTGACACATAATTTTAAAATTTACATTGTTTAAAAGCAAATAGATAAGAACATCAGGTTTTATTCACAGCCTTTAAATATTATCCATTTTTATAAATAATCAATTACAAATCTTATGTTTTATAACCTTTTCCATAAAAGGCCAGTTCTTACTCTTTTCTTACTATTTATTATTTGTTTTTATTTATTTATTTATTATAGCTTATGTTAGGGGTTGTCCTTTAATCGCGTTAGGTTTTTTGGGCCATTTTTACCCCCCTCACGTGTCACGAAAATATAAATATGCCCGATTATCACAGCATTGTTTTTTATTTGCAATTTGACACATTTAATTATGTTGCTACTATATAAATATACTTTGGTATGGGCTGTAAAGCGAGGGGTAAACCACTTTAAAATCTTAGAGACCAACGTTAAATGTTAGTGGACGTTGTGTTGAGATTTTTTTTCTTATCAGTCGTTATAAATAAGGAAAACTTGCTTAATCGGTGCTTAATCAGTGCTTAGCGACGCGTTGTGCATTACTACCCTTGTTATTGTTATCCTTAGCCGTTAATTCGTAAGCGATTTTCAATTTTAAAAAATCAGTGGTTTACCCCTCACTGTAAAGTTCATGAAAAATAACATATCAGCTTATATAAATTTAGGACTGTTGTGCAGGTAATTACTAGAAGTACTTTTCATTCATTTTTGCTATATTTTAGTGATGAGCAAAACACCATGGCGTAGCGTGATTTTTAAGAATAAGCAAAACTATATTTTCTAATGGAAACGCAACCAAAAATACATGTTGCTGGCCAAAATGAACAAGATTTTTACAAGCTTATACTACACAAAGCAGAAATAATTGTTACTACCATAGTAACAAATGAACAGTTGAACCTAACATTTTTAATTTAAAAACAGCATATTAAAAAATTTAAAAAAAAAGTTCAAAACGTTACTTAATAGCTTTTATTTTTTTTTACCATTATGAGTTTCAAATAAAAAATCTATCATAATAAAATTAAACTAATATATTTTACGAATTTCAAAAACACCTTTATCAATTTATTTATAATAAGGAGTAGTCCATAAATCTCGTGACGCCATAAACGCTCAAAATTTACCCTCCCCATCGGGCTTGGCGAGTCGCGACGGTCCTTCAACTCCCCTTTATAGATGGCCCCTTATTATAATAATTAATTATTATAATAATAATTATTATAATACACATTTTTTACCTAATTATTCTGTTTTGTACTAAATTTGGTTTATTATACATTTATATGTTATCTTATTTTTATGTTAATTCTACCTTGTTTTTGTTTACTTACCTTTATATGTAACTACAATTAATATTTTTAACACATTATATTTTATTATATCAAAACATTTTCAGGTAAATGACCCTAGACGTCGCGACGAGTCGATTCCGTAATAAAAAAGTACAAATTTTAACAATTAATTTAAAAACGAAAATTGGGAGAAAACATGGAATTACTGGGCAAATTAATATGGGGCAGGGCTCTTATAATATATACAGGGTGTCCCGAAATTAGGGGGCCAAACTTAAACAGTGCATTCTTTATAGAAAAATAACACTTTTTTGTTTAATAAACATATATAAAAAATGCCCCCTAACGGAGCTACGCCCCCCGAAATAGGAGCTTAAGAGCATCATTTTTTTAAAACTATTCCTAGAGGGTTGAACATGAAGACCTGAATTTTTGGGACTTTGGTAATTTTGACATTCTGAATCTGGATCTATAATCAAAACTGTTAAAATTTAATCAGAGGCGTAACATTTGAGGGGGCAAATTTACAAAAACAACTTTTTGCAGACTGAGTATTTTAATGTTTTGTTATAAAATTATGAAAATGTATAGTTTTTCACGAAAAATAAGTACTCTTGCTTTGAATCGCTCAGATGCACCATTTTCGAGAAAATTGCAATTTAAATTACTATGCTTAGCATAATTTCTAATATTTTCATTAAAAAGCTTTGGGACAAAAGTGACGTTTGGGTTATTTGCTGACTTTACATTTATTTTTATAGTTTAGTTAATATTTTTTGGCTCGATTTTTGTTATTTTTTATTATGGAGCGATTTTCCAAATTTTAACACAAAATTTTAACGAAAATATGAGATGTGTATGCTATGCAGAGTAATTTATAAATGCATTTTTCTCGAAAATGGTGCATCTGAGCGATTCAAATCAAGACTCCCTATTTTTCTTAAAAAACTATAAGTTTTCATAATTTCATAAAAAAAAATTAAATATCTCGGAAAAAAGTTGGGGCTATTTTTATAACTTTTCCCCCTAAATGTTACGCCTATGATTAAATTTTAACAGTTTTGATCTTAGATCTTGATTCAGCATCTAAAAATTACCAAAGCGCCAAATTTTCATTTCTTCATGTTTAACGCTCTAGGAATAGTTTAAAAAAAACTATTCTCTTAGGCTACTATTCAGGGGGCCGTAGCTCCGTTAGGGGGCATTTTTTGATACATGTTTATTTAACAAAAAAGTGTTACTTTTCTATGAAGAATGCACTGTTTAAGTTTGGCCCCCTAATTTCGGGACACCCTGTATATTATATACATATACAGGATGTTATTTAAGTATGTGGCCAATCTTTGAATGATTTTATGTTTATACAAACTTTTTGTCTTTGAATTATTCAAATAACGCTGTTTGGCTCATCACTACTATATTTTAAGTTTATAATCAGTATGCATTTTAAACAAATATTTTTATGTTTGTACCTACCTACATTTTTAATTTTTACGCCCTAAAAAATTAAATCAAAGAAAATTTCAGGAGTGCGCCCCTAATGTAAAACGTAGTGCATAAAAGTGGATGTTATTAACAATGAAAAAAGCGCACATTTTTGGTTTAGTTCCATACTGACATTTAAATTTCTTAGTCTATCACACGAATTGCATCGACCCGTGGCTGACGAAAAACCGGCGGGTGTGTCCGATATGCAAGCGAAAAGTTTTCGCGCACGACGAATCGCACCACGACTCCGACAGCGACTCGGAAGCCGACGACACCACTCCGCTTCTAAACCCGACGACAAACAGGGGCACGCAGGGCGGCACCTTCGACCAGCCACACGAAAATCCCATACAAAGAGCCGTAAGATCCATCTCGCAACAGTCCGGTAAGATAAAGCTGATTTAAGAGTTATACTTTTTTTTAATTCCTGGGTTCCATTTGCTTCTTTATAGTACAGTCAATCTGTGATTTGGCATCGAAAAAATTCCGGAAATGCAGGATTTTTGATATATTATTTTTGGAAAATAATTGAAATCGTTTTAAAACAAAAAATTTGTAGCTTAAAATTTTTGCTTAAAAAGTAACAAAAAATCATTTTATCCGAAATCGGCAGTAAAGTAGTCAACAATCGACAGTAAAGTAAAAGAAATCGGCAGGCAGTAAAGTAGAACTTTAGGATATTTCCAAGATATATTTATATACACTCGCAGGCAAAATAATCGATCCACACAAATTTTCGATGAATTTCAATCGCAAATAACTTTTTTGTTTGATTTCGGATTTAAACAAATGTTAAAGAATATTGTAGATACATTAATGGAGAATCGCTCACATTTTAAAAATTACTAAAAAATTCACGTACGTTTATAATATACAGGTTTAAACAAAAACATGTTTTTTACCATAAGTTTAAAACCGTATATTGTTCTAAATTAAGTTTTAATTATCAAGTCACATCTGTTTTTAACAGTTTTGTTTTTGGTTCACCTTGATATATTTATTTTTGTGGAAAATATGGATTAAAAAAAACATTGCAATTTCCAATATTTTCCTGTATGAAGAACTAAGGTTGCTATGGTCCATAGCCTATGGAGAATGACAGTGACAGTTTTGTTGAATCATCCCATTCTTGTCCATGTCATATACAGCTTACAAAAGCTATCAAATTGTTTTTTGTAAATTAATGTGTTAATTTTGAGTTGTCTTCTTACTTTTAAAAATGTCTCCGACTAATTTTGCCCTTTGTACTTTACTTTTTTTGACGTTTAAAACACTTGCCACGTAATACTGTGACCGCCCATCCTTGATTAAATTAATGGCTCTGGCAACATCAGTCGGAGACATATCCATTTTTTAAAGTAAGAAGACACCTCAAAATTTAAACATTAATTTGCAAAAAACAATTTGATAGCTTTTGAAAGCCGTGTATGACATGTCCAAGTATGGGATGATTCAACAAATCTGTCACTGTCATTCTCCATAGCCTATACATGGACCATAGCAACCTTAGTTCTTCATACAGAAAAATATTGAAAATTGCAATGTTTTTTTAAAAAATCCATATTTTCCACAAAAATAAATATATTAAGGTTAACCAAAAACAAAACTGTTAAGAATAGATGTGACTTGATAAATAAAACTTAATTTAAAACAATATACGGTTTTGCCACTCTACAGAGTGTCTTTGTTTAAACCTGTATATTATAAACGTACGTCTATTTTTTAGTAATTTTTTAAAATGTGAGCTATTGTCCATTAATGTATCTACAATATTCTTTAATATTCGTTTAAATCCGACATCAAATAAAAAAGTTATTTGCGATTGAAATTCATCGAAAATATGTGTGGATCGATTATTTTGATATTTTTTCTTCGACTAACATCCTGAATTTTTTTGATGTAGATACCTTATATTTTTGACAGATCAAATGTACTTTAAAGTCACAAAACCCAAAAAGGGTATTTAACCGCTTTATATAAAGTATTTTTTATGATTACGGTATATTTTAAGGTGCTGCAAACTTTGTAACGGCCTCCGACCATCACAGCATAAACGGAGAGCGCGTAAGTAATCCTTCCTCATCTGGATCTTACAGTAGCGTAAAATCCGATGAAAATGATTGTGATAATTTGGGCGAACTGCACGTTCACACTCAGCCAGAGACTCTTGACGAGACCAAAACAGACATTAATGTCTAGATAGATATTCTTAATTAATGTTTAATACACTTTTATTGAAAGTGATTGTTTTAAAAGTTATATCGAGTTTATGTACACATTCTGATTCTTGTAAAATATAATCCCCGCAAAAATCTTTTCTTTTTAGACGAGATCTAATCTAATTACATCCAGTTGCTTGTAGATACATATGTCTAGTCTTGTTCCCTATCAAGTTTTACGATTAATTTTATGGGTGCTAGCTTAGTTTAATTAATAAAATTTGACAAATGATAAACCAAACAGTGACTATAGCTAAATTAGCAAAGTGATAAAAGGGTTCTGTTATAAAATTAATAAATAATCTATATAATATATGCCAGCCAGTCAATCTCAAAGATTTCTTTTTATGTATTTACTTACCGCGATGACTTCTATTGTAGGTGACAGTGTCGCCTCACAAGTTTAAATAATAATCATTTATTTTTCAATGTATACTTGTTTATTTAGAAATCTGTATATAACCAAAAAATACAAGAATTATTATTTTTTGTATTAAATAAGGTAGATAAATTCCATTTTAAATTGTATATATTAGTTTAATAATAAAAATATAATAAGTGGGGGTATGCTTTTTATTTTATCACACTGCAAATACCTTTAGACAGAAATATTATTTAACAAATGGATATACGGATTTCTTTTTATTTTTTCTTTTTTCTTTCAAAAACTTGCAACAAACTCTCAGAGTTATGAAATACAAAAATTCTATTACACTTAAAAAACTGAATCCCATACATAATCCCAATAAGCCTCCAAGATTTGCTGAAAGTATAGAGTATATTAACAAGGAATATTACATATTAACTTTTACTTACATAAAATATCTGTAAAACCATACAATTCCCTCTTAATTTGCTTAGAAATTTTCGTTGCAGTAAAGAAAAAGTGTGCTACTGTCATGTCATCACTAGAAACAGGGTTAAAAAACGATAAATCTATATTTAAATAGTTATTTATGTACCAAGGGTATTAAGTAGATGGTATAGTAGGTATACCCTGAGGTACTGATACTAGTTCGTTATTGCAACCACAATGTAAATATTTTAAAAAATCCGAAAATTTAATATTAATATTTTGTAATTTTATTAATAAAACTTGTGACTAATCAATAAAAACAAAACAATTGTTCATTAATGAACTAGTATGAAAAAAACATATTACATTGAATAATTTCCCAGGAAAGAGGAATCCTTTTCAATTAAAATGTTAGATAGCCTTGCAATAGACTTAGAACTAGAAAAACCCATTTCATTGCACCCATGATGGCAATGGCAACCACTACTAAAATTAATAACCACCTAAAGTTACGCCAAGCACAAATTTGCCAACTTACGCATTTCCATTGATTTGTTCCAAATTTTTTTTAGTTTTTGCCACACATTCATTGGCTCCGGAACTACAAACTCTTATATGTCTGTTTCCTTAAAAACAAATGTATATTATAATATTTTTATTATTTTATATTCTTTGGGACATAAGTTATATCAGTTTTGTTTTGAGGCAAAATAACTTAAATTTTTAAAATACATGTATATTAATTGTTCGGTATAATGAAACAGTTGGGCACCAAAGAAATACATTTAAATATTATATGTATGTGCAAAGAAATTAATTATACAGTGTCGGAAATTCCTTAATTTTTTATAGGCAACGAGTAATAGGAAGACGAATGTAGGTATTGTGATTGATTGCAGTCCTATTCGCTTTTTATTTTATGCAAACCTTTATATTTTGACCCTTGTTCATAAAATGTTCATAAATTATCAAAATTCTCATACAATATTCATATTTTCCAATAACAAGATTACGTACTACACAGTAATTAGTAATTAACCTGGTAGAAATGAACGTTTACCTACATCAGACAACGTTGAAAATTTAGTATATAATACTCATAACGGTGTTTGAGTGTATGATTTTAAGTTGGAAATACGTTGGATGAGAACGTTATTTAAATGTATGATTTATGAGAAATACGTAGTTAAAACTACTTAATTTATAATTATAATTTATAATTTTATTTATTAATAAAATACAAAAAAAACTAAAATTTAAACTAAATTTAGTTTAAATTTTAGTTTTTTTTGTCATATTTTAATAAAGACATTTATAAAATGTTAATATTTTTATTAACCCCATGTATATGTATTTGCTTTTCTGCTTTGTCCGTTTCTTTCATTCTCCTTGGTTATTTCGACACTGTATCTTATGATGGATTTTGGGCACACCCATATCTCAGTTATTAGACATGGGACCCACATCAAATTTATATGAGTTTACAATGACATTATATAGACAAGTTCTGCGCAAGCAAAATTTAAATTGAAGTTTGCGAAAAAAAGTTAGTTTTTAAGTGTGCTCCTGCCTCCTGCTCCCCCAAATTAAGATAATTTAAATTAAAGTGGTACAATATTTAATTCACTGCAGTTTATCGACAAATTACAAATTTTATTAAAAAATTTCAAGAATTATAGGTTTTATACCATTTTAAATTTTTATTATTTCTTTTACTAAATTTAAAAAAAATAGAAATGGTATAAAATCTGTAATACCTACTTGAATTTTTTTAATAAAATTTGAAATTTTTTGATAAACTTCAGTGAATTAAATATTGTACCACTTTAATTTGACTTATCTTAATTTGGGGGGCAGGAGGCTGGGGGGGCACACTTAAAAACTAACTTTTTTCGCAAACTTCAATTCGAATTCTGCTTGTCCAGAACTTGTCTATATAATGTCATTATAAACTCATATAAATTTGATGTGGGTCCCATGTCTAATAACTGAGATAAGGGTGTGCCCAAAATCCACCAGTAACTTACAAGTTACTTCCCGACCTTGTAACCTCAATTAATTACTATAAAACTTACTCGGTAAAAAGTAGGGTACGCAATGACAATTGGACAGAGTATAATTTGCTAGACATTCCAAATTACAGTTCCTTTTTGTGTATGTCCTAAAATAATATTATTAATGAAAGGTTTTCCTAAATAAATATATAAACAAGCTGTGTGGTAACGAATTATCTGAAGAAATAACTGAAATCGCAAACATAAATATAAATTTATTAATAAATTACAACAATATATACTAATGAGGATGAGTAAAATATAGATTTATTTATTTAGCACAATGATGGAAATTTCCCTTCGATTAATATCATTATCGAGGTATTTATTTCTGTTTGGTATGTGACTGCGTAAAGACAGTTATTTTACATGGCAATCAAGCAACAATAACGAAGTTATTGGCTCACGCCTAATTTAAGAAAATAGTACATAAATTAACAGGAGGAGAAAGCGCTTATACAGGGTGTCCGGGAAAAGGAGGTCAATCCGTTAACCATATATTCCTTGAGTTAAAACAATAAGACTTTCATAATACCATTTTTCAATTTAGAGCTTCATGTTCGATATACAGGGCGACAAAGTTTGAAATTTAAAACTGATTTTTTTTAATAATTCGAGTAATTGATAAGATATTAAGTTCAAATTCGGTAAACTACTTCAACATAAATAGTTACATTTTTTGAGACCAACAAAACAAAAAACAATTGTCAAAAAAATCAAAATAGGCGGTTCCAGTACTCACTGACTTCCCCTATTTTTTAGTACGTGCGCCAATGACTTCCAAACGGTATTTTTTCAGGTAATCAATTATTGTTAAAAAAAAATTGTCTCTTATAAAATTTTGATAAAATGATTTGTTTTAGAGATAATTTGTAAAGTATGGGTCAGTCCATATCAAATCAACTAAAAGGTTCTTCCCCCACCATCTCCGATTTTGATAATTTTTGGTAAATTTGTTTACCTCACTTAAAAACTCAAAAATTCCATATATGAATTTTTTTCGATAGGTAGTTTTTGTTTTATTGATTTTTGAAAATCAAAAAATTTCGATAAATTTGGGTCTTGCAAGTACTTACAAAAATAGCGATATCTCGTAAACTATTAAAAGTAGAAAGGTGAGTTATGGCTTATTTTAAAGGCCTATTAGAGACCTTTATTATGATATATCACATGACCTAAATTTTTTCAAAAAAAAAAAAAATTTCGAAAATTTGATATGGACTGACCCATACTTTACAAATTATCTCTAAAACAAATCATTTTATCAAAATTTTATAGGAGACAAAAAATGTTCAACAATAATTGATTACCTGAAAAAATACCGTTTGGAAATCATTGGCGCACGTACTAAAAAAAAGGGGAGTCAGTGAGTACTGGACCCCCCTATTTTGATTATTTGACAATTGTTTTTTGTTTTGTTGGTCTCAAAAAATGTAACTATTTATGTTGAAGTAGTGTACCGAATTTGAACTTAATATCTTATCAATTACTCGAATTATTAAAAAAAATCAGTTTTAAATTTCAAACTTTGTCGCCCTGTATATCGAACATGAAGCTCTAAATTGAAAAATGGTATTATGAAAGTCTTATTGTTTTAACTCAAGGAATATATGGTTAACGGATTGACCTCCTTTTCCCGGACACCCTGTATTATAGACGAGCTCAGTGTTCGCAGCAGATCTGAGCTAGGCAGTTAATATGCTTTTTTAGCCCTGTTGTATGTACTATTTTTTAAAGCGTTTAATAATTCTGTAACCACTTACTCTTTTATTAAAATTCTTAATATTTTGTTATGTTTGACATTATATTATATGTGCGTAGAGTAAGGATTTCTCAATCAAGACAAGACAAGATTTATGAGTATTATATAAAAAATGTTATACGCTTTTAAAAAAGAGTTTAACTGTTTTCGTAATATAGGCCAGTAAAAGCGTATGTTGACCCAATACTTTTATACCCATTACATTTTTTTGGAATCGAAAGAGCATAAATTAATTAGTATATATTCTGGTTTTCGGATTGATCCGAACAACCCCTTTAAAAAAACATAACTTTTTTTTTTTAATAACTTACGAACCGTTTATCGCACATTTTAACGTAACATTCTTTTGCGATGTTTTTTTTAGAAAATTCTCCTTTGAAATTTTGTAGAGATCTCTGAAAATTTGTAAAGCTCTCTAAAAATTTCCTATGAATTAACTTTTTAACTTGATTTAAGGCCGAAAAGAGTTCAAATGTTATTTTTAATGAAACGATTAAATGTTGATTAGTGTCTCAGACCAAAAAAGCCTAGTCTAAGATTAGCGTCTATTCCCTGTGCTTTACAAATGAGCTTGTTTGTCACTTCTGTTCTGCCATCTGACCACGCCGATCCTTAACGCTTTTTTATAATAAAATACCTTCAAAATTTTTATCAAAGCCTCAACCCACGTTTAATTTTTATTTACATTTATACGCACGTTAAAAGTCCTTCCTTGATAATATTACATGAACTTACTGAAGAATCTTCAGTGAAGATGACCCGGATTTAACGCCACTTGATTTTTTTGTGGGGTTATTTAAAATCGAAGGTCTACATCATCGAACTGAATTTAATTGATGATATAAAACAACGGATTAGGCGTGAATGTGCGAATATTACACAAGAAACGTTTGCAATTGCAAAATGTGAGAACTGAAATTAGAAACAGACTATTTTTGTGTCAAAATGTCCAGCATTTTGAACATATAATTTGAAGAATAATTGAAAAATTATTGTACTTAATAAATGAAAATAAAGATTTTATTTGATAATTAATTTTATTTTAAGGTTTAATATCTTAGGAACCATTGAATTTTAGATTTAAATAGATAATAAAAATACCTTTCAAATGAGGTATCACAAGCCCCCTTGGTAATTTTATAGGAAATTTCAAAAGCTACAAACTTTTAGGAGAAAATTGTTGACAACAAAATAACGCAAGAAAAAAAAACATTAAAAAAAAACTGGATGTGGTTTTTTAAATATATTTAAGTAACAGCGCATCGGAAAATAGGTTTTATAAAACCGTTAGGTGTTTTTTTTAAGTTCCCGGGCCATAGCGCACTATTTAATTTATGCTTTATGATTAAAAAAATAAAAGTACAACCGGTTTAAAAGTATTGGGTTCCGTATATAAAATCTTATACTTTTGCTGGCCTAATATTACAGTCCAATTCTTTTAGGACTGTTTAGGACACTTTGGAATTGGATAATTATTTTTTTAAATGAATAAAAAATAAAGGGATCTAAAAAAGTTTTTTTTAATTTATTTATTCATTTAACAATTGCTTTAAAATATTAAAACATTAACAATTTTGCACAAAAACTATTTCATTGCTACAATAACATTTTGGTATTCACTGACTAAGGAAGAAATTGAAACGATCCTTTTTGATTCTTATTGGTTTTTCTTGTCTTTATGTAATGACAAAAAAGCCTAATACTTAGGTGATAGAAGCATTCTACTATAGTTAACAAGCTGAAACCCAAAAACAGTCCCAATAATCCACCAATACCACCTAAAAATATTAAAAATTAATTTAAAATAATGAAAATATTACGAATAATCTTTGACTAAGGACTATGCAACAGGAGAGTATGATAATGTCATTCTTTCCAGAAGCAGTACTCTATAGGATTTTAGGCATCTTAAGTATTTATTGGAAGAAAATCTCATTTCTGTGATGGCACAACATTGTACACCATGGTTTCGGTAACCTGTGTAAGACGAGGTATACGGTAATCATGCTTGATATCTCAATATACAATACTTGTGTCTCTGGTATTTGTAGGTTGCTTTACCAAAATGACCAATCTGGCTTCGGATAAAGATTTTAATATAAATTATATTAAAAAACCATGCTGGTAAAGTGTTAAACAACTTAATACTACTATAAAACATTTACATTGCTAATTTTAAGATATATTTAATTGCCTTTTACTATATATACTTAAAAAAACATTAGGAAAATATTTATTTACTTATGAAATCTATATAAACGTACTGCTGCTTTTTATTAATTTTTTCATATGCGCTGTGCTCGAAGAAAAAATGTGCGTAGGCCATATTTTTTCTAAAAAATATACAGCGTTACTATTATTATCTTTATTTGAATGTCAATTAAAAATCTTACGCAAAATATTTTTTAGTGACATTTATATTTTCGGGTAATTCACTTCTTTCGTTTAAATACACATAAGAGCTGGATTTTTCAAAATTCATATGGAAACAACCGGAAAGGCAGTGACAACTTTTACTAAAATATTTGAAAAAATATTAAAATGTATTAAACCAAAACATGTAACTTACGCTTTTCCATAAGTTAGTTCCATATTTGCTAAAAGTATTATTTAGTAATTAATAATAATAATAATAATTTTAACTGAATACAATGTTTGTACCTTTTGCATCTTTTGAACATGCCTCATCCATAAAATCACAAATTTTCATATATGATGCTCCTTAAATTGTAATTTATTAACCACATATAAGATATCAAACAGTCTACTTAAATATACTTACTGGGTAAATAATAAGGTACACATTTACATCTTTCGTATGTATAATTTGATAAACACTCTAAATAACAACTTTTAGATGTGTAATATCTAAAACGCAAAACAATCTAATTTTATTCCACTTTATTACACTTTTATTCCAGCCAACCGGCATAATAATACTAGTATTATTTGTTTGATGCCCAAAATTTATAGACAAAAATAAAATTTAAAGTTGATTTTAAAGTCCGTCAAGATGTTTTTGAAATGTATTTTTTTAATCCTTGGCTTTTTTGTTGGCGCTCTCAGTCCCTTCAGACACATTAACAAATTGTAGCAATTTGTGTAACTTAAATTGATAATTATAATTGTCCAGATACGTGTATTAGGACATATCAACCATATTTAAATTTCATGGTAAATTCTGTGCGAGATAGAAACAGTTATATTATAACTGTTTCTATTTATATTTCTCGAATAATTGGACTTGGAATACTTTGGCTCTGAGGTACAGAATTATATTGTTATTTATTATAAGTTTTTTTTTTAAATAATTTGACAATCCTTTTACCTTTTATGGTTTTCTTATATAAGATTTTTAAAGTACATTTTATTTTCTGCTAAGGCAGTTGTAAACTTTTTTAATTATTTTGTTTTTTTTTGTTGTTTTTGGACAAGTTAAAATTGGTACAATAGGATGTTGTTTTATCTAACGGACTAATCTGACTTGGAGAATTTTTTTTTGTAACGGACTAATCTGACTTGTCCACTAAAGGGCACATGTGTGCCTATAGGTCCTGCCTGCAAAGGCTTCCCTTTAAATCAAATCAATACCTATATTCCTATATTTACTAATTTTTCGGTTGACTGGGGGGGATATACGAGGTGTGTTCAGAAAATATCGGGAATTTTCGTTTTTTGAAACAAATATTTATTTATTCGTCTACATTAATGTTGTCGCCTTCAAATAGTCCCCATTGGATATTATGCACATGTGCCAGCTCTTCTTCCAATACTCGAAACACTTCTAAAACTCGATCTTTGGGATAGCCTTTAGTTCTTTCAGCGATGCGCTTTTAATGTCATCTATGCTTGCAAAACGACGGCCCTTTAAGGTTCTCTTTATTTTTGGAAATAGGAAAAAGTCAGACAGAGGCATGTCTGGCGAATATGGAGGCTGGGGCATCATTGTTTGGCAGTATTGTTTTTGGCCAAAAATGTTGTTTAAAATTTAACAATTTTAGAACAATTTTTGCTGCCACGCTTTTTATACCCAAAACATTCGAAAAAATTTCATGGGATGAGCCAATCGATATACCAACATCATCAGCGACTTCTCTGATGGTTTATAACCATTTATTCCACTTTTTCCATGTTTTTATCGGTTGTTAATGTGCTTGTGCGTTCGGGGCGTTCGTCATCTTCAACGTCTTCACGGCCATCTTGGAAACTCTTGTTTTACTTATAGCAGACTCATAGGCCTTTGTTAACATTTCACAGAATTTGTCTCATTTTTTAAGCAAAATTGGATAAAATTCTTTTAACGAACGAAAAATCGCCGAGCTCATAAAACACGTATAACCTTAGCGGCTGCCACAGACAAAGTAAACAATGAAAACAGCTAAAGTTTTTATCATACTTCGGGGGCATGTATAACAACATAATAAAGAAAATTTTATGACAACCGGACCCTCCGAAGCCGCGAAATTTAACAATTCCCGTTATTTTCTGAACACATCTCGTATAGGGAATCTAAATTTGGTTTTCATACCTGTAATATCTTAATGGTCTCTCGCTTTCAAAATAGCACTGTCGTTTCTGAATTTCAATATTTTCTAATGATTTACTGGCTTCCCTAATTGTTGGAACAATCGCAAACCTTGTTTCGGTGCCAGGACTTAAAAGAAAGCCATAATCGCCCATGGAGGGTGTTTCCAAGGGATTCCCAATTAAAACCTAAATAAATATTCTCTAGGGAATTTATTTGCATTATTAGATTTCCAATGTATACCTTAAAGCCTACGCTGCTTGTCGATGAACAATAGTATTCATCTAATTGTGCATCAAGGACAATAGAAAGCCCCAAATGAGAACCAGCCCCTAAAATAATTATGTTTAAATGTTTATGATGTATTTTTTGTATTATACCTAGGGGTCGTCTAGGTATGTAATCTTCATTCCCGGTCTCGGGCTCATCGAAACCATGTTCTGGACTCCAATCAAAAACTTTGTCGGGGTAAGTTCTGTTTAGTATCCCTATATCTTTCCTAAATATCATATAAAGTAAAATACAAGTAATAAATTTCAATGATTTATCTTACAAGTTTCTATAAATTTTGTTATCAGGCAATCTATTAAAAGAACAACATAAACCATCGTCTGTTAAATCGTTGTTGAAAGTCGATTCGCAACTAACAACTTCGCTTCTCCATTTACAAAGTTTTAACATATTCTCGCATGAAGAACCAACTCTTACCAAAAAATCTTGTAACGTTTCCCATTTGGTTTCAGTATTTGTTACATTGATTAAGTATTCGCTATTACAAATATCGTATAAAATGGATTTTTCAACGTCGGAACTAAAGTAAAAATAATTGTTGATAAAAGTTTTTATTAAATGCAGTGTTTATACCCTTCTTTAAGAATTTTCTCAGCTTCATATCTTTTAACCTGATTCATATTGCATATAGTAATAGCCGGGAAAGGTATATTAGTTAAATCTGCATCAAATGGACTAAAGCTAATTATTACTGGGCTGGAATTCCATTTTTTGTATATGTCTGCAATGTAGTATGCAGCGAAAAGGACTGCAATAACAAATGCGATGAACCAAAAAAACCTAAAAGTATTACCCATAAAAAATAGTACAAGTTTTTTTTATTTATAAATACCTTTCTCCAAGTGTAAGGGTTGTATCGCCAACATATTTTAAGCCATGCAATGTGGAATTGTCACAGTAGCTTTTAAATTGATTTAAACATTTTTTAAGTACTTTATTATTTTGTTCTCTTTTAATTTTTTTATTTGATTTTGGTTCTTTTCTAAAATAATTAAACAGTTACGTATTGAAACTTTAATAGCAAATTTTTGGTAGCAAAATAACAATAAATGGTTTAGTCCCGGCGCACAGTGGGAGGAATTTCAAAAATCGCGGACAAAATTAGGGACACATTATTTTAAGCCATTTTAAGGTTTATGCGGTGGTAAATTTATGCCAAAATATTAATATTAATAAAATGTTTTAATTATGTACACAAATTCACAAATTTGTTTTAAACAATTTGAAAAAATTCGGTATTGTCGATCCTCCATTTTCCAAAAACATAAATTAATAAACAAATATATTACGCAATATTACCTAAGCTAAAAATAGAAAAATAAACAAAAAAAAAACAATAACAATTAAGGAATATTCGAGCTAAATCACTTATATACATTTTTTTCGATACATCTTTTCTTTGTAAATTTTGCATCTTTTGCTTTATTTATATCGACTACTAGAGTGACTTGGTCCAAAAAACCTTATATCGATGTTAAAATAACATTTAAAAGTTGACTTTAAAGCAAAACCGGTTAAATCCACGTTTTTCACCTATACTCCCTAAAAATGAATTAGTCAAAAATGACTGAGCAGTTTTTGAAATATAGTTAATTCCATATTAAATGAAAAATTGACTATTTTTAACTTTTGACGATATTTTCGGATTCAGGGGACAATATAAGATTTATCAATAATATCCAGGTTTTCGGTTAAATACTTTAAAAGTTTGTTGTGTTTCTCTTTGTTACTAACATTTTTAATTAGTTCATACAACTCCTTATTAGTCGTTGATGGCATTTCTACATAAAAAGAAGCAAGTTATTCAAATAAACATGTAATATTTATATTAATATTTATATTATAACTTACCAAATATTATTATAAAGCGTTAATAAACACAAAAACACGATGAGATTGTATGTATGATTGACTTTTACTGGAAACTGACGTTTTAGAACTAGCAAAAGGCAACTATGATGACTTATAAATATTCGACTAATATGATAAATTCATGGACATATTTCATATTCTGCTGACCAAACAGGCAAAAAAAGGCAGCTTAATTATTTTGACTTTAAAAAAAGAAAATTTGATGAACGTTCTGGTACCAAATACTTTGCCTCACACCAAGGCACACCTAACGAAATATCTTGTGGTTTGTAAAAGATTTATCTACTTTTAAAGGCGATGGTAAAAGGTTTATAAAAACCGTATTTAAGGTAAAATTTGCAATTTTAGACTTTTATATGAAAGAACAAGGATAAGGAATGTAGTAAAATATACCATCATTTCCTTTCATTAATTACGCAAAACAAAAATGGGCTTAAAAAACTTACATACAATTTGCTCTAAAAAACCGACACGAACAATGTGACTTTTTAAACAAGTTTAAGCGGGCATTTTATCATAAAAAAATATATTTCTTTTAAAATCATAATCTCTGTGCTTTCTTTTTTTATAACTCGTAATTTAAAATTTACTATGTTGATTTTTACAAAATAGGGTTTTGTCCGCGATTTTTGAAATTCCTCCCAGTGTGCGGCGCATTCGCCAAATTTGCAACTGGGAAAGTTTATTCCACCAGGGTCTAATAGTATATAGGTGAGTCTTTTAACTTTAAACTTTAAAATATCTCAGTAAATAGGCATTTTACGAAAAAATTAAAATAAAAATGAAATGATTTGGGGAGGAAATAATCTAGTACCAAAATTATTCCTCATACTCTCATCCTTAAAGGGAGGGCATGGGGTTACTTTAAAATTTCCAATGGAACACACAACAACTATTTTTTATTGGAGATTCGGATTATTTGTTTAAAATAAGTAAATTTTGATATAAAACATTTTTTCCTATTTGTCATAGATGGCACTGTACGAAAAAAAATGAATTATGTTTGATTTTTCTTCTGTATACAATTCTGCAATAATTTTTCTATGAAATTCTTGTTTGTTGTTATTGTTAATAATACAAATTTAGCCTGAAAACAATTTTTATTTTTATTAAAGTAGGTGCTTCAAATTCGATGCATTTATTAATTCGGATATTCAATGAATCTACACATCTACAGTAGCGTATCTGCTGAAATTTCGGCACAAGCATTTCTAATTCGCTCAATCATATTTTCACGGGTTGTTGGTACTTGTTACACATGGTCTTTGAGATAGCCCCATAAAAAGAAATCTGGCGAAGTAAGATCACGTGATCTATTAATCTTCATTAAAAGAAATAAGGTATAAAACTTTAACTTTAGAAAACTTAGATATTAGTAAAAAAATCGTACTTTATCAAAAAAAGTCAGATTTAATTTAATAAGATAATTATTTCCAATGAAAAAGTAATATATCACTTTTATATTTGTATTGAAAAATTATTGCAGAATGGTATACAAAGAAAAAATCGAACAAAATTTTTAGTCAAATGATCCGAATCTGCAATAAAAATAGGGAGTTCCATTGGAAATTTTAAAGTTACTCTATTATTTCAAAGTTTTAAATTAAAAGACTAATTTCACGGCAAGCGGACAAAAAAAATATTAAAGTTGTTAATCCATAAAAATTATCAAACTTCATACGTTCTAAGGAATTTCTAAGGATATTTTTTCCGAATTTTTAAAATCATTACTATACTGTTGAAAGTATATTTAAAACAATATTTTTATAATATTTTTGGATCTTTTTAAATATTAACAATAATTTTTACATAACATTATGATATTCGGAAAGATACATAATTCGGACTTTGCCCTATAATATAAGTTGATACAAATATAATTTGGCTCATTCCACTTCAAATCAAATACAATAATGGAAAAAGTTTACATAGAAGGATACTTGGTGCACCTTGTATAAATGCAATTCTCTTAATTACACATATAGTTACATTGTTATTGTTAGAAGTATTTTGCAGAAAGAGTTTGGTGGTCTTTAAAATTGTCAGTCATAGTTATGAGTGCCCATGTCTAGACTCCTTGTAATACTACGCTCTTTTTCGAAATCAACTTAAATTTTTATAAGATTTTTGTGTCAACTCAAATTTAAGAAATTCATTTGATTTTGATAAATAAATGGGATTACAAAATTAAAATATTTTTTATCAATGGTGCTATTCTGTAAGGAAATGTTAACGATAACGATAATCCAAATCTGGCATATTAAAAAAATTAAAATGTTTTCAAAACAGTATATTATCCGATAATAATTATCGTATCCCAACTTTTTTTAACCATTATTATTAAAGGCTTTTAATCATTTTTATTAAACTATATTTTTTATTAATTAAGGTTCAAAATACGTATACTGCCCTACTATGGAGAAAGGCAGTAACTGCAAAAAAATGCAAAATGCGTTTTCTTGTGCTATGGTAAAGCTATGGACATTTTGTAACCGAATTCAACACAGAAATGAAATCAAATATCTCATAAGTTAAACAAATCAATTAAATACCTACTGCTTTTTATAAAAATGTAGTTTATGCTAATTTTCCACAAATTTCTTGTTTAGCAGTTACTGCCTTTCTCCATAGTAGGGCAGTATAAATGTATACATTGGCTACTTTTAAAGAATATTTTGCTAATCACCTTGAACTTACCCTTTTAATATATTAGTAGAATGTTCTTGAATATCGTACTCTTCAATTCTAAAAAGGGGTCGTTTATTCTTAACTTGGTTAAGTGTCCCAACCCAAGAATTGGACCTTCTGGGTCTAATACCGTCGTTTCTGAACATTTTTCTCAAAAATCCCAAATACTTTTTCTTTGTTTTAGTATTTGGAGCGTAGCTTTCGGGTAATACCTTAACATCTGTCATTTAGTTTGTACCTAATGGATAAAGTGCTGTAATCAAAAATAAGTTAAATACAAATAATGTTTTTTAGGTATACTTAGGACACTTTTACTACTCAGTAATCAATCCTTTAAAGATGCCTTATATAATTCTATACCTTCTAATGTATTTTAGATTGTTATCTAAAAAAATTGTAACCACGTTAATTTTCAACAAACAATAGATTATAGTCTATTATATATTAAAGATACAAATTTGATTTTTATTTAGTGGGTAATTTATTTTTAAATCAATGTCATCTAATAAAACACCTTTAAATTACTAGGTTTGCTATAGGTTCGTTTATGTAATTAATTTCGTAACTCCCTCGTTAAATATCTAATTGCTTGAATAATATTATTTTGTCATTAAGTTTATTTTGGATAAATTGAGGGCGCCCTAAATACTTAATTTTAGAAAAATTCTGTTTTATACCAAAAGAAAAAAAATATATCCGTAACAATTTTTTAATCGTTTTTACAAAATATAATATACCTTGACAGAAACAAATTTCAAGTTATCAAGACTTTATAATTCCTTGATTAAATTTTCCTTTGGTGCTGTTTATATTTTTATACAGGGCAACCTAACGTGATTTCTACAGACATCCAGGTTTTTTAAAAATTTAATCAAATTAATTTTATAAAAACGACAGTTTTTTTATTTTTTAATAACTAATTATGTGAATAAATGGACAACCATTTAAATTATTTATTTATTTTAAAATTATTTTATTTATATACAGGGTGTTGTACATTTACGAAATATGGATATTTCACGTTCATGGTCCATTCAAGTTTCTGAGGAACGGCAGAAGATATCGATTTTAAATTTCAAATCAATATCTTTTTCGATTCCCCAGAAACTCAATGGACCACGAATGTGAAACACCCTGTATGTGGTGTGGTGTTTTTTAAATTGTGATACTACTATATATTCAAAAGCAATGTATAATCTTCAAACTAAAAGACAAGATTTGTTTCAAACATATATTTAATATAAGATAAATAGAAATCTGTTGTTTTATTAAAAAAAAATCAAAAATTAAAACCAAAAATAATTTTTTTATTAAAATTATTATTTTCTTTTAGTATAATTTTTGTAGTATGTAAAAACATTCAATATTTAAAGAAAAAAAATGATTTATAACAAAGTAGAGAATTAAAAATCTGTATAAGTTATAAAATAATAAGAATGGCTGAATAAAAAATTTAAGACACGGGTACGTTTTTTTAACCTTTATTTTTAAAATCTGTTAAAATTTTTTATCAGAGGAGAATCGTGTTGAACTGTATTCCCAATTCATAATAATTCACATACTATCTTTTAATTGCATCCCCCTCCAGCATCGACATATTTTATGCCGTTTAGCCCCTCTGAGGGAGTTGTTAAACAATACAAGATCGCTTATCAATAAATATTGCAAATTAAATCTTGCGGTTTTAAGCTCTGGTACTTATCTGTTTTTGTCCTTCAAAAGCCGACGCGATGTTTACTTCTACACATGTTGTGACACTTTGCACTTTTCCACAACCTTTACCTTCTTATATTTTTAAATTTTAATACGTTCTTTTGTATAAATACTTTATGGCAGCTCTCTTGTAAACGTCTCCCTTTTTGGAAAGTTTGGCTGTAGAAATTGTTGGTGAAACTAATTGGAAAATATTATAAATTTTCGGTCAAAAACGAAAACATTTTAATTAATGAATAAAAGTCATGGATTTGTTAAGAGTTAATATTAACAATGACTCTCAAAAGACTTGCACCCCCTCGTATTTCAAATATAAAATGAATATGTACAAAATATTTTTTTAATAAAAAGTGCAACTTATTAAATGTCAAATTAATAAAATTCTAATGTAAAAAATTTATGCTGTTCAATATTTATTGGTTAGTACGCATTAAGCCTGATTTATAGATTGCCTTCCTCCCTTCCTCCCGTAAAGGATGAACAATACGAAAACCGTAGTGCCGTTTATATATTCCCGTACGGGATTGTATTTTTTATCTTCTACGGGAAGGAAGGCAAGCTGTAAATCAGGCTTTAGTTCAATAAACGTGTAATATGCCTAGAAACGAGTTGTCTGATAGAGCTAAAATTATTGCTTTGTGGCAAGAAGGACTATCTCGGCACCAAATAGCCAATATAAAAAATATTGTTAGAAGCACAGTTAGCAGGACAATTAGACGGTATGAAGAAACTGGTAAAGTTCAAAATAGAACTAGAAATGGTAGAGATATTTCTTAATCAGCCCGGCTCTCAAACATTAGTTCCAGAGAACGTATAAGATGGTGATTTCGAGTGCTACAATCCGTTGAAGGATTTTAGCTTCAGGATTGCAGTCCAGGCCTTTAAGAGTTTCTTTGCTAACTCCTCGTCACCGAGCCGCTCGTTTGCAGTGGGCGAGAATTTATCAATATTGCCGATTAGGAGAATGGAGAAACGTGCTTTTTACAGATAAAACGAGTGATGATTACTGAGTAAGAGTTTGGAGGGAAGCAGGACGCATAGATAGACTGGAAACAGCCATTGGAGTTGCTCTTTATCTTATGGTACGAAAATGTTTTGGGGAGGTATCATGTTCAACAGAAGAACTCCACTTATTCATTTACCTGGGACAATGACAGGCGCATACTATCTAAAAAACATCATAAATTCTATAATTACACCCCTACGTAATGAATTAGGGGACCAGTTTATCTTTATGGGCGACAATGCCAGGATACATCGCACCAAAGGTGTTCAAGAAGTCTTGGAAAACCAAGCTATCACTAGAATGAAATGGCCAGCGATGTCGCCTGACATGAATCCCATAGAATTTGTATGGGATTACGTATCCAGGGCCATTTTTGACAGAAATAATTCGCCAAGAAATGAGCAGGAACGTATTGTTGCCACTACAGAGGGAGAATATTACGCAAGAAATAATTAATAGTTGAATTATTGGAATGCCATTGAATTGAATATTGATTGGTTGTTTTTTCATGATAATTGCTTTAAATAAAATTTATGCATGTCATTTTCTTGTAAGCTTTTCATTAAAATTTACCAGTAGGCCTTTAAAACCTTGAAACAATTTAACATAATTCTAATAATTGGGGGGTGCAAGACTTTTGAAAGTGAGTGTATTAATAACTATAGTTACTGTCTTTAGATTAAAAATATAATTATTTGAAATATTATTTGAAAAATGGAATGAAACATTTACCCATAAACCAATATAAAATTTAAATAATAATAATAATAATAATAATAATAATAATAATAATAATAATAATAATAATAATAATAATAATAATAATAATAATAATAATAAGGATAATAATAATAATAATAATAATAATAATAATAATAATAATAATAATAAGTGCACTTATCGCGGGATTTTACATGTGTGAGTGAGCTTGGCAAATCTAGCTAGAGACGTGGAATGTACAGTGTACACGCCCATTGATGCGCAGATGCCAGCTCTTAAAATCTTCATTTGCATTTAGTTTGCCTTGGGATAAAGAACGCTCCGCACAGTGGATTAAAATGAAAGTAAATCAAGTATAAAAAATTTATTAAATAAAATTTATTAAATAAAATTAATTTTCTTTCTACAACGGATCAAATTCGTCCGAACTGCTGTCTTCGCTGGTTACCTCTCTGTCACTGTCCCCTTGAAAATTAATAATTAAATCATCCACGACTAAATCCAAAGTAGGTTCTTTCTCCATAAAATAATTCTCAAACTTTAAAGATTGTTGACATCGCTTCTGCCATTCTTCCTGGGAAAATGTGGAAAAAAAATCCTCACACAATTTATCTACTATCTACTATAATTGTCAATTTACCATCATTTGTTAATACTTATATCAATAAAAACGTACCTAACCCTAACACAAATTTTTAAAAGGATTATAACCTATTTTATTTGCATTAATGTTACCTTTTTTAAACAAACCTTAACTTTATAAGAAATTCTTGTTTTAAAGTTTACTATTTTTTACTATTAAATAACTCGGCCGTACCATGCTTCTCTTTTCTTCCGAATGCGTTCTCTCTTTATAGTTTTGCGCACTCTGCAAGTTTTTAAAGTCTCTAGCTAGATTTGTCGAGTTGTACTTGCTTCTTCTGCCAAAGAACACTGTTCTTTGTCTTCTGCGGCCCTATTGTGTACTAAAGTGAGACAACTGCGATAGGCGAATAATTTGAATATTTTATAATCTATGTAATCCAAATATAAAATTTTTATATTAGAAAGTAAAATATTTAACTTATCCTTAATTCTTTGATTCTCTATGGTAAGGCACTTCCTCAACTTCCTCCCTTGACAGACCGCCACTGGTCCACACAACAAAAAAATAATATAAATAAAGGACTTAAATTAAAAGTATTTATTGACATGGCATGCATGTCCAATAACCAAGTAATTATTAAATAGTAATGATTGGAAATGGTATTATATGTTTTAACACAGCTAATTCAAACAAATATACATATCATTTTACATATGGATAAATGGATTTTTGTTTCTTCTTTTTATTCTTTCGTTGTTCCTTAAAAAACTTACAGCAAACTCTTAAAGAAACAAAATATATAAATTCGATAAGACTCAGCAGACTAAAGCCCATGCATAGTCCCAATAAACCTCCAACATTAGCTAAAAAGCATTAAATATTAACATTATTAATATTTTGTGGGACTAACACTCTTTAGGGACTTACACAAAATTTCAGTAAAACCGTACAACTCGCTTTTAATTTCTTTAGTAAATTTAGTTGTGGTAAAGAAGAAGTGTGCTATTGCCATATTTTCCCTAAAAAAAGTTACATTCTGTCATAATATAAATATGTTGAGGGTGTTAGAATAATTGCACTAACTAATATGTGTAATATAATAAGAAAACAGGGCTTAACTAATGACTTGTTACCACGTATTAAAGTTACGGTACATATATCTCTAACACCCGGTATATTCCCATAGGAATATGGAACATACACAATATAACTTTTAGAATGATTCCCTATATTTTCTATAAAATAATGATCTTTTACTAGCAATGTTTTAGATAATTTTCCTTCAGATTTAGTAAAGGAAAAGCTCATTTCGTAACAGCCGGGATTGCATTGACAACTGGAACTAAAATTAAAATCGTAGTAAAAATTCCTTGTGCTTTAATATGATGACATACGCATTTCCGTTGGTTTGTTCCATGTTCTTTTTGGATTTTGCTGTACATTCATCCTTATCCAATCCACACACGGATACAGTATTGCTCCCTTTAAATAATAAACAAAATTATGTGTAAATAATTAATTATATTAATAATTAATTATAATTATAATTATAATTATAATTATTATTAAAAACTTACTTGGTAAAAAGTAGGGTATGCAACGACAATTGGCTAAAGTATAATTTGATAGGCATTCCAAATTACAATTTCTCTTTGTGTATGTCCTGAAATAATTAAAGAATTTTCTTAAAAAATATTTATGATTAGTAATGATTTATCAAACAAATTTAATTAAAATCACAAAAACTTAAACATAAATACATTTATCAACGGAGTACATAAATAAACAATACAATTAACCTTTTAGACTTAATAATAATTACATTTACTTTGTATCATAAACAGTGAGCTTTAAATCTTAGTAAAGCTTGTAGATAATTATTCTTGTTACATGGGTTAGGAGGTAGATGTACATAAAATATACCATATGATATGTTTGAAATGACAGTAGTAATCAATGATTTTGTAGATCAAGTGGAGATTTAGATTAAAGTGGCCCTCATGTAGTCCAGATCTGAATCCGATTGACATTAGGGATAGAACATTCCGCAATAGACAAATGACCAAAAAGCTTTATTAAACCCACACAAAACGTGGCAAAATGCATACTGGCTTAAGAAAAAGGAATATTGATATTGAACCAATAATAAAAAAACTTTAGATACAAACTGATAACTGGATAACTGTTTTTGATTTTTGCTAAGGATAAATATCATAAATTATTTCTTATAAAATATGTCAACTAAAGCATTTCAAAATTATAGTTCGTTTAGTGTAGTGTGGGTCCTAAAATAATAGTTTTCCTAAATAAATATAAACAAAATGGTTAGTAATGATTTATCAGGCAAATTGACCCAAATTGCAAATGTGTCAACATTAACACATTATTACCTTCTAACAAGTTGGACACTCTAATATATAATTATTTATTTAGGGCATTTAAAGACATTTTCGCTTAATTACTTTGATTTCATTAATTTTAACGTATTGTAAGAGTAGCTTTAAATTTTAGTTTAGTTGGTTAGTGTGTTTTCTTCACAGTGAAAATATAATTATTTTGAAATAATATGTTTTATGCTCAAAATAGCAAAATAAATATATTGAAATATAATATCATAATAAATAGTATAATATTTTATATTATAGAAACAGCTTAGAAACGCTGATCAAATGTTATTTGATACGTATATTTAAATCATCCGAATAAGGACAAAATATTCTTAAACAGAGGTCTGGAGCATTAAGTTGTGATTTTTTCAACTGACATGGTATAAAATTTATTTTGTTTCCGGATTTTTAAATTTAAAAGGCCCACATAAAAGATATCAATACAATTTGGCATCACTGTGCCTAATTACTAAGCTTGAGTTTTAGTGGCATCTCTTTATGTTTTTTAATTAAATTTAATCAAAACGCCCTTTTCGAAGTAGAAATTTAAGTTTGGTAAAGAACTTGATCTAAAATGATTTTTTTGAGTTCTAGAGTTCGATTTTGTCTTTCGTGTGTGCTGCATCGTACTCTCATCTCTGGGACATCGCTCGATGAAAAAGTGTGAAACATAGCTGACTTTGACCCAGGAGGGACAAAATTGGATTCCGGGTATAGAAATATACCTGTATTTTTGGACAATATCGCAAGCTTTGACCTTCTAGCGAGGTATTTTGTGATTTGTACAATTCATTGAGTGGATGATCTATGATTTGGAAAATTCACGTGTCTATGGGTGGATGGCTTCGTTAAGCGCATGGACATTAAATCTTGTTGCTGGTCAAAATGGTATATTGAAACCGCCACCAAGGAAGAAGAAGAAAAAGATTTTTTTGACAAATTAACAATATTAATTTATGATTTATTTTACCCTATTAATGTTTTCACCTATTAAACCAGGTGAGGGGCGACTAAAACGACATAAGTATTCACTCACCTCTGGTACTCTTAGAATAATTTGTGTTGTGTTATTTACATACACGATTAATGTCCAGTTAAAGTTGGAATTAATCTGGCAGATAATTTCCATCGATATCATTTTTCTCACAACAATCGATATGGAATTTAACTGTCAGATATACTAACTGGAACCAAACCAGAGATTGATAAACCGGCCCTAAGCAAAAGGCTTTAAGAAAAATTTTGCAACGCTTCTACACATTTGTTTGCAACAAAAATTTAATGCAAAATTTGATATAAAAATCAGGGCCTGAATAAGGCAAAAGGGGCCTGGGGCTAAATTTAGTAAAGGGCTGTATTTAAAGAAAAATTTAATGTTTAGTATTAAAATATTAATAGATTTTTATTTTAAATTTAGTAAATATTTAAAAAAGAAGAATGCCCAAGATCAGTATTTATTAAGTTAACACGCTTATATTTATAAAAATCGAACAAAACCTATAGGTATACATAGTTTTAAAAAATTAACAAAATATGGAAATTGCTGAAATTATTTCACATTTAAAATAATTGTTTTAAATTAAAAAAGAAAACAAAAATAAAAAAACATTAATTTTGGGTTGCTAAAAATTTGTATTAAAAAATCGTAAACGCACTGATTAAGTATAGTGGTGCCAACTTACAGAAAATAAATTTGTATCGATACCTTTCATGTATTTATGCCTTTTAAATGAGAAAATCCGGAAATATTTCAGACAAAATACCCACAGCGTAAACTAAAATAAATTAATTATGGTAACCATTTATAAAAAGGAATTGTTAAAACTGTAGAAAGTAATTTGATTGATCTAAGAATAAACTAAATAAATATAGTGTGTGTTTTATTTAAACCTAGAGGGTAAATTATGAATATAAGTTAAAGTTTTGTTTAGTAAAGTGATCTTAGAAAAAGTTTGTTAAAAATTATAAGAACTAGGACCGCACTGTACATAGGTACGGAAAAAATAATTTACTTAATTGTTTAAATTTTAAATAAAATTAACAATAATATTTAAAAATAAATTTAATTAAAAACAAAAAACTTGCAAATAAATAATAGTAATAAAATACCAATTAATTTTTTAAAAATTTATTATAATGATATTGCATTGCACGAAAATATTAAAATCTTATTTACCAACTAATGTAAAAACTGAAATGCCACTTTTTGTTTATTATTATTTTTTCTTCGAGTAAAGTTAAGACAAAATATTCTAATGATAACGTGATAAAAGCATTCAACTAAACTAAGAAAGCTAAACCCCATAAAAACACTTAATAATCCACCAGAACTAGCTAAAAAAGTAAATTGTGAAATAAATGTATTTTTAATACGTAAACGTATATTAAATAATTTACCTAAAAAATCTGTAAAATTTGTCAGTGGCCTTTTGTATATTTGTGGGTATTTGTTGAATTCAAAAAAAAAATGTGCATAGACCATATTTTTCCTACAAAATAATAATACGTTATTTATTCATATTAATAGTTATTTCTGTTATTAGGCCTTCTTGGCCAAATGATATACAACATTTTATCTTCAATCGGTATATAAATTAAAAGGCACAATTTTGTTTGGTAAAAAATAAATTAAACATTTATTGACAATTTAAAGTGTGGTTAGATAGATCTATCAGATATAAATAATGAATTACTATAGTAATCGTAAGGATATAGCCTTATAAAGTAGTTGCAACTACCCGATTGGTCTAAATTATTTTTACGTGCCTAGTTAATAATCTATCACTTTAGTGTCGAGTGTTTAATTTGTATACTGATTCAAGATAAAACAATTTACTTGAAGTATTCCTTAGAAACATTAAGCAATTTAGGTAATTTCGGATTATCGCCTACAATAGCAAACGAGGTAGATTTTGTGAATTGCATTTTATAACAAGCATTTAGGCAGTAGCAACCCGACCTAAAAAAAAATTTTATATACCATTAAATTTCGACCCATTTAGCAGACTTAGCATGCCTTAAAAAAACTTAAAACTTTGCCACATGGTCAAATAGGCCAAGGCGTTCCAATCACACACACTGTATATGTTAGGGTGGTGATTATTTGAATGTTTTTCAACATTTATGTTACGCGCCCCAAATATTTGCATATAAAAAATATTGTAAGCTCTTATTTTAACATTAACAAAATGTAATCAAAAATTTAAAAATGTGGTTATGTAGGTACTAAAAAATAGTTTTTTTCTACGTATAAAAAAATGGAAAATTGATCAGTATACAGGGAAAAACAAAAAGTTTATTTTTCCTATATATGAATTTATTTTTTGATTTCTTGTAAAATTCTAAGCATAATTCATACCTAACAAACCATATACCTAAATTCAACCGTTTCTGAAATATTCGCATTTAAAACGTAATCATCAAATATTTTTTAAACTTTTACAAATCAAGAAATCTCCGTATAACAAAATGTTTATTGAAAATAAATAAATATTTTACCTTATTATCTTAAAAATAATTTAAATATTTCAGAAACGGTTGAGTTTAGGTATATATGGTATGTTATATGAATCATGCTTAGAATTTTACAAGGAATCGAAAAATAAATTCATATATAGGATGATCCATTGAGAAAAAATTTTGTTCCCTGTATGCTGATCCATTTTCTAATTGTTTTTATATTTAAAAAAAGTATTTTTTGGTACCTACATAACCACACTTTTAAATTTTTATAACACTAAAAAAGTTAATTAAGGGGAGCGACATTATAGGGGATCACCCTGTAAAATTTTATATATTTATAAAGTATGATTTGTTCAGAAAAAATATGTAACATACTTTATGGATGACCCATTATAATACCAGTTGGTTTTGATATAAAATTGTTTACAGAGTGGCCCAAAAAAAACAGCAAGGATTAAGGCTTTGTAAGTGAAAATAAAAAAAAATTCTCGGACCTGTATACTTTTGTTTTCAAGGGGACATATTTACACACATCATCTAAAAATATACTCTCTAAAATGAATTAGTCAAAAATGACTAATTTAATAGTTGAGGAGTGATTTTTTTATTTCCATTTTTACTTACTTGAATGTATAATTTTTTGAAAAAATCCCAAAGGTATGGTTAAAAGGCATATATTAACGGTGAAATATGACAGCAGGTCTGAAGTATTATTAAATATTCATCAGATTTTTTTTAAATAATCTATATTGCCCTAACCTATACAGGTTATAGTAATTTTTTTGAAAAATTGTTGCAAATGGAAATACGACCTTTTGAAAAATCACTCCTCAGTTATTAGTGGCTGCTTTTTCACTTGTACCATGGTTAACCATGGAATTATTATGTAAAATTGTCTCCTGGAATTATTATGTAAAATTGTCTCCTGAATCCGAAAATACCGTCAAAAATGATGAAAGTGGAGCAGTTTTTGAGATGTAGTCAATTCCATATTAAACGGAAAATTGACTATCTCAAAAACTGTTTTTTAACTTTTGATGACATTTTCGGATTCAGGGGACAATTTTACATAAGAATTGCCTGTTAAATTTTGGAATACCATGATATTCCATGGTTAACCATGGTACAAGTGAAAAAGCAGCCATTAATAACTATTAAATTAGTCATTTTTAACTAATTCATTTTTAGAGAGAAGAAAATACGATATTTCAGCAAGACGGAGCTCCTCCCCATTATGTACGGGTTTCCTGTTAGATGGATTTGGAGAACGGGTGCTATTGAATGGCCCGCGAGATCACCGGATTTATCTCCCCTTGATTTACTTTTGTGGCGACATCCGAAATTTAAAATTAATGCCGCTCAGCTTGATACCATAAAAGATTTACGGAACCGATCACTAATGAATGTACTAATCAATAAAATTAAATTACAAAAATAAGGATGAATCCCACCCCCGCTAAGGGGTTGAAGTTACAGTGATGAAATTAATGTGTAAATATGTCCCCAATGATTTTTTTTATTTTTACATACATAGTCGTAAAACTTACTGGACTGTTTTCAATGGGCCACCCTGTATATACATGCATAAGTGCTATATTGCTTCTTTAAAAAGAAGACCACGTGAACATTAGTCTCTAAAAACGCAATTAGGAAAATCTGATAGTTTTTGGACATATAAATAAACTTGATCAATTTAAAAAATCGTTTGAAGACCCTTGACTTCAAATGGTCTACAAAGTTTTAAGTAAAGGTGGCCCCAGTCAGCCCGTGTGCTGACCTACTGAATCCGCTACTGGGCATATGCATTAAAATGAAAAAAACTTCACTAGCGACTACTTACGCTTTACCATAGGTTAGTTCCATATTGGCTAAAACATAAATATTAAAGTACCAATATTCAAAAACATATTATTAGGTACCTCTTGCTTCAAGATAACAACGATTATCAGTATTATCGCAAACTTTTATAAAGGAAGATTCTATAATTTAAATTAATTATCCAGACTACATATTTTATTATCTTAAAAATTCGAAATACTTACTGGGTAAATAATAGGGCACACATTTACATTTATTATACGTATAATTTGATAAACACTCTAAACGACAATTTTGAGGGGTATAAGTTCTAAAAGGTTAAAATATATCAATTTCCATGTTTTTTTATGTTTAAGTAATTTTTAATATTTGATTAAATATTTTATATTTAATATACCTGTAATATCTTAGCGGCCTCTCGCCTTCAAAATAGCACTGTCTTTTTGAAATTTCAATATTTTTCAATGTATCACTAGCTTCTCTAATGGAGGGGACAAGCGCAAACCTGGTTTCCGTACCAGGACTTAATAAGAAACCATAATCTGCCATCTTGGGGGTTTCCAATGGATTCGCCAAAATAATCTAAACAATTTCTGCTTAACAAATATGTTTTCAAGATCATAATTTATACCTTAAAACCTATGCTGCTTGTTGATGAACAATAATACTCTTCCACTTGTGCATCAAGAACAATAGAGAGCCCCAAATGAGAACCAGCTCCTAAAATATGGTTTTAAAAGAAGTTTTAATTTTTTTGTGTTGGTACCTAATGGTCTTCTAGGTATGTAATCATCTTCTCCTGTCTCATCCTCATCAAATCCGTTCTCTGGACTCCAATCGAATACTTTCTCTGGATACGTTCTGTTTAGTAAACCAATATCTTTCCTAAAAAAAATTGGTATAAGATTTGATGAAATCAATAAAAATAAACAGGTTTTACGTGTTTCTATAAATTTTGTTATCCGGTAGTCTATTAAAAGAACAACATAAACCTTCGTCAGTTAAATCGTTGTTAAAAGCCGATTCGCAGCTAACAATTTCGTTTCTCCATTTGCATAGTTTTAACATATTCTCGCAAGAAGAACCGACTCTTATTAAAAAATCTCTTAATGTTTCCCATTTGGTTTCATCTTTTGCCACGGTAGTTCCGTTATCACTGTTACAAAGACCGTAAAGAATTGTTTTTTCTACGTCAGATCTAAGGTAAATATAATTTTAAATAAGTTTGTATTTATCAAAAATGGAAATTCTTACCCTTCCTTAAGAATTTTTTCAGCTTCGTATCTCTTAGCCTGATTCATGTTGCAAATAGTAATAGCCGGAAAAGGTATTTTAGTCAAATCAGCATCAAAAGGACTAAAACTAATTATAACGGGACTGGAATTCCATTTTTTGTAAATGTTTGAAATGTAGTAGGAAGCAAAAATTATAGCAAGTAAAAAGGCAATAAACCAAAATATCCTAAAAGAGATTTTTTGCATGTTATGTTACCTAATTTTTATTATAATACCTTTCACCTAGTGTCAAAGAAGTATCACCAACATACTTTAAACCGTGCAATGTGGTATTGTCACAATAAGTTTCAACTTGGTTCAAGCATTTTTTAAAAACTCCTTTTTTCTTTTCTTTTTTTGATAATTTTGATTCTCTTCTAAAATAAATTAAATCAATACATTATTAATCCCGTCGCATTCGCCAAATTTAAAACTGGCGGAGTTTATTCCACCGCGGTCCATCTTTTAATTTAGACCTTTATTTGTTGGTAAAATAATGTAAACCAAAAGTGGGGTTATAAACTTTTTTGTGATATTTATAACTAAAAAAACATACAGACCTCCAGGAATCCCAGAAAATTGTTCAAAAAATTAATTGAGTTTTTAAACTTAAAAATAATATTTTTACCTTGTTTTATATTATTTTAGGTCGTATCCGAGGTCGTATTATATAAATAAGTCCTAATATACATTATGTATAATACATAATGTTTTAACAATGATTTCATTAGGAATTAATAGTTTATAAGAAATGCAAGTGCCAACAGGACAGTATTTTGGTTGGTTGGGGCCCTGTCCTTTACTAAACGTAAAAAGTAAAGAACAAAAATAAAATTTAAGGTCCCAGAGCGCGTAAAAAAGGCGAATTTACAATTTTTTAATAAAATCAAAAAATGTATTATTTAGATATAGTATATTATGCATTGAGAATTATTATAAGTGCGAGTGTCTTAATAGACCATTAAATGGGAGTTGCATACCCTACTTTTTTTACGAGTAATAATAATAAAGTAGAAAATTAACACTTTAATTTTGAAATGTTTCGAACCTTTTTGCTGATTTTACCGGTAATAAGTTGATTTCGGATTTTGCGGCCAGTTAAATTTTCAATTTTACATTTACTATCGTACATGTATACATTGTACATACATACAAATTTTAACTTCAAAAAATTCAACTAAACATTATCATGTTCTATTTAAATAGTAACTCAAACTGTCCAATTGCCTTAAGGCAATAGATATTGGTTTGTTTTTTTGTTTTTTTTATTGGTTAAATCTGTATCGTTATGTTATATAACGACATTTTTTGATTCAGGGAACAATTTTACCTGGAAATTGACTGCTAAATGTTACAAATTGATATTGACGAGAATTATTAGTGGCTGCTTTTTCGCAATGACAATTAGTTATTTTTGCAAAAAGTCATTTTTAGGGAGTAGGAAATGTCTAATAAATAAATTAAAGCATGAAAGGGGAAAAATGTATTTTTGTAATGGTTATAAACTCAAATTAATACATATAAAATTTGATTGTATTACCTATAGGTAGGTATAAATTAATTTGAAACGGTGATCGTAATCAAATCACATAAAATAAATTTGATTTTATTATACTTAATAATAGTACTTTATTACGAAAAAAAACCAATTTAAAACGTTTGTTTAAAGTTATATTATTTTTATTTTACATTTTATTTATTTCAAAGACTTCGTTTTTATAATTATTTGGAGTATGCATACCAAATAAATATTTATAATAAGAAGAAGCTTAAATTTTCTAAACGTTAAAAATTAAAAAAAAACATATAAAACATAATCTATACATACATTTATTATTTAAAGAGCCAAAAGGTCGGTAAAATTAGACAAACATAAATTGCGTAATTTCAAGTCTATTAAAATGGCATTTACAAATTGTGTAAATATCAGCGGTTCTAAAATAATTTAAAAAAAAAACTAAAAACTAAAATTTCGAAAAAAGTGAGTTTCCCATGTAAACACACACATTTGTCTACATTTTCGTCTTATCTTTGATTTTTTTTCGCCAACCAGATTTTGATTTACCTTCTTTTGATTTCCTATGGCCGCCATATTAGAATTTTAAACGGTTAGATACTCGGTTAGATAAAGAATAGATAGAATAGATTTAGAATAAAAAATCAAACAACATAAGTTATGGCGGCCATTAAAAAATCAATTTTTTACTGTGTATAAAAAAATGGGTACTTATACCCATTTTTTTAGGACAGCAGAATTTTGTCTTTTGTCTTTTTTGTCTGATTTTGTTCTCGCCGATACTGGATCCACCAAGACTTTAAATCACTCATAGCTTCAGTAAACTATGGGAAATAGCTTGATTGGTCACTTTATACTGTTGAGTTTAAGAAGTATTTTGTTTTTATTAACTGTTCCAACTCCTTTTTTTCAAGTGGCTCTTTATCTTCAGTCGCGCTTTTATGAATACTATTTTGAGTTGCGTTTATATTTAAGGAATTAATTTGTACAAAAAATAAAATCCATAAACATATATTTCGTGGTACCAAGGTGAAATCATTCTTGGTCAAGTTAGTAATAAAAAATGTTAAGAAACGGAAAATTTGGCAAGAAAGTTATCCAATTTTTGTATGATAAGTGGAGTACGAGCCGTTTATTATTATTAGAAAAAATCTAGAAAACCAAAACACAAAGGGGTCTTTCGTAAATCATGTCACTTTTTGTTGAACCATTTTTGACACTTTTTCTATTAACAATAAGATCAACGAATCTAAAAAATATATAAACCATAAAATCGAGGGGTAAACCACTTTAAAATCTTAGAGACCAACGTTCAATGTTAGTGGACGTTGGGTTGTGATTTTTTTCCTTATCAGTCGTTATCAATAAGGAAAACTTGCTTACCCTTGTTATTGTTATCCTTAGCCGTAAGCGATTTTTAATTTTAAAAAATTAGTGGTTTACCCCTCGCATAAAATGTAAAAGTGCAAAGAATCCCGACTCTCATATTACGTTTTTGAAGCGTGGCATCATGGAAGACTCCAAATAAAATTATCAAAAACTCATCATCATTTTATCACACTTTATCACAAAATTTTAAAACTACCTTTCTTGATTTTACTAGCAAAGTAGCAAAATAACGAAGAATCCTTTCTGCAAACCATCCTTCCTGTGAGTATTATTTTTAAACAAGACTTAACCGACAAATTTTATATGCAAAAAACTCACCCCTGTGAAATATTAATAGAATGGTCCCGAGTTTCGTACTCCCCAATCCTAAAAATCGGCGTCCTATTCTTAACTTGATCAATTGCTCCAGTCCAAGAACTGGAATGATTCGACCTCCTGGGTCTCATACCCTCGTTTCTGTACATTTTCATCAAAAAAATTATTAACTTGGACTTATTTGTTTTAGTCCCAATAACATGGGGCTTGAGGTGTTCAGCTGATACATTACCGTTTGACATTTAAATAGAATAATGAGCAAAGGTGCCGCAATCAAATAGAAGACCCATTTATAATGCCCTGGTTCAATACATTTTTATTATAATTAGTAGGACGTCGCGTGCATACATGTACTACCCAGTAATCAGTACATCTAAGGAGGCTAGTTATCCATTTAATAGAAAAAGGCTTAATGCTAGCCCTTCTTAGAGTTTATTTTACTTTGTTTACCAAAAAAATTGATGGCTACGATAATTTTCTACAAACAAAGCTACGTAATTTCTAGTTTAATCGGTTTCTATATCATTAATTTTCGACGCAATTTCTCTATCTTATAATGACATATTTTAATTTAAGGGTTTTCTGGAAAATGTCTTTAGCACTGTGATTGCTTAAATAATATTATTTTGTCGGCACCAAATTTTGTTTTCTTTGGCCCAATTACTAGATAGGTACATTACAAAAATAAACAGAACATGTTTTTAAGGATTTTAATTTGACAAAATAGTATATTATGTATCAAGTTTGATAAACACTATTTTAGGCACGAATTTAATTTAGCCACGAGCGAGCTTGCGAGCGAGTGCTTAATTAAATGAGTGCCTAGAAAAGTTTATAAACGAGTTGCATATTATACTTTTTCTACGAAAAATAATATTAATAATAATACTTAAGATTATCTAAAAAATTATTTAATTATTTAATATTTGTATAAAGCGACATCCATACAAAAATAAGGTAACCATCCCAATAAACATTTTTGACGTAATTTTCACAATTGACATTGTCCGTTATTATTTTAATTAAATTATCGATACTTTAGAATATTAAAATAACTTCAAAATATAATTATGTTAAGAAAATATTTTATCCTCCTCACAAAGTATTAAACATTCTTACACGGGAAATGGTACAAAAAGTGGTAAAATTTCTAACTTGGGAATCTAGCGTCGTTAAAATTACAAATTTGTCTTTGAAAATCAAAATTTATCCGTTGAAAATAGACTTACAATCGATTTATAAGCAGTTTTTTACAGTAAAAGAAAAAAAAAATGTTTTATGGACACTGTTCGCAAAATTTTTAATGCTTTATCAGTTAAATCTAGTTAACTACGGCAAAATCAAATGGTCAGTACAAACGTTCATATAATCTTTTCAAATATTGGCGCCAAGAAACTACATATTGTATTGGATTGAGATAATGAAATAATGTTCACATCTAGTATTATTTTACAAGAAAGGCACTTTATTTTAACGATTGTATGACATTTGACAACTGTCAACTAACTTATAACTAACTTCAGCCCCTGACTAAAAACCTGTTGCTAGCTTCAGCCCGTGACTAAAGCGACATAAAGCCACAACTTGTCAATGTGTATTTAAAAGGTCACTTAGTGGCATGGAAACAATGGTGCATGGGCGTTTTAAAGACCTTTGGGAGTAGAAATTGATATTGAAAATAATTTTAACAGTAACTGTTGTCAAACACGTTTTTAGGTTATTTTGTTTTCTTTTTAAAAATAATAAAAAATAAAAGGGTCGCTTGTGAGAAAAGCTTTCTTCAAGCTCGTGTTAATGCACACTCGGCCTACGGCCTCGTAAGCAACTTAAACACTCGCATGAAAAAGTCGCTTTTCAACACTTGTAAAACAAATAACTATTTTATAATTGAAACAAAGATAATAAAAAATAGTAATTTCACATAGTTTAAAAATTGACCTTCAATCTTTTTAAAACATTACTAGAAAAAATAGGTAAATCAGTTTTTTTTTATTAAAACATTGATCTTAATCATTCGTGTTTAAATGTGTTTGTTTTGACGACGTGTCCTCACCTACATTAAAATGCAATTAGGTAATGAATAAAAAATTAAACGTTTATTTTATATGCGTGCCTCCCTCTAGTGAATAGCTTCGGAAAATGATGTTTACAATTGAAGTTGTCTTACTTTAATTTTATAGGTTTTTGTAATATATAGTTTTACTATTAAAACTGTGTTTTATAGATATATCTATATATATGCATTACTTTATCGAAGTGGGTAGATAAATACATAAATAATAATAACTATTTTAGAACAAAAGCAGACAATAGTATATTATGAAAATTTTGGAAATAAAGAAAAATTTAAAAAAAAATGAAAAATTGTAAAAATTTGGATCACATAGACAGGCCCGGATTTAGGGGAGGGCGAAGAGGGCAGTCGCAATTTTGGGGCCCCCACAAGTAGACAAATTCAATAAAATGTTTACTTTTATTTCAAACTTATATTTACAACTTAAAGGTTGGAAAATTATTTACCTTAAATATTTTATACCTCCTTCTCCGCATCTTAAGTGGATTGTCTTCCAACCTTTGCTTCACTGGGGGATTTTTTGTAACTAATTGTTAAAATTTATGTTTATAATGTAGGTAGTTAACAAATTTTGTTTTTAATCTGAATAGTTTTTACCTCCATGGACTTTTTTGTAAACATATTTACAGGGTTAGTCATTTAACATGAAACTTCTCAGTTAGTATGCATTTTACGAAAAAATGTTTAAAATAAAAATAAAATGATTCGAGGGGGGAAATCAAGCAGTACTAAAATTGGTCCTCATACTCTCCTCCTTATAAGGAGTATATATACAAACAATTCATTAATGAATCGGTACTAGAAGGCGTGAGAGAGAATTTGAGTCGTATTTAGGGTCGGCAACCAATTACAATCCAACAAAGGATTGGCATCGAAGCAATTTTATAAGAACGAAAGAAGAAGAGTACACGAATGTGCAAATCATTAATGCACAAACAGTTGTTTCTATTATTTATTAACGATTGTGTCGCCGGGGGGCGATCTTCAAAGTCACACCGACGTTCATCAAAGAGAGCGCTATAATTAATTAAAATATACGATGTGTCGATACACCTGTACGCACAATACCAACCATTGTGTTACCTACATGCTACGTTTCAACTTTTTCATCGACGAACCACGGCACGATCTAGTTTGATGTGGTAGTTCATAGATAACAATTCATTTATAAATTACTTAAGAATATAAATTGGGAATGATTTGAAAATAAAATAAAACCTAATTTTTATATTTTTAGTTGAGGGTGGACAAAAGTCACTAAGAAATTAAAGCAGCAATTTTTTTTCTTTACATAACCACATTTTTGTTTTAGACCCGCTTTTGCATGTATAGCCAATCACTTTGTTAAATCAGGATAGATTATAATTAAAGACATGAAGTTATATTAAAAAACACTGGCGGTTCGAGATCTATGTATGATAAAGAAGGTTCACAAATTTAAAAAAGCGGCATGGAATTTTTTTGTGGCTTCCACGACTATTATTCATTTTTAACCTTTCAAAACAATAAAAAATATTAGATTATTGAAATATGTATGTATTAAAGAAATAACAAAATGCTAATTTATATTTTAACATTGTGTACTATCGGGGTAATTATTATCTTTCCACTAGCGGTCCAATATGGCTTAAAACAATTTGGCTAGTCACGCCTCGGTGTAGTTATTGTCTATCCACTAGCGGTTTTATTTCGATTTAAAGAAATTTCGCTGGTCACGTGTTATCACGCCCCTTTTACTTTTTATTTATGCTATTTATTATAAAATTATATAATTATAATAACTTTTTTACCATTTTCTCCAGAATTTTTATGTATTATTAAAATAAAACTGTGCCTTTACAATGTTTTTATTTATAATTTTACTACTTTAAAGGTAGGTATATAATTTAGATTCGTTGAGGTATATATTTTGTTTTGTTAATCCCATAATGCCTAAATATACAGGGTGACTCACCCTGGGTGAGTCGTTTAACTTGAAACTTTTTTACGAAAAAAGATTTAAAATAAAAATTAAATGATTCGAGGGGGAAAATCAATCAGTCAGTGTTGCCAACCTCTTCGAACATTTTATCGGTAGATCCTTTGGAAATTTTCGGTAGATGATGTTAAAATTTCGGTAGATTTAAATATATGTGTAATTTTTAGTTAATAAAAAAATATTTATTAAAAATAAAAAATCTAATAAAAACAATAACATATTTAACTTATGTTAACATAAGTTGAATATTTATAAAAAGAAATGTAACAAAAAATAATAAAATTGTAAAAACTAAAAACACAATAAAATTAATAATATACATAAATCAAGAGAACAAACGCCGCTTACTTTTGCACAAAGTTTAATGTTCTGTACTTTACCAATCTACACAGCAAAAACCAAGAATAGAAATCTGTTTATTGTATAATGGAAATTTGCGATACCGTCGTAGTGCGACTTTTGTACAAATGATGTTGGTAAAAACATTTTTAATCACATACTAGTGAAAAACTCGTGAAAAACATATAATACTAGTGTCCAATTATAATATTTTTATGCAATTTAATCTAAAAAAGTTTTTTATTTGGATTATTGCAAGATTTAGATTTTCGGTAGAATATGGATGTCTATCGGTAGATCGGTAGAATTTTTCAGAAATCGGTAGATCTACCGAAAATTCGGTAGGGTTGGCAACACTGCAATCAGTACTAAAATGGTCAGTGGCGTAGCTAGCCTTGAGGGGGCCCCGTATCAAAAATCTGGTAGGGGCCCTTAAGCGGGAAAAGTCTATTTTGGGCAAACAAAAAAATTTTTTAGTGTATAATTTTTTGCATTTACCAATTTTTAATAATTTAATAAATAATATCACCCCGCGGGTGACTTTAACCTTTTTATGAAAAATCTTCTTGCGCTTGATACAATTAACATTTATAATTTGTTGGTCTAAACCTATCAATTGAGCGATTCTAATAGAATCCCATTTATTTCTTTAAAACACTGATTTTCCTGTATTATAAACTCAATAGAATCATTCTATTGAGTTTATATTACGTACATAGGTCAAAATTTTGTTTAGATTTTTGTAATTTTTAGTTTAA